ACTTAAATAATAAGCTTACTTAAAAGCTCTAAGAAGCTATAGCTATATATTATAATAATCCGGCTATTTATATTACGGAATTTATATAATATTATATTATAAATAATTAGTAAATCTAAACTTATTATAAAAAGAAAAACCAGGTATTTAAGAAAGCTAATAAAGATATAAATAAACTAAGCTCAAGAAGTGCCTCCCGTATAAAGCCTGCTCTTAAGATCTTATTAATAAATAAGCTTATTATTTTGAGGCCTAAATCTTTAGATTTCAAGTATTATAACTATAATAGATTTAATTATATATCTAGGAACTATCTAGAACCCAAAACTAAATATATAAAGCAAGTTTTAGTAGCCAAGCTAATAGTACTTATTATAAATAAGTCGTCTAAAGATATAAAATAGGAAAACGAGAATTTCTAAAGAAAGTTTTCTTTTTAAAGCCGTATTATATTAATATAATAGAAGTTAATTTAAGCTAGTTATTAGGAAATAAAGTATTTATACTCTTTTATATAGTTAATAATAATAAATTAGATATTAAGACTTTTTCTCTTATTAATACTAGAGTAAATAAATATACTTTTATTAATTTTAAGTTTATAAGAATAATTAAATAATTTCTAAATATTAAGCTTATTTAATTAATATTACCCTATAATATAAGAGAGTTTAATAATAAGTAGACTATATCTATTACTTATTATATTAAGCTTATACTCTTAATTAATAAATAGAAAGTCCTAGTATTTATACTAATTATAAGACTAGATAAATATAATATAATTTTAAGATAATAGTAGTTTATAAATACTAGTATCCTAATTAATTATAAGAATAAAAGATTAATCTGGCCAGATAATTGGCCTAGAAAAAAGAATTAAAATAAGGTCCTAACTACTATATATAAGAATTTGGAACTCAGGAAAAGTAACTAATATTAAGAAAATATAAATAAAAGAAATAAAGCTATAGCTATAAATAACTCCTGGAAATCTCAGATTATAAAGAAGAAACTCCCTTATTCTTTTCCCAAACCGGGCTTAGAAAGCCATATATAGTAAAAGAATTAAGCTTAATATTATAGAGAAATACAAATAGCTTTAAGAAATATAAAAGTTTCTCCTAAGCCAGAAATAAAGATATTAAAACTATATTATCTAAAGGAAAGCTATAAGATCTAGTTAAGGCCTATAATTAATATTATAAGTATTTTACTAGCCGCTTTCTAGATAAATCTATAAAAAAAAAGAGAATCTTTTCTTTATAATATTATTTTTCGAAATTAATAAAGAGCTAGAATTATAATAAGAAAATAAATTTATTCCGGATAAGTAATAGCCAGGAAAAACAGAACTATAGTAACTAGTAAAAGTTTTACTAAAGAAGTTTAAGGATTTTATAGACGTTTTTTTAAAGAAAATATTAAATATCTTATTTCTATATTAATTATATAATTATAAGATTCAGATTAATAATTCCAAAGGCCTAAAGAACCTAAGATATTTCCTGATTTATTAATAGTTAATTTATAAGCTATAGGAAATTAAGTATTTCCTTAAAAAGAACTTTTAATAAGGCTTTATTAAGTTAAGCCAGTCTCCTTTTATATTTTTAATTCTTTTTATAAAAAAGACTAATAGAGTTCTTTAATTCTATATTAATTATTATAAGCTAAATAATTTAATATAAAAGAATTATTATTCTTTTTCTCTTATTTATAAGATCTTTATATAACTAGCTTAAGCCAAGGTCTATATAAAGCTAAATATTCGGCAAGTATTTTATTAAATTCAAATAAACCCAGAATTAGAAAAACTTATAATATTTCATATAAAATATAAGACCTATAAATATAAAGTTCTTTAGAAAAGCCTAACTAATAGCTCTATTATATATTAGAGATATATAAATAATATTCTCTTTAATTACCTTAATATCTTTTATATAGCTTATTTAAATAATATTCTAATTTATTTAAATAATTCCCTAGAATATAAAAACCATATATAAAAGGTCCTTTAGTAATTATAAGATATCGGCCTCTAAGTAAATATTAAGAAATCAGAGTTTAAGATTACTTATATAAAGTATTTAGACTTTATTATCTTTACTAAAGACATTAAAATAGATCCAGATAAGATAGTAATTATTAAGAACTAGTAACTACTAATAATAGTTAAAGAAATATAAGGCTTTCTAGGCTTTTATAACTTTTATTAATGCTTTATTACGAAATATAGCTATATAGTAAAGCCTCTAATAGCTCTAATATATAAGGGAGTTCCATTTAAGTAAATAGGCAAATCCGGAGCTTTTATTATTAGAACTATAAAATAGGAAAACGAAATATAAAGTTTAAGAGGTACTAGTAATAAAGCTATTTTATAGGAAGCTAAAGTACTAAATCTAGTAAAAAGAATAGGATCCAGATCCGGAGTAGTATCCTATATCCTTATTAAGTAATAGTACCCTAGCTTTTTAGAGCTTCTATAATAAGAACCCCGAATAGCCAGGACTGCCCCAGAATCTCTCTTATTAGTTAGACTATATCAAGAATAATATACTACCGGAACCGTATAATACGGATACAAATCCTTTAAGGTTATATATAAAAGGTCCTGGCCTTTAATATATAATCTATAACTTGAAAATTAAATAGAGACTTTTAAAGCTCGGGAACGAGCTTACTTTAAGAAAAGGAATAATATTACGGTTATTACAATATATGGTACTAGTAGGGGTTAGACTAGAACTAGCAAGGTATCTGGTATCTATAGTTACCTAATAATTATATGTGATTTTGAGCTTAAGCTAGTATGTGGGCCCGTATATAGCTTGCAATTATTTAGATCCGAGGCTCTTTCGAGATCCTCTTCTCTTTTTAGCTTTAAATCATTGAAATAGAGACAGTCTAACCACGCCTTCCAGGCCCTAGATCTTGTATTCGTAATAATAATTATATAAGAGATATATTAAACTTCGGTTATAAAGCTTTCTTTTTTCTTATACTTTTATTTATATTATTTAGGCTTCTTTTTATTACTTTATTATTATTACTAGAGGTTTTAAAGCCCCTAATCTAGTAATTCTCTTATTTTAAATATTATATATAATTTGTCTTATAAAAGAACTATATAAGGGTTATATTTTTCGTTTCTAATAATAAGTATAGCTCTTATATATATCTAAAAATAGAATGAATTTATGGTATATCTAGAGAGAAGGTTCTCTAGTCTCGAATTAAGATATATATTTATTAGCTTGTTTTAGACGCGTTTTGTCTATATAAATACGCGCTTGATATACGGTCTATTGCTTTAATACTCGAGATTAAGTCGTATTCGCGGGCATAAGGGTCTTGCCAAAAGCTTAGCCACGATTGAGATTCGAGTGCTGCTGTTCGTCGAGTGCATTCGGATTGGATCTTAATCGAGTCGATAATGTGCTGTATATATACGCATATAGAAGGGCACACTGCAATGGGTCGAATGTGATTTAGTCTTAGCCCAAGAAGCCTTTGGTTTCCAACCTGCACTGCGTGGAAGTGCTGAATCGTTGCAGGCCTCCCGAATACCCTTGGTTTAGTTTTATTAAAATCAGACCGTGGTTTAAGAAAAAAAATCCCCAGACTATGCCCTATCCTGCGAGCAACCAAGGCAGTGTCGTGAGGACAAGGTTGCCCCACGAGCGCTGAAGCACCGATCTTTTAAGTTTATCCCACGAAAGGCTGTAAGTTCGAGGTTCTCGGAATTGCCAACAAGGCTGAAGGTATGGCTATCATCATCGGAACCGAGGCGAGAGTATTTGACTTTGGAGATCATGAGGTTGAGCTCGCTCAAGGCTTGGAGGGCAAATTGCAGAGCCTGGACGTGACAGTAGAGGGCGCAATTTGAAAACTGAAAAGACAACAGGACCGTTGGTAGTTCAAAGATTAGCGGGTGCTTCGGAGTTTGAAAGGTAGAACTTGCACTGACTTCGCTGGTGTAACTCCGAATTCTAGCATTGCCACAATGCATCCAGGCACACTGCACACCGGAGAGACTGTACCAGTGTACCCCGGTTTTGTTTCTTATCACGTCTTTCCTTGCGATACTTGTGTTTACTTTTTACTGTTATCTATCTGCATGCTGCACTCTAAGATGATAGAGAAAAGATCAATTCTCGAGAAGACAGGTTATTCGATCATTCGGATGAGGTGAAATTGCACGCATTATTCTGCTCGACGGTGCGCCCTATGATATTGCTGTCATAGCGATGGTCAAGTTGGTTAATGTTCCTATTAAAAAAGGACGAGTTCGTGGGCCATTGGTATCCCGGGCTTGAAAGGACATTCGCAGGCTCACTAAAGCAAACCCCTGAATTAGAAGGAGACTTGATTTTAGCGAACCCGCGCGCGAAACGCCCACTGCAAGCCCCAAGAACCTAAAGGAAAACGAGATGAAGTTTCGGGGTCTTTTCTACGAAGCTTAAAGCATCGCAGGAATTGGCGTCAAGAAGACAACTAGACACGTTGAATTTTGGTGATATGCTCGCTCACGCACGTTCATCAAAGTTAAAGAACTAGAATGAAAATCAAGGTAAGGAGCATCAGAGGCGTGATAAAATGGGAGGTCCACATCAAATCTCAATTCGGTATTCGCCGGCCCCTGAGCTCCCTAAGCACGATTCATCACATTTGCCCGAGTTTTGATGTCTTACTCTCTTCGTATTTATCGTATTCTATTCCCAAGAGAGCGAAGTCACACGATCAGGCGCCATGTTCGCGTTGACTCACATGTGCATGACCAAGCACGCTACCGCGTGATGCACTGTGCGGGGAAGACACCTGCAGGAAGCTCGTTCGCGAACAAGAGTGGCCAATTCAAGGTTGGCATTTCCCCAGGTGTTACGAGATTGGATGATAGTGTCAGACATCCCTTTTTCCTGCGAGTGCTAGAAGTGAGGGAACTCGGTGAAAGCGGCAGGGTAATTCAACTTGCAGCTGAACTTATATACACAGGAAAGAGCTTCCCTCCATCATGCTCAACAGCAACTTTCTCACCCTCAGCCAAGTAGATTCACTACGAGCAGTGACCACAAAGTTGAGCGAGACTGCTAAATTTCCCCTTCTCTTGAAAATCCTCAATATTCTTTTCAATCTCACCTCCAGTTCCCATCCCACCAACCAACCACCAACGACACTACACCATCCACCACCCTAACAACAAAATTACAAATCCTATTGCCATGACTCAAAAGAGTCCTCCAACCGGTTCACCCTGCTGGATCGACATCCCAGCGGTTGACGTCGAAGCCTGCAAAGTATTCTGCTTCCCCGTTTCCGCTCAACGCATTTTGACGTAAACCCGCCACAGGAATTCTACTCCACGCTCTTCCCCTCTTGGGAGTTCAAGGAGCCAACCGAAGCCAAGTTGGCGATGTGGAGTTTCGCTTCGCCGTCTGGTTTGTTCTTTGCTTTCTATCTTCTTTCCCAAGAGAGAAATATGACAAAGGTGAAGCAAGCGGTTGGATTCTAGGCTGATCATGAAAATAGGACTTTCAGGTGGCATAGTTCAAGTCTCCGCTTCATGCAAGAACAACAAGCTTCAGAATGGAATGGGTGTTACTGTTTACCATTTCGTTGAGAGCATTGATGAGGTATGTTTTATTTCCCTTTCCTTTCTCCGTGAGGTTCTAGGGGTGGTGAAAGAGGCTAACAGAAAAAGATCAAGAAGCGAGTTGAGGGTTTGGGTGGGTTGAGTTGCAGTGGGAAGGAGAAGGCTGGCGATCACGGCATGTGGATGTATTTCAAGGATGTTGAGGGGAACAGGTTCGGTGTTTATGAGATGATTGCTGGAGAGGGCGGTCATTAGCTGCTTTCAGTGTATGTGAGAAGCTTGTGGCCGCAGACTAGAGTGAATCGATGCTTTCAATCCGAGTTGGGAGTGTGGTTGATAGTGGTCTATTTGGTCTTCTTGCTCCTGGACGAGCCTCATGAGGTGACTGGAGTATGATGTTCCAGCACAGTGGGTCTTAATTTGATACATTGATTAGGTGACGCCAGCAATATCCCGAACCGATTCTCCCTTAAGTCCAACCCGCAGGATTCCTGCACGTCGTGGAGAAGTTCTCCTTCTGATTCAGCTACTGCTCTTTATGAGTTAAACGAGGTAGGCTCAGGGGTTGGCGAGAAAGGGGATACATTCGTCGCTGTTACGGTTTACTTTCATACTGGTGGAGCTAATACAACGACTGATCAGGAGAGGCTGGTGTTCAATGGCTTCAAGTGGAAAAGCGGCCGAGGCAAGAAGAGAATTATTACCCCGCTGTGGACTGGAACAGCGGCTGGGTTGAGTGAGCTTGTCTCAAGATGGATCAATGCCAAAGACCCTTGAAGCATTCTTAGACAAGCATACCTTTTCTTGTAGAATTAAAACATTCCACTAAATCTGGATGTAGGGAAATCAAAACATGCTACGAACTGAGGCTGCAGAAATAGGAAATCGAAACAGCAGCACCCAAAAGGCCAGGAAATTGATCTAGCATTAGACTCGGAGAGGCAACAAATTTATTATTACTCTAGTGTAATTTCCTTTCCGTACTTTCCTTTTTTTGGAAGGTGTTCAACACATTGCTTGGCAAAAGTCAAAGCTCGATCTCTGGCTCGGAGGTTTCCACGTGGGAACGAAACCCCCCACCAGTTGCGGGGTCAGTGCTAGACATTGTGGAGTCAAAGGAAACCCGGGAACAGGGGGAGGGAGGAGTATTATGAGCTTAAAACCAATGGTAAGAACAAGGAAATTTCCCGTGGTGGGGGTTTGGAAGTGATTGGCTCCTGATAGAGAGTTTCGAAGTGGCGCAAAGCTCACCTGTTGAAGTACTTACTGAAACAAGTCACAACAGCGAATCATTCAGAAGAAAACAGTCTTGGGAAGAGCACTGCGCAGCTCGGCTCCGGCGGCTTTTCTTTTCCAGTAACAAATTGCCCGGAGTTTTGATCCCTAGCCGTCAATGACAAACTCTCCGCGGCACAGGCCCAAGCGGGGGAGTTTGCTTGCGAAGAAAGCAAGCCTCGGGAAGTCCCAGCGCAAATCTCCAGTCTGGCGCGGCTTTCTCCAGAAAAAGGCTTCTTCCCTGGCTGGTCCCACAAAACAGGTTCGAGAATCCAGTTAATAGCTCAAAAGTGAGCTTCCATAGCACAATGTACGCACCCACCAAGCCGACCCAACGATCCTGCGCTCCCCGTCAAAACGCACGTCAACCAGCAGGATCGACACGGCACTGCATGTCGGCAGGCCGCATGGAAGCCCGCGGCAGTAGAAACTGTGCCGGGGACCCCGCCTCATCGCGCTGAAAAGCAAATACAAGTGCCTCTCCCCAAACCCCAAACCCAATAATCGCTTTGTAATAGCACCGATCTCAGTGACACAGGCCGGGAATAAGATGCTTGTGCGATCGAAGCGGCTTCCCAACGGACAGGAAAGAGGGAAGGATACAGATCCGTAGAATCTGTCATACCATGCATTGCGATCCTGTGAGACCCTGAGGCGCGTTCGCTACACAAGCAAGACCTGGGGATTGGGTTCCCGGGTAGGAAGGGAGCTTAGGGTGGCACGGATGGGGAAACTTGTGAAGAGTGGTGTGGGAGAGTCTTGGGACCTCGACCTTCAAGTCTGCGGTCTATTTCAAGCCTTTTGTGGGCCCGGTATCGTGTGACAACGACGTGGTCTGACGGAGGGAACTGAAGAGTTGCTTTTGGGAGATCGGACCCCTCGGAGAGACCCCGTGAACATGTGGGCCCGCTGCATGATCATCTTCACTGCCGAAAAAGAAAAGAGAGATTCTCCTATCTCCATGTTGGGGAGCGGACTGGGACGGCATGGTTTGAGGCTTGGGTAATCATTGGGCGTCTATCATTAAGAATGAGATATCGTTGATAAGAAATCATGAAGCGCTGCCTCGTCCATCTTCCTCGTAAAGTGACCAATCCTCCAACGCCGTGGTTTTCTGCTGCCAAATTCCCGTGCGCCCTGTACCGCAATTCAAAACGCCATCTAATGCTTGACTCCTGCCATAACCTCTGTGTTGGCCGCTGATCGACAATCCTCCTGTCTCGGAGCCACATCCTTCTGAACATACATCGCTCATCACCATTTGGAATGTTTCGATCCTTTGTAGTCATCGTGAATAACCGCAGGGCTGAAGACATGCTTAAAAGTCTCTAGATCCGAAGTGACACTGCTCCTTGACGATGATGAGGAGGAGGACGAATGCTTGGACGAGGATGAGTGCTTGGATGAATGTTTTGACGATGAACCTCTGGAAGATGAAGATGAACTCGCGCTTGCTCCCATGGGACCTTCAGGAGGCTCAAAGGCAAAGACAACGTCGTTGAAATGGCCCACAAATTCGGGATCTTTGAGGAAAAGGTCCCTCCACATTCTCGCTACCTCCTCTGGAGGATTTCCGAAACCGGATCCCAAACCGAAAGTCCCGATACAGAGGTTTGCATATCCATAGTAGACCGCAATTCGCAAGGATGTTCGAATTTTGTCTCTCATAAGCTCCTTTTCATCTTTGAAGGCGTATTTCGTGTCGTGGTCCCTCAATTTTGGCCGTTTGACGGGGCAAACTGAAATGACAGGCAGGCCTAGAACGTTAGCTTCGAATGATCGATGCTTAACGACAGGACTTACTCTTATATTCCTCCCAGGGCTCATATTTCTCTGGTCCATTCCGGAAAACAACTGATAAATGTTAACACTGCGTAACTTTGAACACAAAACTCAACTTACCAACGTTCTGGGAGATAATCCCCGCTCTTGCTTGGATTGGATAATTGGAAGACAACGAATTTCCAGCTGCGGGAGTTGTGAGCGTTGCAAAAAGATTGCTTCTCCGGCAGAGACACTCTTCTGGTGACATGACACCTAGCCTTGATTAGCTCGGGTCTGGAAATGAAATTCAGGAAGTCATACCGGCCTCCCAATCACCTCCGGGTCTTTTGTCATGTGCTGGCATAATGACGGGGATTGGGGAGTCGCCAGCAGCCCACTCAATAGCAAGATCAACAGGATCTCGTTCATAGAAGGCTAGAGAAATGTCAATATTTGCTTCAGTCTATGAAGTGATCGGTCATACCAAATCTAGCATGATACATCATTTCATTCATTCGTTCCCCAGATTCGTAACGGGGTGGAGGCTTCGCCGGCAACGAGTCCGAGAAGCATGTATACGAAGTAGGCGGCCATCTGTCACTGAAGTTGTCACGGATATATGGAATGTAATTCTTTTTGGCCTCCGCAGCTATCTCGGAGGGCTTCGGCTTCGAAGGAGGCATCTTGGAATACTGTTAAAGTTGAAAGTACTGCGGAGTGGTAGATTTGAGCTGATCTTCGTCGGACACATAGAAGGAGAGAAAATTTCCTTTCTCAAGGACCCATTGTGGTGCAAAAGATGGACATGGGTCAACACTTATAGTTTCCCTGATGATGTGGATTGGGAAAAAGAAACGCCACTTCCGTCAAGGAGACATTCCAGATTGGATGCGAGTCGACAATTTAGGAGCACAAGTTCAGACTAAGTCCACGACCTGAGACCTCGAACAGGCCCTACACTACCAACTGGGTGGCTCCCCAGAACACTTTGGGGCTAGGTCCGCCGGAGTATAAACCGCCCACAGCACACAGATTGCCTGCCCAGACCCATTTGGTTCCAATGCGACCCAAGCCCAGTTTTTGAGGCGGCGAATAAATTGGTTTGGTGACGGGCCACTGTAAAAAAGCAAAGAAACTAATGCATAGGGCCGGGTTCCAAGATCTCTTGTACCCTGTGTCGCAGGAGTACTGAGATTGGCGAGAGAGATCTGACTGAAAGAAGCAAGCAGTGCAACGAGGGTCCTGAGCACTGGGAGTCCGAGGGTCACAGGTTGAGCATGCTGGTTGGGCCTTGAAACATCTGAGAGCTGGGCAGCGAACTGAGCGAAGTATCAGCATCCACCCAGGAGTGAGGCTCCAATAGTCTATCGCGAAGGGCACATTCCTCGGCACTCGCCCGCGGAGAGGGGTAGGCAGAGCAAAAGCAATTCACAAGAATGAGAACGAGCTCCCGGGAAATAACTAACCATAACAGCGCATGTGACACTGCGGTTCAAGGCGGTCTGGGGGGAGGAAACAGCACTGCATTGGGAATGATCAGAACGCGGCAGTGAGAGTGCGAGCAGATACCGCATTTCCGCCCTGGCCTGCAGCATAACAAAAGGGAGAAAAAGGAGAAAGCGAAGATTAGCACTGCTACACTGCTGCACTGGAGACAAAGTTTGAGAGTTCGAGTGCGGAGGAGGCGTCTGCGTCTGCGTCTGCGCCTGCGCCTGCGACTACAGTCTGAGTTGAGAGTCTGGTTGCGGCTCGATCCGAAGCGCACCTCACTCACGTCTTTTTTTCGCGTCTCTGAAACTTTCTGTTTACCCCTTCTCTCCCCCAATTCCTCCAACTCCCTCTCACCACACCGACAATTGACCCCCAGGGCGGTTCCCCGGACGGCAAAATCTTGTTTCGAGTGGGGGAGATGGTCCGATCAGTAGTGGCGCGCTGTGTCAAGCAGGTATTCAGACAATCGAGAGGCTTGCATACCAAGCCGCTGTCTCACGAGTCGTCCATCGCACACCTCCTCGACCAAGGGCCAAAGGACAGCGAGAGGGTCGTCGTCAATGGCTTTATACGGTCAATCAGGAACCAGAAGCAGAGGTCTTTTGCCTCTGTAGGGGACGGGTCCAGCCTCGAGCCGCTGCAAGCCCTCCTTACTCCCCAACAGTCCGAGAGGTCAGAGCTCCATGCACACCTCCACATTCCGTCCAACTCTAACCAGACTGCTGGGCAGACTCTCCAATGGCACAGCTGTCCGACTCACGGGCTCCTGGAGACAATCGCCGAACCCCAAGGTGCAAAGCCACGAGCTGCATGTCAAGGAGGTAGATATTATCGGATACTCAGACCCTGCTGTATGTAAGGCTTGGACAATGGATATTTCAGATGACAGTACTAAGTGTGACGGACAGACGTATCCTCTGCAAAAGAAATACCATACGCCTGAATACCTACGAACGATGCCCCACATGCGAGCTCGACTTCCCTTCAACTCCACATTACTACGTTTCCGGTCAGATGCTATAGCAGCAGTCACTTCAATGTTCTCCGAGAATGGCTTCACTCAGATACACACACCTATAATCACATCCTCTGACTGCGAGGGCGCCGGAGAAGTCTTCCGGATCGGAGCTTCGGAGAAAGAGTTGGGCAGCGAGGGAGACGACGGGTCGTTTTTTAAGGCCGCAAAATATCTGACAGTCTCAAGCCAATTGCACCTTGAGGCTTTGGCACAATCTGTTGGCAAAGTATGGACATTATCGCCAACCTTCCGGGCAGAAAAGAGTGATACTGCGCGCCATCTGAGCGAGTTCTACATGCTGGAGGCTGAGATCAGTTTCACGCAAGACATGGAAGATGTGATGGGGTTGGCTGAGAAAGCTGCCCAGTCTATAGCCCGGAATTTGGATTCGGCTGTGTCAAGAGTTGGGAAGGAACTGCTGCAAAGCACAATAGGAGAAGAGGAAATTAGAAGACGAGTGGGCGGCATGCTCCAAGGTTTCCATCGGATAACGTACACCGAGGCTATCAAGCTACTGCAAACTTCTACACACCAATTCGAATATTCTCCAACATGGGGCCACGGCCTACAGGCGGAACATGAACGATGGATTGCCGCGCAGGTTGGGGGCAAGGCAGACATTAGTGTTCCCGTCTTCGTCACCCACTATCCTCGAGCCATCAAACCATTCTACATGTTACCAACAGCCAACACCGCGGATGGCCGAGAAACGGTGGATTGTTTCGATCTTCTTGTTCCAGAGGCATGCGAAATTGCAGGCGGTTCGACGCGTGAGCATCAGCTGAGGCCCCTCATCAAGTCCATGCAAGCAAAGGGCATGATTCCAGGCCCTGACCCCTCGGACGAAGATCTTGGCGAATTGAGATGGTACGTTGATCTGCGACGATGGGGTAGTGTGCCTCATGGTGGATTTGGTCTGGGCTTCGACAGACTATTGGGATATCTTGCCGGTGTGCCAAATATCAGAGAGGTGGTCACCTTTCCTCGATGGGTTGGCCGTTGTGAGTGTTAGGCTCCCTCTTAGTATGTACAATACGCTTCTTGTAAGACTATCCCATCCGGGTCTTGAACATCGCTCACATGCTCTCCACTTCGCCGACTCCGAACGTCCTTCTCGTGACACTGCCACCGGCCATTGCGCTGGGACCTCTCCAACACCGGGGATCACGAAGACGGTTCCCGGTCGGGCCTTTCTTCGGGGTTGTCACACCTGTGACACACCTGCTGTGGCTTCGGTCCAGACCTGCTATCAGGCAGGCATACTCATCTATCTATATTGCTCTCGCCACTCTCTCCTCACAACCAACCAACCAACTGCGCTCCATCTTCAAAATTATGAAACACCACCAGCCCCAATAGACCCCAAACGCAACCTCATGAACTGCCGCCAATAAGTAAAGCATGTGCCTGGTTTTCTGCAGCGGACGGGATGACCGCGGGTATGCTCTGCTCCATGCCAACCAAATCCGTGAGCCGAATTCTTTTCCGCTCCCCCTTACATCGACCCCAATGGTCAATGGAACTCGAAAAGTTATATTATCAGCTGCCGCTCTGCCGCCAACATGCGCCTTGTCCCTGGCCTCTGCGTCTCAGGTAGCGCAACCCTATTCTCAACCCCAAGACGGAACTGCCGACTGCAGGAAACGCACGGCATTGCAGATTCCTTTCTGCAGAGGCTACCTCTCCAACGGCCGCGCTTTTCATTACACACACCTCCATGTATGTGACATAGAATTGAAGTAAGGTTGGGCGGTCCGCTGTGCATGCTGCCTTGCTTGCATATGCGAGTACTGGAGGGAGGGGGGCGGATATGTCAGGATGGGATGTCATGCGATGGCGTGTTTAAATTTAAACGCCGCGCCTCGCAGACGCACATCAGACTGTTCCTGGTCCCTCGCTTGGGGGGGGTGCCCTTTGCGCCTATTTCGATCGCTTGTTACGCTTTTGTCCTGTGTCGACGGCGTCTTTTGGTTCTGATGATGGTCTTCGATGAATAGATTGATGGTGTGGGAATCTAGGCAGCGAAATGAGACCACTTATTTCCAACATGTTTAATTTACGGGAATTGATCCAAATGATTCATTCATCTTTCCCTCGCTCTGTTGGCCAATTGACGCCGAAGCCTTTTTCCAACAACTTGCAAAGCCTCGTCCCTCGTACCTGCAACCCATCATGGCCCTTTCCCCACCTCCTCTTCCACCTATGTACCACCCCAGCGTGCAACAAGCTTCGGCAATCTCCAGATCACGCAGTCAATCGAATGGCATGATGCCAAACAAATGCGTAGAAGATAGACAAAATAGACGCAGAAACATGCAGTCAGCAAGCAAGTCAGCCCCAATCCTATCGCTCTAGGATGAGTTGGGAATACCCGGCGCTATATCTCCCCTATTTTACCCCACTATCGCTTTGGGGACCCCCCTGCTCCACCCCGCTTGGTGAGGAATGACAAACTTCGGGGCTACACCAGTTCAAATCCTTCCCGAGCACACAGATAGAGTTGGGGTCCATGCAATGCAGGAGGTGAGAAGCGCAGCGGGTAAGACGGATGTCTCGTCCTCCCGCTGCAGCTGGCGTCTAACTATCTTTCCGCATCTTCCTCGGTCGGCCCGCAGGCAGGCAGACAGGCAGATGCAAAAAGTGTGCTGCACCCCCGCCGGTTCTTCCCCAGCGAGGGGTCCCCCTGGAAGCGCGGCACCAGGCATGGAAATGGAGGTTCCTCCCGGCGTGCTTCAGCATGCGCGGATCCCACCCACACCTGGATCTGCCAGCCGGGAAGTGTGGCATTTTCGTACGCAAGAAGCCCTAAAACAAGTTTCCTGACACTCCCTGAAGCACCTCGTAAGCGACGCCCTCGTCTCAACCGTGCTGTCGGTACCGCGCTGACGACGTCCTCCAATCCTTCCGTCAGGGCTGCCCATCCCTCCCGCGCGAGAAATTGAGCTTCCAGTCTAAAACAAGCGCCAAGTAGCCTGTTTTCTTCAAAGGCTGATACCTGCCATGCGGCCCTTCCTGCAACCGCGCCTCTAGACAGATGGGAAGGCAGACTCTTTTGGATCCGCAGCAAGAAGCAGTCCTGCTCTAAAGAAGGGCGGAGAGAGCGAGACAAGCATTAGGGAAAGGAGAAAGGGGGTATTCTGGCGAGGGAGGCAGTGAAGACTTCGAGGAGGTAGAGGTGCAAGGGAAGAGGTACTGCCTTGTACCTTTCGTATACGATGTGTCTCTTGTACTCTAGTCCACCAGGTCTTCCCCCGGCCCCACCCCTGAGAGCTGAATGGGAGGGTTGGGTAGAGGTATCAATCGGCGCTTCATTCACTCTCACCCCCTTTCACCGTGTCACGCGCTCAGCCTCCTCCCTCCACTCCCTAGAATCATACCAAGCTCTGGGCCCGATTATGGAAATCACAAGTTTACGGCTCTGGGAGCTACTAAACTTACCTTAGGAGCTCTATCCCCAGATCGTGAACTCAAGCAGCTTCATAAAAGATGCCAAATCCAAAGTAGTCGCATGATGATCCTCCTCTTATTCTCTCCTTCCTTCCTCCCTTTCATAAACCATACGCAGCAACGCAAGCGAAGTCTAGTTGCGTCCAAGAGTTTCATCTCCTCCGTAATCATGACTCCAAGTCACTTCCCGCTAGGGTAGAATCGTAAACGAGAGCGCAAGACATGAATGAAAGTCACATTGCAAGCATCTTGGACGAAGCATGCGATCAATCCTCTTTTCATTCCTCTATAAGATCAAGTTCCCTCATCCCTTGGCAAGACTTTAAGTCTGCACCCGTTTCCCATCCATCCCCTTCCCAATCCCAACCCAGGAAGCAGAAGCGCCTCAGATCACGCCAACGCCAACGCAATGCAGCAAGCAACCCTCTCCCCAGCCATGCAAGTATGTCAACCCCCGTAAAAAAAAATTTAAACAAGAAAACGACTGTTGCGAGCGCTGCAATGCAGTGCTGAAAGCTAGTCATACAAACAGCGAATTGGGAATTAATAAAAAAAATAAAGGAAAAGAATGAAACCAGAAAGCTGGTATTAGACGCCGTCCACGCCCTTCTATCGCGAAAGCAGGCAAAATCAGATCATGAACTTTCGATCAAGCACCCTAATCGCCCTCTGATCCTCGCCAAGAATATTCAGCTTCTCGTGTGGGATATCCTTCGGTCGCTGATTATCCTCCTTCGGACTCCTGCTGCCCGCCCTGCTGGAATTGCTCTTATTGTCCGACATCACCGAGACCGAGTCTGTAGCATGCACTAGGCTTGAGATGCTGGGTATGCTCTGGGCTTGCGATGTGCTGTTGCCGTTGGGCGTGCCGTTGGGCGAGGCTCGACCGTTTGAAGAGGGAGTATTGGCTTGGTCTTGAGGCTTGGTACCCGGTGGTGTGGAGGTCCGTGGGGTGCCGTTGACTTGGACCGGTGGCAGGTTTTGGGCAGTGAGGCGGGGATCGAGCATTGGTGGTGCTGCGCTTTGCAAGGCTCGTTGGGCGATTTGAGCTTGCTGCTCGGCGTGGGCTTGTTGCTCGGCGACCAGTCTAGCTTGAGCCACTCGTGGACTTGGGTTGGGGGCGTAGTGCGGCATGATATTTTGTGCTGTTGCGGTGCTCATTCCTCGGTGTTGCGGTGGAGGCGGTGGTGGGGGAAGAGACGAATCAGCGAGAGGGGGTGGTGGTCGGTCGAAGACCGTTTGTGGGGGATGTTGACCCATAGAAGTCGGTGGCATTCCATTGGGGATATAGGGGCTGTGTTGTTGGTAAGGCGAATTATGTTGCGATCCTGGGTGAGGGGCAGAATTGTACATCGAGCCGGAATGAGGAGGGAATGGTGGTGTCGAGATTGGAGACGGTGGCCAGTTGTAGTTTTGAGCTACTGCATATGGGTGTGGTGGAGGACCTCGTTGCTGGTATGGTGATGGTTGCATGTGTTGTTGAGGTGATTGCATATATGGAGCTTGTTGCATTGGTGCTCGAGTAACAGGTGGTCCTTGAGCCTCATGGACAGTTGACTCTGGGTACATGCCCTTTACGGGAACAATATGTCGAAGAGATGGATCTGTGGTTGGCTGCATCAACTCAGGAGCACCAGCGTGCGGTCGAGAGTAGTAGCTGATAAGATGGAGGTGTTGGCCAGTCGAGGTGGTGATGCTGAAAGATTGCTTCATCAATCCGTCAGGCTTGTATCTGTATCCGTCCGGTCCATCGCCATCCATATCTTGATCTTCATCACTTCCTCTGCCACTGTCCGGTGTCTTTCCTCCAATTCTTCGTGCTGGCGGCGGCACGAATTGGCCTCCGCCTCTCTTGCCCTCCATCTCTCGGTATGTCAAAAAACTGCCAGAAACTCTGCTTGCACTCCATGACTTCCCATCCGTCCATCTCCGCATTCCTGCTTCCCGCTCATCCCAGACAAAGACGGATCCTGACTTTATTGATTGTCTCTCCTTCTCGGATAATCTTCGCTGGACTCGAGGTAGCAGACCTAGACGGCAAGCTTCGAAGAGCTTGATCGCATCTGCAGGCGTCCGCACGTGGCCGTGATAGGTGTCCATCCTGTTCGTCGTCATGTCAATTGACCTCTCTGAATTTTGCACACCGCGTGCTGCCTGTCTGCTCAAGTAAAGGAGGACCAGCTGTCCCTTGCTCTGCTCCAAACTTGTGCCACGGCGTCCTTCGCAGAATGTCGCCGATGTCTCCCTCAAGTTTCTCAATGCCGGCAAGGATCTTTCTCGGCGGTCGTACGCGGTCCCTGCCGTTTCTCGGACGTCACAGAAAGCTTGGTGGGCCACGAGAGCCGGTTTGCAGGCCAAGAATCGGCGGCGGCGAGGTGGGTGGTAGCGCTGCTGCTGCTGCTGCTGGAGGAAGTCGAGTCGAAGCGGACGAGTGCTGAGACGTGCGGCGGTTGATCTCCTTCGCTTCAGATGAAAGTTAGCCACAGATTCGTCCCACAATGGCACCGATTGCACCAGGTGGGCAACTGGCGGAGGTCGAAGCGAAGATGAGACAATGGGAGCATGAGAGTGACAGAAGCTTAAAGTAAAGTTGCCGGGGCTGCGCGTGCAGTTGACGTTTCTGCAGGAATTCTGTGGGCACTTCTGTGGGCATGTCGCCGCACCAGCCTGACACAGAGGACGACAGATCTGATTTCAGAACGAAAACGCGCTGCGACGGCGGTGGTGGGGGGTGTTGCGGCTTTGGAGGAGAGGTGGTGGGTAGCTGCGTATCTGATCGCCCCATGCCCACACCCACCCACAGTCTGATTGACGGCGGTCGATGACGCAAGGTTCAGCAAGCGACAGCGAGCTGTGCGCTGCGCTGCGCTGCGCTGCCAGACGAAACCCACCAGATAGATATATGGGCCCATTGTGCAAGTGCTGGACAAGAAAGAGAAATTCACATACCTGATGCAGTGTGTCCCGGGTGAAAGTGAGGGCTATCCCTAGTATCTCCGCAGAGTGTCGAGTGGTGTTCGAGTTGAAAATTCCCGTAGATGGTGTTGAAGGCTATGTCGTATGGGAAAGCAACACCGAGAGAGCCGAGTCCAGTGGAGGCGATACGTCACAAGATTTCAAGATTTGTGCCACGTTTTCTGCTTCTCTTCCGGGTGGAAAGTAAACTTCAATCGTCGAGAGGGTCAAGTCGATGTTCCTCCAAGGTCGTGTGTGTGGTGGTGATACAGTGGTACAATATCTGTCCAAGTCGGACGGAAAATAAGGGTGCGCGGTGCAGCAGTAGTTATTAAGCTGCGGAGGCTGTGGCAGGAGGAAACCGTTTGGGGCTCGCGGCGTCGAAATTATGGACTTGGCTTGGAATACTTTATGGGAGGCAGATTAAGTTTGGTGCCCCTAGCAAGGCTTGAGGCTAGGGTGCCTGTCGAAGGCTACAGAAGAAGGCGTCCGCTTCGGGCAAACGATCTGGCTGAGTTGGGGTTGTTGGCGGTCCCTTGCCACCAGGCCTGCTCTGGGGTATAGAGGACTTTTGCGAGAGACGAGGGTAGGTTGGGAGGAGGGTATCCAGATGTATCTGCGGCGGTGTCGCGGTACGGCGGTTCTCTTGAGCGCAGCCGCTGGGCCAGGTATCCAAGTACCTTCTTGTACTTTTTTGCACAGGGTTGCGGGTGATGGCTGCTGGGCGCTTCTTCGGCGGCGTGCAAGAAGGAAAATGCTCTCCCTCTGTTGGAGGCGCTTGGCTTTGTGGCTCTGTTTCTTGGACGTCTTGTGGAATCTTGGATGGTGGAGATGGGCATTCGTACTGGTCTCTCGCCACGTCTTCTATTCTATAGTTATTCTCCAGCTGGGAACAGCGCTTCTGGATGTATTCGTCACGTTGGCTTCTCCTTTCCTGCGTTTGTATCAATCCGCACTCAACTCCGTCGAAGTATTTGCGTACGGGGCAGGGGTACTCGGGGGTCCTCGTCAGCTTCTCCCGTAGGGCGTCCCGTTCAGAATTTCAAGGGGGCATGTCACGAGCTGAGCTTATTTTCCGAGCTCTCATAAAGCCACCTCTAAATATCTTTAGCAGACATCAGTTCATGCGAGAGCGTCACCACAGCTGTGGCTCATCGCCCATAATACGAAGGACTTGACACTTTGTCCTGCAGCGCCGCCCGGCGCAGTCAGCCTACCATCGCAGACTGCTCTCCAATCCAACCCGCTTCAAACGCCCCCAACCTGGCTCACTAAACTCTGACTTAGCATCACAAATTCGCTACAACCCAGTCAGCAGTCTAAAAGCGTGTCCTGTAGCAATTCCAGCACTACGATTCATCTCCTTACTGCTTAAATCCTACAGCATGCTGCAGAATGCAATTCCAAGAAGGATGATCCTGAGTCTTGATCCATGATGGCATGCATCTGTCGCAAAGGTTCACGGCAGGGACAGAAGGTTGACGAGTCCTGTGGGCCCGTGTGGAGAAGCAAACGCTGATCCATCTAGTTAATGTTTAACTTAACACCTTGTCCACCCACCACTCCACCACTCCACCACTCAAAATCCCCACCCGCCTGATCTTTCTCTGACTTGAAAACAGTTCCACCCGTCTACGTTCGCCCTCTAGATCAAGCTTATTCGGTAGTTTGGGCTAGGGGACTTGTCATCGTATCAATTGTCTGGCACTCCGCTTGATCCAGAAACTTTAATTCAGTTAGAGTACTGTGTTTGGTCTGGAAGGTTGATGCAAGGCTTGGCTGATCCCACACAGGTTTGAGTTGGGTTGGCAGGCTTGCGAATCGTGTTCCAGGCGTCGTGTACTTCGTCTTTCCACCCTCGGTCCCGAGCCTATTCATGTTCTATCAGGTAAAGTGCAGCCATGATCTGTTCTAGAATAGGATCCAATTCACAGATTCTTCTCAACGACAATCTTGTGCTACCTGTCATTATTTTCATGTCCAACTGAGGGGGTGAGTAAGGAATTCTTTACATGAGGAGCGGACATCGTGGTACGAAGGTGCATCAGCCTCAATCCTTCCTATCTCTCCAAAGTACCTCCCACCTAATCGCAATATATAACCACACCTTATTTAACGCCACACGCAAATAAGGTTATTTTTCTCACTCCCGTTCCCGCCTCCCCCGAGATAGCATAAAGTGCTCAAGATCAGCCTATCTCAAGCTCTCGGCACAGTTCTCGGATTGCTTCGTTCCCGTGCTTAAAGTTGACGAGGTTGAGAATAGGCGTGGCCGTTCGCTCGGGTCTGACGGAAATGACCTCGCAAACACTGCCCACTTCTGTACGTACCACATGTTCAATCTCACTCATCGTCACTCCCATCAATCACACTCACACTCACTCACTCACACTATTTTCATTGCTCCTCCACATCCCGAGCAATACACCTCAATCTCCCTCTCTCATCATCCAAACCTCCTAAATCCAATCCAGACTCCAGACAGATACTTAGCGGGTACGGAGTCCACGCAAGCTCTCGGCACCCCACCACGGCGTGGCGTTGCTTGGCACCTAACCGAAGTGGACCCAGGTCGATGTCAACTTTTAAGCATGATTTTTAAGATTTTAAGGCTCGTGCAGATCGTAGCGCCTCCACCCAGCATCATTCCGCTACTTCCGCGACTCGCGCCCAATCATCTGCGACGACTCTGATAATTCTGATTCCACCCCACCTTATCCAAAAAATTCGATGTCTTTTGAGGTGACAAGGAGCGGGTGCGCGTGGTCGGGGGATGGCTTGCACCGAAACACCGATGATGAGCTGAGGATTGCTGGATTTGCAGAATGGGCGTCGGATGCTGCGGGTTGTTAGTAGAATACGATGACATGCCGCGGCCGAAACGGAGGCGCTGGTGTTGATACTTACGCACCACTCGTATGTCTTATTCGTATCACGAGTACGGATGCAATGCTCGTTTCTCGCACGGAGCCACAATCCCGCCTCTTCGTTCCCATCCATCCCTATCATCTCTCGTTTCTCGCTTCCCAGCTCATCATTATTTGCATTCTGCAAACGGCACGGCTGCCACATGTCTGTCCATTTCCCCTTTTCTCGTCTGTTCACTCCCTCGTTCGTCCGCTGTGGTAACCAAGGCGACCCAACAAATTCCAAATGGGCCCGCAAAGCTGACCCGACTCGGCGTCGACAGAGTGGGATGCAAAAAGCAGAATCGAATGATTCTGGTTCAAAAGCCAAGCCACGGCGTTCTCTTGGCTGAAAGGGCTGGGCGGGAGTCGCTCGTTCAGAGTTTCCAATCAGGAATAAGGTTTTTATGGTTATTTGCGCATGAGTCGGACAGATGACAGAGGATGACAGATAAGCCAAACCTCCCTCTTCCTTTCCGAGGGACGCAGAAGAGAGGTGGATGATTCGGAAACCGAAGTGTTGGAGCCGATCTGGTGATCCGACTCACGAGCACCTCCAAAAGGAGACAACGAGTGACCGACCCATGGGCCACTGCAACGCAGATGGAGAGGAAGCTTGGGAGAGCTTGGAAGGGCAGGAGGAAAAGGCTGGGCTGTTGGTGCCAAGCATCGAGACGAGCCAGCGAATCGAATCGTGGATGAAGCCGAGATAGAGTTAGAGTTACCTTGATTGCAAGTCTTGGCGCCACCCTTGTCTTGGCGGGAGGAACATGCTTAATTGACCTTGCTTCATGCTCAATCCCAGGCCTCATATAACTTTATTTGCAGCGCAGCCAACGGGGGAAAAGGCAATACGGAGAGATGTGCCATGTACAGTGCCGCTGTTGGTTATTCGTCTCGAGTGTGAGTTTATTTAGCCATCCGAGGCTCTGTCTCAAGGTCTCAAGATTTGAGGGCATTGGAAATCTTGATGCGAGGGCATAGGAGAAGGGGAAAATTTTCCGACAACCCGTAGTCTCGTCATCCCGAGGCTTCTTCAATCGACAAAGACACTGCAGTCCAGACCACCCGTCCCCCGCCATGGCGCCCAAAAAGAAAGCAATCCCTTGGCTTGGTGCCGCGTACGATTGCTCTGTCCCAATCGAACCAGCAATGGACAGAGCACCAAGTGGACGCTACTGTCAACTCAAATCGCGCTGGCGGAACCGCTTGCCTTCCATTTGATTTCCCCAAAAGCTTGGCGTCGCTAGGTGTCTCGACGCCGCAAAAGCCTCTTTTGCGCCCAGAGGGAAGGGTAGCCTTCGGCTCTGGAAGACCCCGAAAAGTTGTGCAAATGGGGTCTTGGCTTGGGGGTTGCATAAATCTATCTTGTGCTCGCTGTGCTGTGCCACAGGATTTCGACGAGGAAGGCTGGCGCTTTGATGACCGAGCGCCGAGCGGAGCCTCAGAAAGGATTGAGAAGGAGGAGGCTGATGTGAGATGTACGGATGTTTCGTGAAGCTTATTATCATCAGTCTTCACAATAACCGGTTATTCACATCCAGGGCGCAACATCTGATCTAATCTCTCCACATCCATCAGCACCAAAATTCCAGGCAAAAATGCGCTGTTCAAAAACAGCTCGTCCTCTTCCCGACTGTGCCGAAATCAGCAAGCCAAACTCCCACCGCCCGCCGCCAACAGACATCAGCTCGCCATTGCAAACTCCGATGCGGAAACGCGGACTTTTGAGTGGCCTCGACTCTTGATTGCGGCGCATCCGTTTGCAGGAACGCAAACGAGTGTCGCCCGAGCTGAGGTAAAATAGACGAGGATAACACCACAAGGCTTTCGACTGCAGCCTTTCCATTCGCTAGGGAGGCTCGCGGTGTCTGGAACGAGCCGTGAATCGTGATCTCGATTCTCGACTCTGGCTGAGTGAGAATTATGTAAATTCCATATGGCGGGTTTTGTGCCGTGTGCTTGCATATCATTCGTTGTTTGGGTGGAGTTAGAGTTTTCTGGTTAAGTGAATCGAAGGCGTACAGGCGGCGGGACTTCCCTTTGCATTGGACAAGCCAACTGGTGGAGTTTTCCCTGGTGACAGACAGTGACAGCTTGGGGCCGATCAGATGTCGCTCGCTGCAAATCCCGTTTCCAGAATCCCAGGCGATGTTTGAGGTTGACGTTCTGATCGGCATTCTCTTGTAAGTTGTTTCGTCCTCACAATCTCATTTCATCTCATCTCATCTCTCACCTCTGTCTTCCCCAGCCACACATTCTCCCCTCTCGCAAACTCAAACAGCAAACGTCAAACAGAGTCGCCCCCGTCTTCCTCCTCTGGCAACAGAAGCTCACGCTGTTCATGCTCCCCACCCATCCTCGCGTCATAAGGTCGTAACAAGCTTAATTCGTGCATGGTTCCGCCCTTCAGGGCCCCAAGCCTGAGATGACGCGGCCAGCTCGCGCCAATCAATGATCGCTACAACATTTGGCACGGCCCCGTTGCAAGCGTAGCGTGGGTCCTGGGGCGCAGGTCGGAACAATCGGCGTGCCAGGGCTTCAACTCTGCGCTGTGTGGTGAGCGGAAAGTGGTGTGGGTGGAGATGATCTGATAAGGTTTTGTCAAGCCCTCATTCGTCTCTCTTTCCCTCGCTCTCTGTGTGGTCCTGATCAATGACTTATTGTTTTACTCGGCGTTGGCTTGGGTGCGTCTGAGAAGTATTAATTTGAGAGTCACAGAGATGAAGCAAGCAAGCGCCGGAGATGGGAGAGTCAAAGCAGACTTTTAGCCTTGGCGTAGCCACTGCCAAGAATTGCTCGATTAACCTTAAACTTACACGTGAGGGCAGCTGTACGAGAGCGAGTCGCTCGGCAGTTCTATCAGCTGTGAAGGTTGCTAACGGAGGTCAAAAGGGCCTTAAAATACTTGTTTGAACAGGAGTGCAGCTTCCAAATGCGGCTTTGGACGTCAAAATGATGCATCTTGGCACATGTCCTTTCGTGTTTGTGAGGTTCTGTTTGGTAAGGTTCGGATACGGTTCAAAGCGTATCTTCAGGTAGAAGGTTCCTCCAAGCGGAAGTGAGTCCACGTGAAGGGATCTCCGATTGACAGATCTCTCTGACTGTAGCAAAACGGCATAGATACAAAGGCTGAATTAGTCTGACAGGCTGGTCTGATAGTTCTGGCAGCTTGAGAATTGGAAGCTCATTCTTTCCTCGTTCATTCTCTGACTTCCCATTGGACTACGGGAACGGAAAATAGTGCAGCAAAGATGGAGCAATATCGCTGCTGGTGTTGAATTAAGATTTTTGAGATTCAGGTTCTCAGACTTAATACAGAGTCTCCTCTTTTTACTCCTCTTGCCTCTTTCCAACGTAAAATGACAAACCCTAGGCCCTCGCAAACAACCTCAAAAATCAAGGCCTCGACAAACTCCCCTACAAACTCCCCTACACCGGGCTAACCATAATCAACCTTCCCGCCTACCCCTCGAAAATCTCAATAATATGCATCCCAGCCACCGTTTCCGGAGGCGAGTACTCCGTCTACTCGGACGTCACCAATCACATCACCAAAGAGAAAATTCTATTTTCTCCCCCTCTGCTAGTCCTTGGCTAATTATCCTCCCGGGGTAGTTGGCAATGAGTACGCCGCTGCAGATTTAGTTGCAGAGTGGGATGAGGGGTGTGGATCATTGTGTTGAAACGCTTTTGAGCTTGAGGAGTACGGGGGAGATGGATGGCAGTGTTTTGAAGAGCCTCAAATATCCGATCCATGGGCTGCTCTTAATTAAGAGAGGGACATGACAGGGAGAGTCAGCTTGAAATAATGTATGTGATGATCTTTTTACATCGTGGTGTAGACTGTGGTTTAGTTATGGGATTGGCATATGCTTGGTCCCATCGAGCATGTGAATCAGGGGAAGACACCTCGCATCCTCCTGCCAGCTGTATGTAAATTCAATGCGCTGCATAGTGGATCTGAGATCTTGGAGCTGCAGAGTGTTATAAGGGAGACGCTTTGGGGTATGCGTGAGGCGAGTATCGTTTCTGAACAGAGGAATCTGGTGGCGCAGGAAGCGGACCTGGGCGATTTGACAGATGCAATAGTGAAGGAATTGGGATTGAAGAGGAGGTTGAGTGAGGTTGGCGTGAGGAGGGATATTTTTGAGAGGCTTGCAGAGGCGAGCTTGAGGGATCCATTCTTGGAGACCAATTGTGTGCCAATATCCAGGAAGGGTGAGGTGCTTGAGAGAGCTCGGGCGGTTGAGTTGGATGAACAAAAAACTTTTAGTGCGAATGATATTTGGAAATGGAGTCTTGAAGCAGCAACGCAGTTCGTGAATAGGTCTTTTCTTTGTCGTCCTCTAGGTTAGCTTAATACCTCTATATGTTGTTCTTTTCTTCCCGCCCTTCTTTAAATAAACATCTTCCTTGACATACTACGTCGAAGAGAAAGCTCAAAATCTCCAACTCAAAGCTCATCACCAAGTTATCAACGCAACCATTCACTTCACCCAACATCAACCACCAAAATCATGTCTGAGTCTAAGCCTTCTCACCCTGGGTCTTGCGACTACCAAAGAAGGGTCTATATTTTCTATAACCCTCACCCAAGTTTCTGTCGATGCATAGACTTCGAGTGTGTCGGTCATCCTACCAACTACACTCCAAGCATGTGATGCGGCTAGGGCAAGGATATCAGCCTTGATAGAAGGTGGTAGTAGGCCTATTATTAGAGCTCGCTGTTTTAAAGTATCCATTCAAAGGTCTATGTAATCACTCAGACCTACTATTTTAGGAGATTTCCCGAGACAGTGAGCTATCTTAGCTTGCAAATGATTCGTTCTTATAGAGACATTGTTGTAGAAAGCTTAGAGTCATACGGGAGAGCACAATCTACCTACATAGCTGTGCACAACGACATTCAGAACCAAGGTTTGAATTAGAATAGTGGAGGTGAATTCTGTTTTTCGTCCATGCCATGATCTTCGTCCTTCTAGCAACGATATTCGATTTATAGTAGCTACTTAAAAGCCGTTTACGTCCCACTTTCCTCTGGCTTTTCCCACTTGCAAGTCCATCATCCCAGTCTCAAAAAGTCTCAAGATCCTATGATCATAATCCACCACTCAACACCACCTGCAAAAAAACAACCACATCGAAATGAAGTATCCCACGTCCAGACATTATCCCATTATCACTCAACAACTGCGAAATCACTGCAGCCAATGTCCCAGTTGCCGTCAGAGATTTGAAGCTGAAGGGCGCCACGAACATGTGATATTTGAAATTTTGAATGCCCACTTGGCCATCAGTTCCCAGATACATCCTCCACAATAAATTGATGTGCGACTGCGAGATCCGGGCTGAACACTCCAAGCGTGTAATCACTTATAAGGTGCGGACGTTTTACGTGGGCAAGCGCAGGTGTAGCCGGTGTCCTTCTGGTTTTATCTTAGGTGGTAGAGGGAGGCAACTGAGGAGAGGCGAGCAGATATTGGGCTTAGAGAAAGGGGATGATCGGGAGCAAGTATTTCTGGCACGACAGGATGCTGAAGGAGCATGGTGTTACAGGTAGGAGGCGATATTATTTGCTTTACTATTTCCTGGTGCCAGATAGAATAACCTGTTGCTTTACGCCCTCGATCCAAGTGTTACATGAACTTCTTATCCTAATGTTTGGAGAAGATAGTAAGCAAGTATATTATTCATGATTGAGAGTAAATTATTTCATGGATTTAACGATATTGGAACTCATACACGTAGTCACAAGCCTGTAGCTAATGTACTGATATAACCTGGTAAATTGAATCATGGATCTCGGGATATTTTCTTGATTCACAGCTAACAACGGCGAATGGAATCCTTGCTTTCGTGCCATACCTCCCACTAGGTGGTCTACTTAAGGCCCTTGTCGTCTCTCAATCGCCAAATAATTCCATCTTCGGAGAATGTCAAAATGGGCTCGGAAAGCTCAAGTTATTTCTATCAGAAGTCTCAGCTCAACATTGCTTGCAGCCAGAACTACAATCCAGCCTAACCTCAGCAAAATCGCTATGTCAGATCACTACTTACTCTATGTCTGCGAAAAGCTGGGCGACCAATGCCCTTCATGATGCAAGACGCTTCAAGTTGACAAAGAATGCCGCTAATGCTTAAAGCAGAGCACTTACATCTCACCAATCAATGCCCACGCGGCCATCACAGCCCTCAACGTCGTACGGTGGCTGCAGGGGGGAGGACCACTCTGACCACCCGCAGCATAGAATACTTTATAAGTCGCTGACTGTTTACTTGAATGAATGTAGGGGAGCTTCATATCCCAGCTTTTGAACATCGGCAAATAATATGAGAGACTGAGGATACCGCGTTGGTTTAGTATACTCCGGGATTTGAACAGACTTTTCACTTGAATAATCCGTTTTACAAAATCCATTTAGTCTTATGTGTGAGTTTATGACCTTTAGTAAAGTTTTGAAAATATGTTTGATTCAACAGGTTACATATGCATGATTCAATGAGAATGACACATGAGATATTTTGGCATGTGTAAATCTACGAAATTACCAGTACTCCGCTATTGATTCGGCCAAAGCAGTCTGAAACAATGATCGTTAGTTATCACCGACTTACTGATTACTATCATTCCTTCCGCATCACATCTATATAAATTATCTTATCTCCTTTCCTATAATAACACAAAAAATATCCCAAGATCAAGAATCCGCACATTTCACGAAATGTCCCCGACAATCCTATGCAGCTCCAGTTCTCACACAACACGAGAGCTCATCAAACAACCGGTCATGTCTGTTTCAGATCACAAGGAGAAGACTGAATATCTCAAATACACCTGCAATAAATCCAATTGCACAGCTTATAGTAGGTGTGCCGAATGTCAAGAAGAGGAAGAACGCGGCTTCATCTATCAAGGCGGGGACCATCTGTATTACAGTTGAGCTGGACTTTAAAGAGGCTTTCACAGGCTGGGAGAGAACGATTACCAACATTAAGAAGAAGCTAATCATTATCGAGAACGAAGGTACCATGCAGCATGGTCCGAAATCCGTCTCTCCGAACTGTGGCATGCCCCAAGGGAGAACCCCGATACAGTAGTAACTTTATCCTTACCTATCATGTGAAATTTCCGATGAGCTTGATGCCAAAGCAAAGGGAACATTTGAAAAGGATTTTTTAGTCATTTAAATGGTTACTTGCAGAGATTGACAACCGCACCCACATCAGAACACCATCCGAACGCGCGTAGCAGATCGAGCATTCTACATTTGAATGAAAGCCCCTGGTGCGAATAGTCCGAGAACGCCCCCTTCCGTGCTTCGATGACCCATATAAACATGGATACGGGCCACGGCTTGGAGAATATGGTATTGTTGAAGTTGGCACTAGAGCAAGGCGGCAAGGTGAAGATGGCTCGAAGCCGGGCGGGACATTAGGGGTTCGAAGGAGAGAAACCCAAGGGGGACTATGCAGGTGGCAAGGATCGTATTAGTGACTGGGCCGAGACCAAAGACTATTGCTTCTAAAATGCGTTCCAAGGACATGCACAAGGCGGAAGTCTTTCGGACTGATCCTCTGCCCGAGTAACACGACTTTTTTCATCTACTTGACTTCAAAGAACTCCGAACAAGACACTCATGGGACGTTCCGGAGCAGATAGAAATGAAAAATGCAGGATTTCTGTTCCAGTTATTCCAACGCACTTCATCCCTTAACGCTATAGCAAAGCATCGTAATTATTTTTCGAAAGTTCTTGTTTCCCGCTCCCACTCCTATCTCACTCGCGTAATCTAAGCGAGACCCAGCTGAATAAACACAACGAGTCAATGTCCTCATTTCCACCCCTCAGTCATCTACGTTCTCTCACTGCAGCGTGCTTCCCTTTGCTATTCACCCGACTTTCCCAACACAATCATCCATCCCTGGCCTCGCTTGAGCAAGACCAACACTTGCTCACAGTCACTCGTGTTTCAAAGGTGACCGGAACCAGCATCATGTGTCTATGGTATGGCTTTAGACATCGACATTTGCCTGCGTTATGAGCCCTAAAGGATTTGAGGGGTCAGAAGATACTTTACAGGGACAGACTGCTTTTGGAAACCTGAGACAATAATTTCGAAGGGTGGGGAAGAGTGGTGAGAAAATCAAGCGCAGGAAAGGAATGGATTTTCCCACCACGACATACAGTATTTGACCACATGCGCAGATATCTTTGATATGTAAGTGAGGCTTGGGTGCTGCTGGGCTCTGAACGGGCGTCGTCTCCGTCTCAAGATGGGTGGAACGCTGGCAGGTTGGTGAGTGTTCCATACCTGTGAGCAGTCGCTCGAATTTGCATTTCTCGCAGTTTTCGCAATCAAAGCCGTCTCTGTCGACGATAGCTTCTGTGGTTGCGATGCTACTGGGGTCATTGTGGGGTTTTCTGCCTTCGACCTCGTACGTTGGCAGCTTATCCATGGTGATGAAGATATTTGCGTTGTGAACAAAAAGGAAGGCGGTGATGTGATGTCAAGGAGGTTTTCAAGAGAAGGCAATGGCGATAAAAGCGTGCAGAGTGAATCAGGTTGTGATTTGAAGCTCCGAAGTTGCAAATTTGAGTTACTTAGGAAGGCGCAGACAGTCAAGCTTTTGCATAATCTGAAAGACTGAATGTGCCATCTATTCCTTGAACACCAAAAGTGTCCCATAGCCTTGTGCTCTCTAATTCTCTATGATATCTGTCTGGACTTTCCCAGTCTGTCTCAGTTTTCTCCTTCAACGCAACAGATACACACTATTATTCCTCGAAACCATCAGGAAACGAACAGACGACAAATATCTTTACCTCAATCCAAATATGAATACGAGCCGCCAACTGGCAATGGGTCGTACACTCGCTACAAGGAGAGCCACGATGACAACTGTGAATGCCCCGAGTGAAGCGATGGGCAAATGAAGATGACATACAACTCCTTGGTTAGCGAGAGAGAGATTAAGTTTCCAAGCACTCTATCAGATACTATCCAAATTTTTAGTTTTAAACACTATAATAACTCGAGGCTTGAGGATTGCTGAATTAACAGTTCGAAGGTGAATTATCGGGATATCGTATATTGGTATACATGCATAAATCATCTAAGAGGAGAAGCGGGGAAAGACGTAAGAGTAGTATGATTCAGATAGAAGCCGATAAGTTATGATTAACGACTGTAGATGATTCAGCCTGCTGTCCGTGGTCTGCCCTGTTTGCTTACTCAACAGATTCTCAACCCCAGGATATGGGCAAATTGTTGAGAGAAGATGCTATGTGAAATCAAGTTATTCGTTGAGCTGGAAAAGGGTGATGGCGTGGCTAGCGGATACGAGCTGTTCCCTGTAATACATCCAATACCCCACCATCACAGTTCAACACTTCCATCGTGGACTCAAGATGCCCAATCTTTACTCCACATGCGGCCATGATTGCTGCGCGGGAGATTGTTTGATAAGGTTGCAGGTATGTCATTGCAACATGTTGTCGACTTGACAGGGCGTGAAGGTGGGGGTTCGAGTGTTTTAGCGTTCCAAATCTGATGCGGGGTCGTGGGGAAGGGCCAAGGTCTGGGATGACGGAAGAATTGCCTCGCCTCCGATTCAAGATTTGAAATGGTAATTCCCCTCTACCAATCAATCGGCAACGAAGCTCAGAAGCTTTTGATATTGCGACGGAGTGAGGAATGTGTAATAGGTCACGTGACTACATACAAGCGTGGCCACTTGGAAGCGTTCAACATCCCGGACTTGATAGAATGTGAGATTAGAGGGTTATGTAGCAACCTGATTTGAAATGTCCATCTGTGGTAGTTTGAGAACAACAAAAGGAAGGCTTGTGCATCGAAACACAGTGTTTCTGTAGTCAACGGAGGAGGATGAACGAAAAGTGTAAAAGGAATAGAAAATTGTGAGAAGATTTGACTCGTGCCAAGATATCCGTTCGCCTGTATCTCACCTAGTCCGTAATTATAGGTGGTGGTAGTTTTGCTGTGGGGTTGTATTACCCTTCCACTTGATTTCATCCAACGTAACCCGCAATAGTTGCGTGCAAAACGTTACATATATTGGGGTATGACTCGAGGTTACAGAGGTACTGATGACTAACGTCACAAGAGCACTTCCATGTTCAAATGACCAGTTCCGAAGCAGTGTAGAAGTGAAGAAATCTCCTGTTCATTCCCGGGATAACAATTTAAAATTGAGAGATTGAGAGCCACCACGGTCAAAGTTTGCAATTGCACTTCAGAGAGGTCTCGTGAGACCCGCAAATTAATTCTCATACATGAAATGAAGCCGCTGTAGAGGGTGATCCGGTCGCTGAACTTGATCGCGCCATTGTTAAACCTCTTGTCTGTCCCAAACAATCCCAAACAATATTTTGACGGGAGGGACAACTTTGCCACTTTCTCCCAAAAGTCATGAGGCCCAGAGTCCAGAATAAGGACCGAGCAGAGCATTCAATTCAGTGAATGAAGTGGGGGAAAAGCTTTTTGCGATGTGAAGGAGGAATTTCTATGTGATGAGGCGGACTGAAAAAAATACAAGGATATTTCAACAATGCATGCATGGCTGAGTCAACCTGGTCTCGAGAGCATTTAATCTCCTTCATGCAAGTGAGAAGGAGTCCTCCAAATTGATATTCTCTCCGAGGTCGGCTGTTTCGAGTTGCGATTGAAGGTATTTCCCCCTTGCTCTAATACGGTGACCACAGTAATTCTACCTTTTCCATGAGGAAACTGAAATAGATTCTTATTTAAATTGGATCAGCAGGAGGGTAAATCAGAAGGTGCTGCCGGCTCCCGTAGTAGTACCACGTTGATTACCAGGCCTTGGTATCGCTGAAGCGTTGAGGTTGAGGGGCCTAAAATGTCCTTGCAGCTAGTAACTCCCCTGTTACATGCAGGTACTAGATACTTTTGGCTCGTGTGATGTTCATGGAGTTTCCTGCATACTCTTCAAGCCCGCAGCTCACTCAAAAGTGACTTCTCACTGAAGGATCCACAAGGATGAGCCCACGAGCACCCAGTTTCTCCGACATGACGGGACTTGGTAAAGGGCAGAGCGTAACGCACCGAATCAGGGAAGAACCTGCGGAAAGGGAGCCTTTTGGCACGTTGACGAAGCATTTCTGGCCAACCCTAAGTTTCAACAGCCCGTGACGCACGCATGGGGCCGTACTGCAGCCCTTGAGAGAAAACGCACACCGCCCTCACGGCCCCCAATTGCAAAAGGCACCCTCGCCCTTCTCTACAGCACGTCGTTTTCGCGATCACTACGTTTGTACGCAAGATGAAAAGAAGCAAGTCAAACTTCTCAGGCTTCACGTGATGAATTTGATCAACCTCAGGAAAGTCTCGCGGGATGTTGGACCCCTGGAAACTGCCAGAGTGGGGGGGATCTTTTTGGCGTTGGTGTGGGGTTGATTTAGGTCTTGGGGGCGTTGGAGGCTGGAGACAGACGTGGCGGTCAGCAAATGCATGATGGGCTGGATAACTTGCTGTTGTCCGACATGCAAAGGAGAGGAGGAAAAGGCGTACTCGAGGTCGTAGCCATTATTTCTCTTCCTGCCTAGAATCACAGCATTCTTTGGCGTTTTGTTGATCCTCTCAGTGGAAGGGTCAAGTAAAAGATTCAGTAACCCCCTTGCAGAACCTTAAAATTGTTCTGGAACCAACGGCGGCCTTCCGGAAATGCTGACATTATTGTCAGGGCTTACGCCGGCCTTCCGACCGTGGAGAGCTGCTCTCCGCGGCCGGTCCTTGCAAGCTCGCCACTAGAGAGACAACGTCTTGTGCATCGTCACTTGCATCGTCACTTGCATCGCATCGAACTGGACCCGATTAAGAAGACATACTCCACGGCCCCTTTGTATCCCCAAAGTCGAGATACACCCGCTGGCCTGGTCCAGCCAATGGTTCAAGGGGAGCAAATGCCATGGTACGGTGTGCGAAGCTACGGGCTCGCAGCCGCTGAGACAAAACATTGGCCAATTTCGCCACCGATCCAGGAAGGACACGGATATTGATTTTTTTCCTTGACATCAAGAAACCGCATTCCGACTTCTCCTTGTCGCCAGCGTCCTCCGCCATCCTGTAACCCCCGAATTGTGTCCGCTCGTTCCGCTTGTCGGAGTTGAGGTCTTATACTTACCTCGTCGCATTTCCTATCTAGCTGGGCGTGGGCGCTTTCAAGGCATCAATCTTTTCGTCACAGCTGTAAGACGATGTCGGGCGGTCTCCACACCAATTATCAAGTCAAGAGGGAGGATAAAAAGCCTTGCGGGTTCGCTATTAATGTCATCCAATGGAAGTGGCGCGTGGATTGGGCCTCATCAGCGCGAGCTTTTTGGGCAGAATGGGACTCCTGCATTCGAGCCCGACCCTTCTTCATGTAACCCAAACCCATACCAACTGGTCTGTCCGCCTCACTTTTGAATTGACGTGCGATGCTAACCGGTACTAGGGGCCGAAGCGAAGATACGTGTATATATGGCAATGCGTGAGTTACTGCCCGATGGCACAGCCCTATTTCATCGAACCTAACGAACGCCCGAATAGTGTGCATGCGGATGCTCAGGCATCAATATCATGGTCACTACGTGTCCGGAATGCGGTGTCCCAAGGTGCGCATATTGCCATACAACAAAAGTGCAACTGCGGTAGGATCGAGGATTGGATATATATTGTCATGGGATGCCCTCAGACCCTCGGGTTGCCTTGTCGAAGAGGATCTAGCTTGGTCGCCTTGTTGGGCTCCATTTGCAAGGCTGGAGACGTGGAGAGTTGCTGTCGAGCGAAATGGATGGTTTTCATATGTTCAGAGATGCCGGCGTCCTCAAAAGTTACGGGTTTGGCCGGTCCAAAATGTACGATATGAAAAAGACGGTGTGTAGTTCTACTACCCTAATATGACTCAATAATGCTGCTACTACCAGGACCCTCAGCCCCTATGGCGAAGCTTCATATTTTCAATGACAACCTTCTCCCCTTATTATTTCTCCTTGAACAACATTCAAACTCTTCTCTCCACACCGCTCTCGATAGCTCGAATATGTCACCAGCGATAACGACCATCGAATGTTCGACTTTACCCATGCAATCGACTTGCACCTTTTAATCAGCCTCTTTCGATTGGCTCATAAAGCATTAAAAGAAAGCTCCTAGCACCACGACGGTGGTACAGGACGTAGGAATAGATAGGAAGACATACATCCGGAGGCCTTTGTTTTTGGCTTTAGAACTATACAAGTTACCTACGTCCTGTACCACCGCAAACAGCTATGTCCAGTATTTACCGCAGCTGCTATGCGAAGCATTGGGATCTAGCCTGTTTAACCGACCGCAATTTCAACGATGACTGGACTCGCTCCTTTGTGGATCTGAAAAGAAAGCTCGGTGCAGCCGGCGAGGGGATTGAGCTCTTTTTGGAGGATGTTCAAGGCTTTGGTCTTGATGACAAGTTCGAGGAGCTGAAGGCCTTGGCTGCAACAGTGTCTTTGGACGATTTGCAACAAGGAGTAGGACCTGCAGGCCAACGCCCTAGCGCCTGGCTTGATGAGAGAAGTCTTACGTCTGGAACGAGGGAGCACAAAAATCCTTTGACTGCGACCCGACTTTACAATCATCTGAAAATACCTGTACGTAAAGCCTTTTCATCCTCCCTCGAGTGGATATCAACCATTGACCAAACGGGAATTAGCGTATTGGGAGTAAATTTGCACCGGATGTCCAGAGACGTTTAGTGTGAGTGCACGAGCACATCCCCTCTCAAATAACAACTCGTTGCTGAATATATGTACAGATACATTAAAAACCTGGATGCCGCGTATATGCTTGCTCTGGCAGAAACAGTCGCAAACCACGAAGTGCTGTTGTTGAGAGATGCTCTATGGAAGCACTTCGACCGTCAGACGTGGCTCAATGTCAATTTTCCTGTAAGTAACCACACACTTCGAAGGTTTCCTGCTGCCTGTCTGGGTGCTGACGTATGGCCCTGCAGACCAACACCTACAGCATATTCCAACTGGAGTTCCATCTGAACTACTTCACTTTCGGAACAGCGCCAGCAGATAATGAAGCCGACCACAGAGCTGCGGCCAGCAACCCGAAATGGACCGACCTGTCGTTCTTGGAAATAGAAACTCCGAAGGCACCAGAAGGGAGGAAGCACGGCATATTCGAAGCGCATTTCACGCTGGTCATATGTGGTACTCACGAAGGTCAATGGGATGCATATGCTTTTGACGACAATGAGTTCGAAGGGGAGGATTTGTACGAGAAGCTTTCAGCCTGCGAGGCCTTTCACCCAGACCCAATTGCATCTTGCCTCCTGTCAGACAATGATACAGACGCCGATCTCCCAATTTGGAACCCACGGGAATACTTTCTCAAAGTTGTGGCAAACAGAACTGCTGCGGCGTCCGAGGCATGGGATTCCTTGATAAGAGCAACTGAGCGCAGCATCAGGAAGCACGTAAGTTGATAATCTCATGATCCTTAATCTTCTTTTTCGACAACTTTCGTAACTAACAGCTGCGATAGAGATCTCAACACCCCTCAACGTTGTCACAACATGATGGAAAGAAAAGAGATCGCAGCGAGACTGCCAAAACTTTCGACTGGACGCGGCAAACCAAAGAGCACGTCGACCGACTACGAACAGATCTCTCGGAAACAATCAAGTATTGGAAGGATTTCAATGATCTCAACGGAGACATCGACTACTTCACGGACGTCAATGATCCGCCTAATGAATTTCAGAACCGGGTTAATCCGTTACTCTGCCAGATCAAAGAAACTTTCCAGAAACTTGAAAGGTTTCAACGGATCTTGAATGGCCTGAGTGTGGTATGCAAAGATGCTGAAAATGCTGTAAGTTGTTACCATACACCACCCTCTTCTTGCCATCTTCAGGAGAACACTGGCTGACAAAGTTAGCTCCAACTCCGATTGACTCTTGAGAGCAGTGAAGCAACAAAATCTAGCGGCGCAATTGCCGACTTTACGACATTTGTATGGTTGTTGGGTACCCTTCCGCATCTAACATGCTAACTATTTTCAGGTTCTGTTTCCTATAGCGGTCGCTGCTGCCTGCCTGCAGTTTTCCCCGACCATGATGCCATTGCCACCAGGACCGGCAGTGCTTATTTTGACCGCAGTATTTATTGTTACAATAAAGACGCTGCACGCCATCTTTGGTGCACTCCCTGGAATTGCTTGGTGGTGGAGTAAAATTAAGACGCCTGTGAAGGCAATGAAGTTGGAGGGGGTGGGGAACCCTCTCTGTATTGGCCCTTTGAGCAGCCCCACGCGAAAACACCCCAGCGATATTGACAGAACGGCGCTGGACGTCGAAATGGGTCCAGTCCCAGGTTGAGGATTGCATACTTCAACATTGCTTTCTATGTTTTTTTTTTTTCGGGCGCTACAGTATATATACCCCCAGTTCTCAAATCATGTAATTGCACTAAGTCATGCTACCTGAAATCGCGAAATAATTCATTCGAAATGCTTGGTTCGAAGTGAAGTTATGGTATAGAGAAGCAATCTTTCTGCATAGCAGGCCGGAGCTTATACCTTGCTCTTCCCATTTCACCGAATGAACTTGCAGTTCACGACTCACCGAGAATTAGCCGGATAAACGTTGGAATGGAAATCCAAGAGCCCCCTAACCCCACCATCTCTTCCCCGCCTTGGATCTTACTGTCCAATCTTCTTCATATCGAATCGCAAGAGCGCATCAGAATCAGGAAGACCGTCCAGCCAATAAATTATGTGAGGCTGCATGAGCCTGCGGGAGCATCCGCTTTCATTGGAAAAGGGTGGCTCGCGGCAGAAGTAACGCCAATGGGCAGCGTCCACGAGTCTCGCGGCCTCACAAGAGCACCACACAAATCTCCGGCAGACTGGTAATTGGCAAGAGATTTCCCATTTCATGTATGGCGATTCCAAAATTGCCAGGTGTGCAATGTCATCCTGCATCCAGCGTTTAGATCAAACCGACGTGTCGATGACTCGATCTTTTCATCGAATGACCTCGTAGTCCAAACAGCAAGACCGCCACTACCTCTCGAACAAAACGGGCAAACATTTGTACTTTCAAGTTCAGACACTACGAGATAGCCCGCTGCAACCGGATAACATGACGACTTTGACGATTACCGATCTGGAGGTACTTCTTGCAAGGCTTGGGCTGAGTGTGCCCATGCCGTCCTTCGAGGCTACCGATGTCTTGAACAAACCTCTTGATATTGGCCGTTGCTACTTCGCCGACATTCTCTGCAGCCTTGTCGACGGTGACCCGGAGAAGGCTTACAGTTCAATCTTATCACCTGGCGACATCTTCAATGGAGACTTGGCTGTAGTCTTGCCGAAGCTCAAGCCCGGCTCTAGAGCTGACGTCCTTGGCCCTGACCTGATGACTAGGGTATGGCTATTGCTCTTCTATCTCAGATGTTCTTGCGTGCAATCAAATAGGCTAATACACCCAATCAGTTTCCAGAATGCTCGCTCTTCAACCTTCCGTTTACAGATGGAGTTCAGCTTCGAATCATGCTCAATTCTCAGGCACTACCGCGACTTTTGTTCCCTTATATACAAGAACGCAAAGAAACGTATGGACTTGATGTCGCACTTGGACTTCGAGACGTGACCGCCCCCGGTCTCGGCAGGAAGAAGTTGGTGGTCGACTTCTCTTCGCCAAACATTACAAGCGAGTTTCAAGGGAAACATCTCCGAAGCACGATCATCGGATCCTTCATTAGCAACCTATACGAGTCAATGGGTTGGGATGTTTCCAAGATCAACTACTTGGGTGATTGGGGCATGCCAATTGGCTTGCTTGGCGCTGGATGGGAGCGATACGGCTCCGAAGAGCAATTCGCTGCCGACCCTATTACACATCTGCTGGAAGTATTCCATAAGTTCAACGAAGAATTCATTCCCGCCCTTCTGGAAAGCAAAAGAATTCGAGACGCGGGAGGAGATCCAGCCGAATTCGAATCCCAAGGTGTGTTCGCGGAGCGGAATGCATTTTTTAAGAGAGTGGAGGATGGTGAAGAGAAGGCGAAGGGGTTTTGGAAGCGCGTCCGAAGTCTCAACATTGAAAATTACACCAAGCTTTATGCTCGACTAAACGTCACTTTCGACGAGTACTCTGGTGAATCGCAAGTCAGTCCAGCGACCATGACGGAGGTAGAGGAAATCCTGAAGAGCAAGCAACTTTGCGAACACAACGATGAAGGTTGGCTCATTGACCTGAACAAACATAGGGAGCCTAATGAGCCAAAGCCCGGTGTGGCGATCATCCGCAACCGCACCGGGACCACCACCTACCTGCTCCGAGAGCTTGCCGCTGCCTTGGAACGGGACAGAAAATACAAATTTGACAAGATGATATATGTTGTTGGAGATCAACATAATACGCACTTCCCACGAGTCTTCAAGATCTTGAAGCTTATGGGTATGGAAGATTTGTCAAACAGACTGCAATGGGTCCCGTTCAACGAATGTTCTCAGATGTCGAAGCAATTGGGTGAGGGGGAGGGGCATATGCTAGGAGATATCCTCGACCAATATCAAACTGCAATGGAAGAGTCGTTGAAAATGAGCCCGGAAAAGTCTGCCCTCCTCGGCGATACAGATAAGGAAGCTCTAGATGCTATCGGCACCACTGCTCTTCTGGCTCAGGAACTCTCAGCAAAAAGAGCAAACAATCACGCTTTCGACATAAGCCAGATGACCTCGTTCGTCGAAGGCACAGGTCCGGATCTCCAGTACTGGTATGCAAAGTTGTGCTCCATCCTCAACCCATATCATACTACTCTTGACCTCACCGATGAAGACTACTCCTCCATCGAAGACGAGGAGCAAAGCAACCTCCTTCGCTACCTCATACAGTACCCTGACATCACCCGCACAGCTTACACCAGTCTGGAATCAGCTGGAGTTATGACATATCTTTCAAGTGTTACTGCGCAGTTGTCGGTATGCCTGGGTGAGGAGAAGATTACTCATACTCCTGCTCAAGTCATGCTATACGAGGCCACGCGAAGGGTTTTGGAGAATGGAATGAAAGTTCTTGGAATAACGCCGGCCACAAAGTAGGTTTTAATTTCGTGTTTGAACTAATACTATCGGCTAACATTCCTGCAGATTGAAGGTGAATGGCACGCACTTGGCCCACGAGGTGGAGAAGTTAACCTTGACCGAATAAAAACGAAAACATGGAACTGTCGGGGTATACGGGGCGTTGAGGGATTTGTGGAGTACGTTCTAGGCGCGTATTCTTGAATAAACATGCCGAGTTGAAGATACTTGGTTCTCACGACGAAAGGGCCTGGAGTAGAGAAGGAGCTGCGGAGCGTTCTACTTCAGGCATACCTTCCTTGGTCCTATCGACCTTAACGGTAAAAGCAGGAATCGGCTTGCTTCAAGTCATTATATGGGTATGGCATAAGTTGGGGTAACACACCAAATTGTACACCGAATTTGTTCGTCTCTTTGGGACTAAAGGGAACTTGCGTGGAATTCGGGAATAGTGATTACTTACAGATACGATTGATTATGGGAAGTTTTTGGGTATAATAAAAATTCTAGCACTACATCAATTCCCTGAAGCGTTAACATCCGTGAATCAAACCTGGGCCCAGGGTCTAGCCGAAGTTACAGTGTATCGAGGGCCTTGGGACAATCTTGAGAACCGACTTCTCAGCCCCCTTTTTTATTACAGGCACTTCACAATTACCCACAACTATACCGTTCCAGAGTTGATCCACACAAGTTATCCTTTGGGTTTAGGAGGCTCTGCCCTGGCCTCAACTTCTCGAAGTCGACTATCTATACTAATATCGCACAAATCCTAGTTTGTCGTTAATATTTATAAGAGGGTTGAGAATGGACAGAAACTTAATACAAAGGTAAAGTTTCTTTTCTGGGTGATCAGCCATCATACTCCCTTTTAAGGCGCTCATTGCCCAGGTCTCCTAGGCATAAAGCGCTAATCCTCTCAATTGAGAAGATCCATCCTTGGCAGGAGAGTGATGCTGAGGTTCTTGAGAGCATCTCTTCCTGGGCTACTAGCACAGCAATTTCGGCAGCCTTGCAAACAACGCATTGATATTTCAATGAAACATTTTGTAAACTAGCTTTAAGGCGAAGGGTGCTCGTTCAACAGGCCGGATACTTCAAGTTGCGGAACAGGGTCCTATATTCTTGTGGACAATGCATCGACCCGAGGCTAGAATTGAAGAATCCGAAAGATCTTATGATCTTGTTCTAATTCCGAATGATAGTTTACATAACGCGAATAGGATGCTCCCTCAGCTGCCGTATGATTTCTTTGACAACACGTTTGAAATCCCGGTTTTGCCAGCTGCCATAGTTGTAGGAGGAATCCTGTTTGGTGGACTTCATTGTCTAGCTCGGACATTCCACTTCCAAACCCGAGGCGAAGCCCTAGTCTGAAGAGTTTGCTCTGTTATGACTGGCCCCCGCCATTGTCAGTTCTGCCGTTGGGTACCTGGGTATAATGGCACCCATGAAATGAGGTGCCGAAGCGATCGCCAGGAGCGAGATTCACCCTTGGTTTGACTCTCATCCTTGGATTTCTGGCTCCCCTATGTACTTACAAGACTATTTTTGGTGTTTGAAATGTTCTGAAGCTTGTTCTTTCTTCCACCAGAAACATTTGTTGATACATGGTCAGGGTCCTTTCCGCACTGGGGATGAGTAGTCGAGGTCATCGAAATTTGGCATGTTTGGGATGAAATAATGGAGATCTAATCTGATTTGGGTTTTCATACTCCTTCTTATTGCATATATGAGATAGCCTGTTGGGAGCTGTCGTTTTAAAACTCCTTTCTCCGTAAATGTAGATGCCACTAATCAGTGGTCACATCAAAGTAAGGGTTCTTCTCCGTGGAGGGATACTGAACGAATAATAGATCAAAACCGGAATACATATTTGCAAAATGGAGTGGGTCCTTGCTTCATTTCGAAGGATCGAGGTTGTCTATTTTGTTTTGTGATTATTATATACAGGAAGCGTCTTTCCTTCAGTTCACCTGCCACTCACGTCCAAGTGAAAGTCTCTCTTATGAATGTTGGAGACATGATCCGATATATCCAGCCCGTCGAATTTTGGGCAAATCACTGCCAAGGACAAGGCTTAATACAGTTGCGTCTCGGCTGAGGAGCTAAGTCAGTACGAGGCATACTTCGGCAAACAAGAAGGCAGAGTTAACGTACATCGCCGCAAGTTGACGGATTACAGTCTTGATCACAGCACAGTGAAGCAGTTTCCTCCAACGGCGAACTTTGTTACCGTCATGGATGGCAGTCTTGAGGAAGAATTGCGTATTGACCGATGGCTGTTGCTCAAGAGAGAGATATGGGAAAGAGTGTCTGCGGTGGGGGTACTCCAGTGTTAAAGAAGTCTGGAAAATGATCTTGCATCAAGGGTGAAGGATAGAGCATGCTTTTCTTATACCAACTCTTAAGATTAAAGGGGTCTAAAATATGTTGCATTCTCAACTGACTCAATGAGGAAGCTCCTATTGTTGACCTTGTTTTTGCCTTGCCGGTTTTCGTAGATCTTAAGGTGTTGTGTAACAAATCAGGATCTTCGAACAGGACGAATGGAGATTTGATTGGATATTGCACCATCCTGGCAAAATACCTAACACAGCACCAGTTCCGCCGATTAAGCGCTTCGCCATCGTTAGCTGAACGAAACAGTTGGCACATAGGAGGGAACGAATTGCAGAAAACTGTGCCGCCGGTTATGAATATTGCTTTGCCATTTGATATCAGCATATGATTTCTCACACATTAGTTTCCTAGTTAACCTCTGCGGGTATACGACCGAGCTTTCTCCAGAAACCCTAGCTTATCTAGTTTCCAGACCACTTGAAAGCCTTCTCCTTATATCTGACACTCTCACGTATTAGACCTATTATATCTTAACCTTGCTACCTGTTAGTTGAATTTATCTGCAAGTCGTTTGAATAAAACGAGATACATATATAATCTTTCAACGTCTTCTAACGGTCTGACCCAACTAAGCGAGCGAAGCGAGATAACCCCTGATACTGAGGCTAAAGTCAACAGCACTTGCCAATCTCGTCGCGAGTGCAAAAAAAACTGCACCAGGAATGAGAGTGGTAAGTGACTAGGTATTGCAAGGACACCCCAGTGAGCGGGGGTGTTTATTGCATCCAATTTGCTTCCCTACCTCCGAAGGATCGCCGAGAAAAGTATGTGAATTTGAAATGCTTCCGGGGGACAAGGCCCAGGATTTGATACTCTTTGACCCAGACATGTGAACAGATCATGCGAGCCCTCAATTTGGCTGACTCTGGTAGTATCCAAAACAACCGGCGATCTCGTGCATCGTGATGTCGAAGTGATGTCGTTCATGAATGACCAGTAAAGCACCTCGTCCTTCTAGCCTGGCATCAAAAATATTGATGCGCACCTCCATTGTTCCAAGAATATAGGGAACGCTGAAATACGTACGGCCTACTGAGTAGAGCCTCGTACTATTGCCTTCTCTAAATCCTCGCCCTCTCACGCGAGCCGGGTCATGAATCCGGACAGTGGTAGATACGTTTTAGATTTACTAACATCTGACTCCTAGTCCCGCTCTCTGCTGTGGGAACACTGTACTATACATTGTCACTTATTTCTTGGTGTAACGATATTTCAGTCAACGGTTGACCCACAGCTTGGGTTCATTGCCCAAGACTCAAGAAAGGAGCCAATGTTCTTCAACAGCTGGAGATCAGACATCCTGCTTTGGCCGATCTCCTTGTTCCAGTACTTTCGGTACATTCGAGTCTTCGACGTCAGATGATTTATTGCTTAAAATGCGAAGTAGCTCAACCTCGGTAACCTCAATGTCCCACGATTCCTGGGACATCGGAACGCACTATCAGTCGGATCGGGCATTGTCTTGGAAATGGGTGCATGGGGCATAGCTAAGGGTCAGCTGTTCAGCTAAACAGGGGTTTTCAGGGGCAATAGAGGTTATTTGGATGTCTATAAGTATAAGCCTTAGATCAGTGTAAAATGGATAGTCGTCTAAGAGCCATTGCATGTGACCTTTTGCTTTGCCATCTCAACTCATCGAAGCAAAGATGAGAAACACGTGATTCAAAGAAGGGGTGGACCCTACTCAAATCCATTGCGTTTCTGGTTCAAGGGTTCACTATCACATTCATTCATTTCCGGTTTTTCCACGAATACGAGATTCACACTGCTCAACGCTTAATTCACTATTTCAATCGCCCAATGTATCTATGTACAATGCACCCTCCCTCCTTCCCTTCCAGCCACCAACTCACTGCCCATCCTTCGTAACCCACAACCAAACAATCGGCTTCTCACCCGGATGCCCCGTTCGATCGCCCCTCCACCCATACTCACTAATCGCCTTCTTCACCTTATCTTTATCATCGCCTACGAACTTTGCGCCAACCTTCCATTGTCCATTGCCAGCCTCCACAACTTCATACAAGATATTCTTCTTCGCGTCCTCGTTCGTGCAGCCGAGGTTCTGCATCAGCTCCTTGACAGTGGTGCCCGTCGGCACGAATAGCTTGACATGCTTCGAGCTGTCTTCTTTGAACATGGTGGTCTGCCATGGCTTCTCTTTGGTCTTGAAGACGTGGATTTTGCAGTGTTCCTGCGGGAATGCATAGTCGTAGCCGGGAGGGAGACCAACGCCGCCGGTGTGGTTGCGCAGGTGGATGCCGGGGAAGCCGTGGTCGGTGAAGGGTGCCACGGTCGGATAGGTCATTCCGCCCATGCCGAAACCTCCATATGGTGGCGGCATGAACATCGGCTGTTGGGGGAAGCCTGGGTATGGCGGCGGTGCTGGCCAGCCGAATCCTTGAGGAGCTGGCGCTCCGAAGAAGGCCGGGTACTGGGGCACGCCGAACGGTTGCGCGGGACCGAACCCCGGAGGCATGGGGCCGGTGTCGAAGCCATGATAGCTGTTGAATCCAGCTCGAGCCATATGGGTCAGCTCCTCGTCTTCGGATGCTGCTCGAGATTCTGACAACTGAACTCGAGGCTCTCTTGGTGGAGGAGGTCCTAGATCGAGTCCGTGAGTAGGGTTGAGGCCCTGGCAGCCCGAAGAAAACGCCTTGAGCTGTTGGAGATATGCGATGCAGTTGTCAAGATTGTCGTAAACTGCGATGGACTGAAAGTTTACAAGCTGGATGCTGTGCAAAGGATCAAAGAGTGTGGCGTATGTCAGGACGATTTTGCTGATGGGTTCGGGCAAGGAGTGCTCATATACCCTTTCCTGAAAGGACGCCAGGATGGATGAGAGAGGGGGAGAGAAGCGTCATCCAAGTTTTGATGATAGGTACAGACGTTTGCTTGAGTATGGCTGTGACGTGTAGTGAGTAAGGACGGGTATTTGATGCAGGGGAGTGTGTAGACCTGGGTGAGGGTGTCTGTTAGAGAAGAAAGAAAGGTTATGAGTAAGCGTCGTGGCGGGAGTATTTGAAAGGGTATGAATCATTTCCTGGAGCATGAAATTTGGAAATAAAGAACAATGATTCACACATCACCCCGTTTCGCGAGCAACATCACCCTGTTTCCCCAACCTCGAAACTGGTAATAGTGATTCACAGAGCATGAGTTCTTCCTCGCCAGCATCATCACCTATTCTGTGGGGGGTGGGAATTGACTTTTCAGCAAAGCCTCACAAACATTAGAAAATTGCTTCAGATTGCCAAGAGGCACTGGCCTGTGTTTCAATGAGGATATAAGAAAAAAGATTCGTGGATTTGAAAGGGGGACGGAAGAAAGATTTGCAGCAACGCCACCCATTTTTGGAAAACGGCTTGATGCCCTTTGACATGCTTGACTGTGGAAATCTGAAAGCCCAGCCCACTTTGCCGAATGGGGAATGACTTGTTCCCAAAACAGACTGTGGATGTTCACGGCAACACTGTGCGCTCATCAACCGAAGAAAAGAGGTCACGCACCGCCAAATTTTCCACCGTTAACCCTAAGAAGTCGGGACTTCTCAAGAACGTTGTCGCTTGGTATTTTTGTGAATTCGTGACCACTATTGTGGCCTCTCGTTGATACATTGATGATACATAGGGCACCTCGAAATGCAAAGTTGTTGTGCTTTCCAAACGAAAGTCGAGATTCAAATACCCTTCCCTATTTGACCACCGCCAACCCCTCGTAAATCTTGTTCTTGACGGCGTAAAACGTCCCTCCTTGCTGCATGAGACCAGTCACCAACCCAATGCTTTCGACTTCGATCCTTCCTGTCCCAGACTTTCGTACAATTACAGACCCATCGATCAGCAATGTTCCCTCACCCCGGAATTCGGCAGTGTGACCCGATCCTTGCATGATCTTTCGCAAGTCTGCGAGCCGGAGATCGCCAACTTGGAGAGGTTGCGCAACCGATCTGGTCGCGGACACCATGTTTGACGGCAATATATCCAGAGTAGGCACCTCAACCTCAGCTGCATCAATAGCTTCGCGTGTTTCTTCTGCATCTCCCTTCAGCAATTTCTGCTTCTTGTTGCTCCCTTCAGCTTTCGCATCTGGCGAGTCGTGATGTATAGCCTCCAAGCGCGCGGTGACGGTTGCAATGCTTAATCCTTTCACGTTCTGCCATTTCAGCTGCTTCACAAGTGCATCCGTAAGCTTTACAGCCCATGCGTTTGTATCAACACTGGCATCAACAGTGATTCCGATTTCTGGTGTATAAACGTCAATCGCTGTATCTTCAGCACCTATAAGGGCTGCTAGCAGCTTCCGGCAGTCCGCTGCAAGAGACAAAGTCTCGTCTTTTATACCACTGACCAGGATAAGCTTCCGGGGCTGAATCAGCGGTATCAACATTTGCAAACTCCTCTTGTCGTGCAACCCAGCAAAATCAACAAATGCCAGTCGAACGTTGATGTTGAGAGTCTCAGTGGAAAAGACAAGTCTTGAAGGGCTAGTAATCTCTTCCTCTGGTTCTTCGTCCGACGCATCATCTTCAACACCAGGGGGCATGTCCGCAATGTCCGGGGATTCGCGTTGTCCACCACCAATTTGCTGTCTCTTGTTCGCCCCATTTGGTACTCGACCTTCGTTCGGCACCGCAATGTCATCCCACTTCCGCTTCTTGCCCAAAGTATCCTTCGTGTCGTATTTGTTTGATTGCTGGCGTAAATCTTGGCCATCCACCTCATCCCGCTCTTCTGCTCTCAGGAAGTCTTCTGGTCGAATTAAATCTCCAAATTCGTCAGCTCTCTTTCGCCGGATCGCCACTGGAAACATCTTCTCCCGCCCTTTTTTGCCACGGACATCGAAGTCGTAGACGCCTTTCCGTCGGAGGAGTATGTTGATTCCAAGGTCTTCATCGCTCAGCCCAATCTTCTTCCGGTTGGCCTGGCCCATGGTTGCTGATATGTTCAATGCCTTTCCTTGTTGTTCGGTATCAGAGTCTTCAGAATCCGAAGAAGAGTCAGAAGAGGCGTCATCAACTACATCAGCGGACGATTCGAGAGAAGTGGCTCCCCCAGATTGTGTTGTCAGGAGTTGGCGTTGGGTAGCCAGCCAGTGCTGATAAACGCTCAAATCATTACCCTCAAGCGGTATGCGTTTAATATCTTTCAATTCAACCGACCTGCCGCTCGTGTTGACTTGCTCCAGATTTTCGCCATTTTTGCTGGGCTCCAACGTGACTCCGTTCTTACGCTCTTCCCACCAGGACCACAAAGTTTTTGCCAGCCCAGGGCCAGCAGCATCGTGAGTAGGTGCCAGCCTTTCCGTTAGAATCACAAGGTTGCGGCTGTCATCGGCGATTTTTCTCAAGACATCCTTTGAGAAGCCCCACTCCAAGGATGTGTCACTAGCCAGGATGACCTTTCCGACGGATCTTCCAAGGTTGTCCGTTTCATTCAAGACTCTGTTGATTTGCCCTCGACGTTCAAGCAGACGCAGATGTTTGAAGTCAAATGGTCCAGCTCCATGCTTTTGATCCGATTCTCCTTGTTTCTTCAAAACTCCAGTGTTGGCTTCAAACTCTCGAATTATTGCATCGTCCATCCATTCAAGCATGCTTCTTGTATATCGCATCGTCGCACCAATATTCTTACTCGCAAGATACAACTTCGAGGTCCGAAGAGGACTGTCATCATCATTTGTTTCTTTTCTCCAGGCATGTTCCAGTAAATAAGCCAGTTCCAATACTCGAGCACTGGAGTCTGTAGGAATCAAAACTGTTCCACCTTTGCTGGTTGCTGATTTGATCATGTCCAAAAGTAGCTCGTCGCGCTTTGCTCTTCCACCTGGCAAGGCGAGTCTTTCACCACCTCGACTACTGCAAATCAACGCCGTAGGTTTTCGCAATTGCTCAATGACCTCTGCTCCTCCTGCCCCAGCTCCTCCAAGCCAAGCTGCGCCTGCCAAAACATTCTCTCGAGCCTGGTTCCAATCAACGGCATAAACAATTGATTCCAACCCATGTTGAATGTGCCATATTGTTCCTCCGAGAGTATGTCCCGCATTGTAGGCAGTGACCGTAAGCCCGTTCAGTGGTGCTGAATTTGGTGAGGGTATGGGCTGATGTGGTTGTGAGTACTTGAGAGGGTGAATAAGAGAGAAGTAGGACGCGATTTCTTCGAGAGTCGGTGGCTGGAGAAGGATGTTCGGGTCTTGGCTTGCGGATACGGATTGAGAGTAGGAGTATGAGGCTTCGGAGAGTGCTGATGGAGGAATGACAGTTGAAGCTAAAGGTGTCGAGGTGTAGAGATCTTGTACCAAGGTGCGTCCCAGAGATATGACAGGAAGAGTTGCGTAGACGGGTATTCGAGCAAACTGGGGAAAGTGTTTGCAACAGTGTGCGTAAGCTCCGAGATGTGCGATTGTCGGATGCGTAAGGAGGATGATCGAAAGCGTAGGAACTTGCCTGGAGGGGGCAAGTTAGCATAACAAATACTATGAGGCAGCAAGATGAGAGAAGATGGCCAGTATAAAACTGGACAGATGATCAATGCAGAGAGTGACGGGTGGAATGCGTCTTCATTGATGTTTGTGTACAATGCGCTGCCCACCGTGCCTTCTTCAAGCCGAAGCCATTAGAAAAGAAACACAACCTACTTCTCAAGCTCCTTCAGCTTCGCCACATCAAATGTCTCGTCCCAGCCGACATCTATTAGTACTTTGACACCTCCATCGAGCTCCAAGAGCGACTGTGATGCACTCGATTCCGACTGCGCTCCCTGCAACGGAGTAAAGGTGAACATCTTGTCCAACTTCTCCTCGTGAATCAGCGCATCTGGCAGATTGATGAGTCCTGTCGCATGTTATCGCTCTGCAAAGACTGACACTGGCGTTGAATTTGCTCATGGATGTCGTCGCAAGAAAGGTGACACCAGGGACGAGGACGGAAGAAAGGAAATCGCGTCCGACAGGGGGGTTGAGTTTCTTAGCGCGAATTGCACGTGCCACTCGCGGAATTTCTGGATCTCGAAAAGGTGTCAACACCTCAGTAGACAGTTCACCCGCAAACTTTCTCGCCTTCACCGGGATATATTTGCAAATTATGTCCAAACGATGATACGAGGTTCTTGATCTCTTCACGAATCTGCAAGCACTGCGGAAATTGTGACCGGCCAGCAAAGCCTGAAGCTATTCGTTGAAGTCAGCAGACAATATGTCGGACTATCAGCTCTACCACTCTCTGGGCCAGGGAGGCCCGAATGACGACCCTAACAACCCCAATAAAGCCTCCCAACCTGCTCCTCCTCAATTTCAGCATCCAGTTGCTCCTTCGCCCTACCAACAACCCGGCGCAAACTTCAATGCGCCTGGACAGACCCCGCAGTACAACTCTCAAATGGGACCGCCCTCGCCCTATGGAGCCCCTCAAGGGCAAGGATACTTCCCCGATCAAGGCACACAATTACACGATGGAGGATTAGCTGCTCAAATGGGAGGGCTAGGTCTTGGAGACGTTAGCTCGCACGGAAAGAAGAAAAAGAAGGACAAACACGCCTACCACACTGTCGAACCCACTGGCTCTTCACAAGCTTTCAATGGCATGCCTCAGGGCGGAGTACCTCCATCGGCATACCTAAATGCGGATCCATCAGTAATGCCAGGTCAAGGTCAAGGAGGGCAATTCTTAAACCAGCCGATCACTCCACAAATGTCGCAGTTCCCAGCTCCGGTCAACGCCCCTTTCAACCCAGCCAACCCTTCTTCTCCTGCCGAATTTGCGTCGAGAAATGGCACAACTGATCCTGGATTCTCTGCAAATATGCAGACGTCAGCACATGGTCGAGTCGACCCAGATCAAATCCCCAGTGTACCCAGATCTCGAGACGCCATTTCTCAATACTACCTCAGTCATGTATACCCAACCTTCGAACATCACTTACCGCCTCCTGCCTCTGTCTCGTTTGTTGCCTTTGATCAAGGAAACTCCTCTCCAAAGTTTACACGCCTCACCATGAACAATATCCCATCCACATCAGACTCACTTCACTCGACCGCGCTACCACTTGGGCTGCTGTTGCAACCTCTTGCGCCTTTACAACCCGGTGAGCTTGAGATTCCGGTATTAGATTTTGGAGAAATTGGTCCACCAAGATGCCATCGGTGTCGAGCGTATATCAACCCATTCATGGTTTTCAAGTCAGGTGGAAACAAGTTTGTCTGCAACATGTGCAATTACGCGAATGATGTTCCTCCTGAGTACTTCTGTGCAACAACACCCCAGGGCGCTCGTGTTGATAGAGAACAACGACCTGAGTTAATGCGTGGTACGGTAGAGTTTTTGGTTCCGAAGGAATACTGGTCGAAGGAGCCAGTTGGACTGCGGATACTGTTTCTGATTGATGTTGGCCAAGAAGCATTTAACAGGGGCTTCTTGGAAGCATTCTGTGAAGGCGTTATGGCTGCTCTGTACGGTGGAGATGACAGCCCGGCAGGAGACGGCCAGATCAAGCGCAGAATTCCAGAGGGAGCGAAGGTTGGCTTTGTCACTTTTGATAAGGATATTCATTTCTATAATATGAACGTAGGTTTTCCAGCTTTGTCTGGCGTTTGACATCTAACAATTGTAGCCGGCTCTCGATCAAGCGCAGATGATGATCATGCCAGATATCGAGGATCCATTCGTGCCTCTTGGCCACGGATTGTTTGTGGATCCATACGAAGCGAAGTATGTTTTTTCCCCCTGACCTGGACTTCGTTGCTGACAAAACAGGTCAAATATCACTTCACTACTGAGTCAACTGCCCGCATTATTTTCGGAGATCAAGAATCCCGAACCAGCACTGCTCCCCACTTTGAATGCTGCATTGGCTGCACTTGAGAAGACTGGTGGAAAGATCATCTGTTCCTTGTCTGCACTACCAACTTGGGGCCCTGGACGTCTGTTCCTTCGAGATGATGGTAAACAGCATGGTGGTGACGCCGAGAAGAAGCTACTCGATACCGAGCACCCTGGCTGGAGGAAAGCTGCCGACAAGATGGTTCAAGCAGGAGTCGGTACAGATTTCTTTTTGGCTGCTCCAGGCGGTGGGTACTTGGACATCGCCACAATTGGTCAGTTTTCTGTCCATTCTAGAATATCTCGCATCTGACATCAGTTTAGGCCACGTCTCAGCATCCACGGGAGGAGAGACATTTTATTATCCCAACTTCGTGTCACCACGCGACACTGAGAAGTTGTCCCAGGAGATTATACACACTGTTACACGAGAGACTGGATATCAAGCGCTGATGAAAGTCCGATGTTCGAACGGTCTGCAAGTACAATCATACCACGGAAATTTCATCCACCATACTTTTGGTGCCGACGTAGAGCTTGGCACCATCGACTCCGACAAGGCTATGGCTGTTATCTTCAGCTATGATGGAAAACTAGATGCCAAGCTCGATGCACACTTTCAGAGCGCATTACTTTACACAACGGCGACTGGGGAGCGGAGAGTGAGGTGCTCGAACGTGATCGCGAGTGTCAGCGACAATGCCAAGGACTGCATGAAGTTTGTCGATCAAGACGCTGTCTATACTCTGATGGCGAAGGAAGCCGCTTCCAAGATGACGTCGGCTTCGTTGAAGGATATACGTGGAGCTTTGACAGAAAAGAACGTCGACATCCTCGCCGGATATCGGAAGAACTTCTCTGGTTCTCATCCTCCAGGTCAACTGGTCCTTCCCGAGAATCTCAAGGAGTTCAGCATGTATATTCTAGGTCTCATCAAGTCACGCGCCTTTAAAGGCGGACAAGAACCAACTGATCGACGAGTCCACGATATGCGGATGATCAAAGGAATGGGAGCACTCGAGTTATCGTTGTATCTCTACCCCGGCATGATTCCAATCCACAACCTCGCTCCCGAAGACGGATTTCCGAATGCTGACGGCCATCTGCACATGCCACCCTCAATACGTTGCTCCTTCTCGAGAGTCGAAGATGGAGGCGTCTACCTCATCGACAACGGCCAAAACTGCTACTTATGGATGCACGCCCAAACATCACCCAACCTAATTGCCGATCTCTTTGGCGAAGGAAAAGACAGTCTCAAATCCCTTGATCCATACAGTTCCTCCCTACCAGTCCTAGAAACCCATCTCTCGGCCCAAGTACGGAATATACTGGAGTACCTAAAGACGATGCGAGGTTCGAAAGCCTTGACGATACAGCTCGCGAGACAAGGATTGGATGGCGCGGAATACGAGTTCGCGAGGTTGTTGGTGGAAGATCGGAATAACGAGGCGCAGAGTTATGTCGATTGGTTGGTGCATATCCATCGGCATGTTCAGCTGGAGGTGAGTCCCATGCCTTCTATCAGCTCGATATCTTGGTAACTGGATTCTGACGTGTTGATAGTTGACGGGACAGAGGAAGAAGGAAGATAGTGGTGAGAACTCGATCGCGTCGAATTTCGCGGGACTGAGACCGCCGTATTGGTAGGGGAGCATGGGACAAGGAGGGATTGTATGATTGATTGAGTGTAGTGTGGGTTGGAGTTGGGTATTTTAGCGTGCATTAGAAAAGCTGATGATTCTGCATCCTTTCTCGCTATTTTGCTGGAATCCCTTACTGTTGGCATCAGATCTGGTCAGCTTTCGGTCTAGATCAAGGCGGATCTGAAGCAAAGAAAGTTTCCGAGTCGCGTATATAGGTCACATCACTAAGTCGAATGATATATGACAGCACGCTTCGGCTCGGGTGGATTATAAGTATCCATTTTGGGCATCTTGAAGTGGACTGAAGTCGAGTTGTACATGGTCGAGCCCTGTTTTCACAATCTTTCTCCGCCATTTGAAACTCCCTCTTCCTCCTGTCCCAGTCGACGCACAAGAGCTCATATCTCAATTCTCCATAGTAACAACTCATTTCCTTGCATCGCAGTATACCAGCTCGGACGGGTATAATGTCAGCACCGTTGTCCCCCGTACTGGCACAATACACGTTACTTACCTGAGAAGGGCAATTGACGACATCAGAGAGCTTCGGCGAAAAATGAAATATGGGATTTATCATTTGGGTCTCTATCCAAATGAACCCGGAAAGCTGGGTTGGACGTACCAGTGCGATCGAGCTGTGGGTGGCAGAGAGTTGGTATCGGGGATTCTTCGAGACGGAGAGGGAGGCGAACGTGGACGCTGTGCGAGATCTGGAGACCGTGATCTATGGAGAAGACGCAGTGACGTTCGAATCCCAGAACCTACCTCAATTTTAGCAGGAAACTAATATCTAGTTCTTAGACTTCTCATCAAAGATTGATCACCAAGCGCGGCCGAAGACTCGGCTGGCTAACGAACGTCTGAACACGACGAGGAAATTACTTCCTTTTTGGGTATGTTCCACTCCCTTCCTAGTTTTAAATGTATGCTGATCCAACTGTTATTTCCAGGCTGCAAAATAGCCCTGCCGACCCACACAACCCACTCGGACATCTTTACGTTCACCAAATTCTCGATGCCATGCAGACGAAGAACATGCTATTCCTGTCGGAGCAAGCGGGATACGGTGATCTGGATGCTCGAGCAGAATTGGTACGGTTCCTTATGGTTACGATAGATACTTTGACGGAGACCTTATCAGGCATAGAACTGCTTTTGAGGAAGTTTATGAGGAGGAACATGACGGGGAGATGGAGGACTTTATCTCTTTATATGCGTGAGGATGCATCCAACTCAGATAAGGACTCCAGCTGGGAGAGGTCCAAAGTGAGTGGAAAAGCCTGCTCGGAAGCATGACACTGTGCTGTTGGATTCGTTGAAATGATCGCACCCACTGTTTGGTTATTTCTTAAATCAACTTAAAACGCCGCAGCGTTAAAAGATTCCGTCCTTGAGAGTTCCCTTTCTTCGACGGTCTCTTACAACAAAAACTCGATCTTAGGGACTAAATAAAGTGTTCATATTAGCAAGAAATTGATTGACTAAGGGGATGGAAGTTAAGTAAATAGAAAAACTAGATTGTCTGGACCCGACAATTGGAATCTTTGGTTTCTGACCCGAGACCCAGAGGCGGGAAGTACCTCGCCCGAATAGGGGGGGGATCACGTGACACAAATATGTATAAGTTTTACCCGTCGTCAGAGTCCAAACGGGCATAATGGGCTAATATATTGGTTAAAGTGGACAAATTAAGTCCTATTACCCTTTTGTCCCCTTCTACAGACTCTCCTGTGACAAAGTTACAGTTCGTGCAGTTACGGCAGTATTTTAATCGGTGTAACCAACATGCTTTCACAGTTCAATGCTATATTGTTCAAACTGCCCCAGTGACAATGGCTCAATAGTCCCAATCAATCTCTTCGATCATTAGATCGCACTTTCCTGAGCTTCTGCTCAAAAGACAGGCAAAAATTACCTTGGTTACAAGAAGGTCGGCTGCAAGCATAATGCTTGCGTATAAGCCGACACGTTGTAGGATCCGCCATCCATCCCCAGTCGGCACCAAAATGGTGTCGTTTTACACATTGCCCTAAATACAAATCCCTACCTATCTCACTAGTACGATTAATCGCAACGTTCTACTCCTTATTAGTACAGTGGACCCGAGCCTCACAAGTACCGCGATGAGCAACATCAGGCTCAAGCTACTTTGGAATAGGAGGTGCATTTGCGTATATGAGATCCATAGCACTCAATATCCCCTCGACTCGCAATACATTCATTCAAATTTCCCCTCTTCAAATCTTCTTAAATTTTTAAAAATACTGAATTTCTTCCACGGAAGGATATTGAAATTGAGTGACGCGTTCTCTGTCTACTGTGAGCTCACTTTTGGCACCTATCTCTCGCGATTCATTTACCTGCAGTTTTGGCTCCTCTGGCTTCGAGTCCAACCTCAACTTCGCCTAAAGTCCCGACCTCAACCCTTTTCTCATCCCTCTCGGAAAGAAAACAGCCTCGCGTGCAAGGCTGATCGCGGGGCAGATCCCTCGTGTTTCACGTCAAGACAACCCCCGCATTAATCTTGGCAACGTCACCCTCCCTCCAACTGCGCCGCACACTGAAACACAGCCCCCTCCCAACCTCAAAACAACTCACCTTCCCTCTTCCTGTCCTTTAAACAACAATTGATTTCTCCATCCACAATCAAACAACACCATCAAACCATCAAAATGGCGTCCTCCGAGGCCTTTAAGAAGACCAGCAAACTCCGCATCTTTCTCTTCATCCTCGCTAGTATAACGTTCTTGTCCGTCATGGTCCTTATGATTTTCCTCGCCACCGACGTCCTCACCATTCCCTACCTCACACCGGTTGCACACTTCCTCGCTATTATCCTCTCGCCGTTCGTCCCACTGCTCGCACCGCTCATGCTCGGCGCGTTCTTGAAAGTGTGTCAACACCCGACCTTTCCAAGGAAGAAGACGTGGGTGTTGATCACAGCGTGTTGGTGTTTTAATCAGGTGCAGAGGGTGTGCAAGGATGTTAAGGGTTTGTGGAGCTGGACTGGAGAGGAGGGTGCGCTGGAGCTTTGTGGGTTGAATGAGTGTAAGGGCAGTTGGGTTGAGGTTGGACTGTTGGTTTTGGTGGTGTTGGGACAGTGGAGGGGATGGCGGTGGGATATGGGATTGGTAGATAATTGGGTTGAGGGGATTGTTGCGCAGAACATCAAGGCAGAGGAAGCAAAGAGGCAGAAGGCTATGGGTGCGGATATTGAACGAGGACTTGTCGACGGTGACGTGAAGGAAGTCATGGCCGAAGAGGAGGCTGTTGGTGGTGATATGGAGAAGACTGCTCTGCTTGTGGATGTTGAGGTGAACGGCGTCGAGAAAGCTTGAATGGTTTGACTGGAACCAAGCCTGTAATCAGAACATCAGAGAAGCACTCCTCGGAGTTTTCGTGAGAGTGGAAGAAAGACGCTCAGCCACACCGGCCTCAGTCTCACGGCCAAAACTACGCCATTGTAACTACAATCTAGTATCGGCTCGCCATTACCGGTCCACTATAGAGGAAATTATCTCAAGAAGTACAGCAAAACACAATTGCTTGTTCAATCATCACAACCTCTCACAGCCCCGCTTGTTGAAAACTTGAGACTGGGAGTTATTAGGATCGTTAGCTATCCAGTATTCTTGGAATACTGCTCTGCCTTGAATATCTATTTGGAGAAAGCTGAAGCAAAAAAGTCCCAAGGGCCGAATAAGAATTCAAAGGCTAATCCAAAATAAGAAGGAACATGAAAACCAACACACGGGTTGAAATGACTAACTTTTCTACACACAACCTTACAGGCTCCATCCTCCCTCCACCAAACCCCCCAGCAAAATGAGTAACTTTTGGGTGTATCGTACGACCTCCCCATGTTTCAAACCCTCAAGCCCTCGATTTCAGATCATACAAGTAATCCCGACTATGAACACTTTCACCACCACCATCGCCTGGTCCTCCAAATATCCCATCAGATGCACAAAAAACACACTACTTCTCCCCTCTCACCACAGCCCTTCCCTTGCTACCACCAGTGCTCAAAATCTCCCTTCCACACCACGAGCAAAAATACCTGCCCTGAATCTCCGTGACATGTACACCGAAGAACTGAGGTTCGTTAGAGGGCTTGGAAGTTGTGGTGATGGAGGAAATGGTTACCGTTGGTTGATTGTTGCCGCTTCGGGGCCAGGAGATGCAGCAGTCCCATTCGATTGCCATTGTTAGAGTCTGGGATTGGGTAGTGTGTTAGGTTGAGGGTTTTAAAGTGAGCAGAGGTTGAGTCACGAGGGGGAGTTGCCAGAGGTGCTGGCGGAGTTGGTGGAGAAAATTAGATGATCGTTTTTGAAGTGGTGAAGGAGAAAGGTTGGTGTTTTGAAATGATTAAATGATTAAACTCGGACTGAAGTTTGGAAACCTGTTATGGAAAACTGTGCTAACGTAGATGGGAAAGATGTTTGTTTCTACGTGAAAGAGAATGAGACCCTTCACAACCTGAGAGGTATTTATATGCGTGCTGTGGAGTTCGTGAATGTGAAAGACGTCAAGTGTTGTGAAGTTCGGACTGAGTTAGTGCCTGATTATCGCCTGATTCTGCCTCCACAATGCAAATCGGGATAGAGAATAAACATCTTTAACAGCTTCGTGAATAAATAGGCTTCAGATGGCAATACTGGTTCCTTGTTCTGCCTGATTTTTGCCTGCACTTCCCGCTTGAGTAATGTCCCTTGGGCGAGCAGTACATTAATAATCATAGCATCCAAGATTGAAAGGCTTTATACTTTGTCAATGTTCTCAAAGGCCTTGGAGCATACAAATACCTGTCTCACAGCGGAACTCGACATTCGCTCGTGGGTTGTGTCGTATATCAAAGAATAACGAACTTCCCGCCATCAAACTCCCAACTGTAAGCCTTGTTACCTCTCTCCCACCACCAAACATCGCTAATTTAAAATAACTAACGTTCCTCAGGTGGACAAGCCTTTAACAAGAGGCATTCCGCGAAACTTTTTTTTTGACACGCTTCAATGTACTGGGAAACATTGGGACATTGGGGTTTGTGGAATTTTAAAGGTACCAAGGTGTTCTGGGACATTCGAAACACACTGAGCCTTTGGACAGGCTTCAATGTACTAGGAAACTTTGGGACACTGATGCTTGGAAAAGTTTAGATGTACAAAGTTGCTGTGGAACACTCAAAGAACACCAGGGCTCCAAGGGCAATAGCAACTTGACTTAAAGAAAAAAGCACGAAAATGCTCCCGAAGCTTGGTGCCAGGGTCCTAAGCTGCAAGCCCATGCTCCAAACGCCCGCTCCCAAGTCGCCAAGCTCTTTGATATCGCGGCATCTCGTCATCTCGTCGTATCTCGTCACCATCAATCATCATATCTTCTCCCTTCTGAGCATATCCCTGGACTCTGGTATCTTCCCTCTGTCTCCCTAACATCTCTCATCTACTCCTCCCCATCCCCGACAATCCTCACCCCACCTCCCGTCCCTCTCTCCTCAGCCTGCCGCCTCGCCACCCTCCTCCTCTCCACCTCCCCCACCAAGCCCTTGAAATAAACCTCCGCCTGAACCGTCGCTGAATACGCAACCGGCGTCCAACTCCACACATTTCTGACCTCGGAGTCCGCGCCGGCTGCCAATAGCGTCCTCAACACTAGTAAATGCCCATTGGAACTCGCATAGTGCAACGCTGTGTTGCCATCCACGTCTTTATTCCGCAGACATTCCTCAGGGCCGCCTGGCGCGAAGGTCAATAGGATTTGCAGGCAGGTATCGTGTCCACCCTCGCTGGCGAAGATGATTGCGTCTCTGCCTCTTATATCCCGCTTCGGTATTGCTGCGGGGAAGGCGGTGCAGAGCAAGTGCACAGCTTCTGTATGTCCAGCCCGAGACGCGAGCATAAGCGGCGTCTGGTGGTCCTCATTCAACGATATGCCCTCCTTTTCGTGGTGTAGTGAGAGCAGGACCTTGATAACGGGCACCAGGCCCAGTGAGGAAGCCAGGTGTAGAGAAGTGTTTGAGAGGCCCGTTGGGAAGCGGAGAGGCCCGTTGGGAACCGTAGGGGAGGTATCGGGGTTGCGGAGGAGGCGCGGGTGGGAGTGGAGGATGCGGGAGACGAGGAGAGGGTCGGAGGCGTGGATTGCGCGGCGGAGGCGGAGGGAGGGGTCGATCCTGGGGCGGAGGGTTAGCTTGCTGAATAGGTTTATGGCATGGTTTGGGAATGGGGTCATACATCGTGAGAGCATGTCTTCTTGGGTTGATTTGCACCGCAAACAAGAAGCAGAAACAGCGACAATAACGTCGATGTGTGACGTTCCGTCAGGGTGTTGACGGTTGGTCGTCAAATCTAGCTCGTTTCTGGGGTCTCGGTTGTTTTGGGGAGGCTCAGCCGCTTCATCAAACGACCGGCGTCTCAACACCGTAACCGCACGCTCCAGAGATTAGATGGGCATGATGAACGCCGCCCCGCGCAATTTGATTATGGCCCCCTGCACGTCTGATCATCCGTCTGAGTCTCCTGCCGACACGGGCGGCGTTTGAGAACCCGTATCATATCCATCGGATCTAATCTTAGCCAGCAAGCCGTTCGTCCCCAGTCCAACGTCACCTGCTGAAGATCTAAGATTAGATGAACTTTTGATCTGAGGTCGAAATTCAGATAGGAGATTTTGAGGAAGAAAAAGGTGAAGGCAAGTCTATGAACATTAGAATTTTGCTTGCTTTACTTCAAGAGGACGATTTATAGACAAATGACATTTGACACGGTAAGTTCCTGATTCTCTTGAGAAAAGGCACACTTCTCCCGCCATCGTGCAGCAGCCCCACAACTGCCTGCCAGATCGACGACGGACATGAAAAAAACACCACCCCATCCCATTCAATTCCGGGTCTCCTCCATCGTCATTAAACTCCGATGTCCCCATTCTATATCCAAGCTGCCGCCCCCCGGCCACGCTACTTACGCGATGAATTCACGCTTCGCTCTTCGGGCACCACCCTTACCGCCCTTGCCACCCGCTTGACCTCCTCCAAATTGAGCCCCTCCCTTGCCTGCTGCCTGTCCTTGTCCCTTGGCTGCGGCGGCTCCTGATGCTTGTGCCTGTCCGGCATTGGCAGTCCCAGCGTTGGTGGCAGCTGGAGATGCCTGCGCGGCTGCGGCTCCCGCCTTTCCGTTGCCCTTTGCTGCGGCGGCGGTATTGGTGGCAGTTGCACCAGCAGCGCTGGATTGGGCAACGTTGACATCTGGGCCGAGTGCAACAGCCGAGGCAGCGGCGGCGGCAGCAGCAATACCTTTTGCGCCGTTGTTGGCAGCAACGTTTATGGTATTGCCGTTTCCTGAGACGACGAACTTGGTGCAGTCATCGGGAGTTCCACGTTGAGCGACGGGCATGAGGACGGGCTGATGGTTGGATGCTGAAGTCATGGTGCATACGCGGTAGTTGCCCGCTGGAAGACCACCTGTCACCACAGCGGTCAAGCCACCATTCCCGTCACCGGCGTCGTTGATGCCCTTGAAGAATGCGAACTGCGTGGCATCGAGCGGTTGAGTGGGGTTCAGGTTTTGACCGAGATCCTGAACAGTAACATGAGTGTGTCCAACGACCTTTCCACCGGATAGAGCTTGCGGTGCAGCGTAATATGTGGCATCTGCGTTGGTGAAAGAACCGGCAACAAGATTCGCAACCTGGACGGTGATATTGAAATCCGTGTCTGAAGGAATTTCGGCACCGTTCTGTTGTGGGTTGGTAATGATACATGAGATCATGGAGGTCTTTGCGGGAATGTCTCCCATTGCTACTTTGGATTAACATATGCTTGCCATGGCGAGAAGGGTCTGCCGCTTACGGATACCGTTACATGAGCCAGTGGTGAATTGAAGACCGTTCGTCAGTGTCTTCCCAGCACAGATATTTATGAAGTTGTTTACCGATGTGGCCGACGCAGCTTGACCAGCCTCAGATCCAGTCTCCTGTTGTCCATCGTTGAATGAACCGCTCTGGATGGCATTGGCGGCGAGTGTTGTGCTGTCTGCGGCTGCTGCTGCTGCGTTGTTCGCAGGGGAAGGGTTGGCATAAACTGCAGCAGCGAACACCGTAGCGCAGGCAACTTGAGTAAAACGCATCTTGAAGATATGAGTGTTCGGAGGGGGACAAGAGGCCGGGCGAACTACAAAAAGCTGTACAGGAAGTATCAAAAGGAATGAATGTGATCCGTCGAGGCGTGAAGGGTAATTAGATGCACGGTCAACGTGATCTGCTTGACTGGCAAGATGAAGATAAAAAAGAGGGAATAGAAAGAGAGAAGCCCGCCGGATTGTCGAAGCAAAATAGGAGAGAAGTTGCTTGGGGATAGTGAGTGGAGTGAGAAGGAACAATGGGATGAGGGTGGGTGAGTACTTATTGTAGATGCTTGGCATCCGTACTTTAATTCTGCGGGTCCATGAGGATTAGACAGGACCAGCCGGATCCCGCACATATTGGCAATGGAGATCCCGTTGTCGCATTGAAAGCTTGAAACTGGACGTGAGGTTGGAGCTGTCGCAGTCATGGGTGACCTGCCATCTTAAAGCAGACAAGCGGGAGATCAGGCGGATTCAAATTATCAAACCTTTGGTCTAGTCTGATCTCGGCAAGGCGGTTAGATCGCGGCGAATGCTTGCCAGTGCTTGAATCCAGGGAGTGGCGCCAGCTGAGGGGAGGAGAAAGGAGTTGGGGAGGGGTGGGGGTGGTCGAGGGTTCAGGGGTTGTCAATAAGCGAAAACGTTGATTGTTAGAGGTGAGTCTTGGTAAAACGGGTTTTTTCCAACGAGCGCCTTAGGGCCAGTGGCTCTTCCACACTGGGATCGCCGAAACCGCGAACGGTGTGAGGTCTTTCATGGTCCGGGGTGATCGAAACTGTGGCATCTATCAAGTCTAATCATATCAGATTAATTGCTGCGCGGCCTTCAGTGCGTCCAGCTAGGGTTACGGGGGTGAGCGTAGCAACTCCTCGCGAGTCAACCACTCATAACGGCCCATTCCGCGATCCTAGATTAGAATCCGGTTGCAAGGTTCCACTTATCAAACGTCCGACTTCGACTCTGGCGCATCCCAAGCTTCCTCCCCAAGTCCAACTTGGGACGAATCCACAATTGCAAGGAAGAAAGAACTCGGCCTCCAGCTCGCATTCAGTGGGTCGTCTTGGCTCCGGACTCTGGATGGCAGCTCTTGGTATTGCTTGATGTTTTCTTGGTGCTGCTTGTTCGTCAAGTCTTGGTGCGGTGAAGCGAAGATCTACACTTCCCCCGCGAGAAATGTCTTGGTACAAAGATTCAAGCATTAACTTTCCGCGGGCATTGGTCTGATTTTTTTGGCGTAGCTTAAACCACGAGGATGTCAAACCATTGCGACATGGGAATTTTTCTTTAATTGGCAGGCCTGCGAGTACCGGTGGCATGGGTCTCATCCCGCGGCCTTCTAATCAAGGTTCAACCAGATTTCACATCGCTACCATTCCCCGAACGACTTCAGCTGCCATCTGATGTCAAGAAACAGAGGCTATGCTCCGTGACGTTATCCACTTGTTAAAGACGAAGTTAATGTGGCGTTTTGAAGTTTACAGTGCCCCCTTGATCTCAGGCAAGAATTATAAGCTTGTCTGTAGAAAGATCTTGCCTCCGTACCCACAATCCACCTTTTGTATGGGTTTCCTCACGGATACACAGTTTCGCCGTGATTCATTCGGGAAGCCAGCGTCCGGCCTTTCCAGTTAGATCGGCCCCCATCCCCGATGTTGGTTGACAGGTGCCGTCCGAGGTTTCCTCTGTTCTGATCGTCACGTTTCAACCTTGTCTCATCGCAGGATCTGATTAAACGTTAACACGGGTGCTACGGCAAACGCACAGATCGGGGCCGGAATCGAGCCAATCCTCTTGACTTGCCCTTGGCAACAAACTTTGCCCTCTTCAAGATGATGTTTGAAGCTTGGATTATGTTGGAGCGCTTTAGAATCAAAAGGTGAATCCATCGGGGTGCAAGTTTGTCCTCCCTTCGTTCGACTCGTTCAAATGTATCGAGGGCCGAGGAGGCTCTTGATTGTGGTCGCCAAGAGCTTCTTGCCCCGGCAAAGAGTCTTTCTATTTTACTCGTAAGTTCCACTTTGGGTCTTTGTTTCTATCGGCAAATGCTCGAAGACCCGAGAAGCCAAGACCTCTCCTTGAGATCCTCAAACTGCATGAAGCTTGGACTTCCCTCCAGGTCGCTGATCTTTCCATTGCAGTTTGTTGATTCCACATCTTTGTATCTCGTCCGCTGGCGTACCCGAATGTGTCGAGGATCTCCCAAGAAGCTGCACGAATCTACGAGTTGAAGTTTGGCAATGTCTTCATGTCCCATTGTATTTCCAATATCTCAGCTTGGGCCGACAACCAGAGATCAATCGACGGAAATTGCATGTTTCCTCGCTTCTCATCGTAGTCATTTCGTACGTCTCGACCTGCGACGTATTCGTCTCCCCAAGGCTTGGATTTCATTTCTCTTCTGCTGACAATATGTAAAATCTGACATCGTCAGCAACAGACTGCTCAGACAGTTCTTCTAATCTGTGAGAGGCAGCAATATTGCATCTCGGGGCCGGAATGTGAAGTTCCACGGTCTGATCACCTCTTCATGCCGAACGGCTAATTTTCATTTGCTCTCTCCCCATCTCACAACAGGTGAATTTTGATTCCATCTTTCCCAATGTCCGTGCCAACTGTTCAGTGGGTCCCAATTGTTCAGATGACGCCAGGGACTTGGCGAACTCAGCCGCGACTCATATCCACAGATGAAGAGATCGAGACTCAGCTTGGCGAACTTCTGTCTTGGAGACCTGAAAATCTTCGATGCCCACAAGTGTCCAAGAGATTCAGCTTCTCTTGGTGGCTTGGCAGAAATTGTTTCTGAAACCTCGTCGGTCAAGACCTAGCCTTGTTTCCCCAGATGGCCCACATGTGGTCTGAAGTTTTCAAAAACAGCCAAGGAATCGCACCACCGAGAAGCCAAGAGCCAAAGGGTGTATCAGGAGAAAGCCAAGGACATGTGGAGACGGTGAGGATGTATAAGAGCCTTGAAATTCTCTTTTCTCTCTTTCACTTGAACATATTTGAAGACAAATACACGACGAGAGTATCGTAGTCTAGCGATATCTCACCCCAAGAGCAATACATATGAAAACGAGAGCTTCAGCGAAGACACATCAATGAAGCGAAGAATGAGCATGGCGAGCCGTGGAAATTCGTTTGGGCTCTTGACCCGTCCGGTGTCGTATGAGGCAGGTACTCCATTGCAGAGGGGAGCTAGGATACAACATCGAGATTGAGCAATACCACCGTGGTACAGGTGACGGTATAACCAAGTACGAGAATCAACGCAGCGGTCATATGAATGATCAGCGATGCAATAATCGGCCACATTATTGGAGCGAAATGGCGCCTGAAAACCAGATTATGGACCTAGTGCCAGGCTTCCAAGAAGCCGCACAATTCTTCGACCACGGTTAAAGAGCAATTCGCCGGCTCTGACAATGAGGAGGAAAGAAGAGTTCATTGGGTCATTGGGACACCTTTACCGTCTTGGGTACGTTTGATCGTGGGACGTTCCATCCATTCTCAATCCACTAGGTTTTGGCGGAAAGATTCGAAATGATGCTCAGCCCGAGGAAGGATCGGCATCCACAGATTCAAAGCTTCTAATTAAATAGTGAGGAAAGGGAAGGGGTTTCGAGAGCAACAGAACAAAGCTGGATGCAAGGGAAAGGGGAACGGAAGAGAAAACCACGATGCAATCACGTGCGGCTATTTTAGCGCAATTTCGGGTTTGCTGGCGCAGGAAGGTTAAGGGTACGGCGCAGGAAACTGAAGCGACTTCTCATACTCCCTTCCTTCGACCATATCACGTCAGCTTGCTCCCTTTCTCCAGAAATCTTCTTTCTCCCAATTCCTTCTCGTCACTTCCACTACGCAGAAGCACTCGCGATCCCCAAAATCCGCTCAAAAACAGCACTCCGCTCTTTTCTAAGCACCTTGAATACCGAAATACTTTTGTTCGCACAAAACTCGTACGCCCTCCAGACTCAAACAGACCGCCAATATGCCACTGATAGTTGGCGATAGTCGGACAATGTCTTCCCCAGAGCCACGTTTCGTGAAACGCCCCAGTAAGCAAGAAACCCGGAGTCGCAACATCTCTCTGCGAGCCGATATCGTTCTGGTGGTTCGGGCGCAGAAAGAGGCGGCGACTCGCACTCCCCCAAGATCTTCCCCCCTTCTCCCCATTCTTCCCACTCAACGTTCTACAATCAATTTCGATCCCAACATCGATCTTAACACTGCAAAAGAATTATTCAACATAATCTCTTGCATAACAGCTGATCTTCATCGCAATGTCAGGAACCCAGTCAGCACCACCTCCAGCCCTCCCGCAGTTGACGGCCGAGCAGCACATTCCTATTCCGTCCTCCGATAAAGACTCGCAGCGCCTGATCGTTGTCCTCTCCAATGCCAGTCTCGAGACCTACAAGGCCAGCTTCGGTGGCAATAGACCAGGTGGACAAAGAGAGGAGAAGTACAGTCTCCTCAATTCAGACGAACATATTGGCGTCATGAGGAAGATGAATCGCGATATTAGCGATGCCCGACCAGATATTACTCACCAGGTTCGAAGAGCTACGATCCAATATCACAACAAATGCTGACTATTCGCAGTGTCTACTCACCCTTCTCGACTCTCCAATCAACAAGGCAGGCAAACTTCAGATCTACATCCACACTGCCAAGGGTGTCCTCATCGAAGTCAGCCCAACCGTTCGCATCCCACGTACCTTCAAGCGATTCGCTGGTCTCATGGTCCAACTCCTCCACCGCCTCTCCATTCGATCTGTCAACTCTCAAGAGAAGCTGCTGAAGGTCATTCCGAACCCAATCTCTGATCATTTACCGCCAAATTGCCGCAAGATCACACTAAGCTTCGATGCCCCACTGGTACGAGTTCGGGAATACGTGGAGAACTTAAATGAGAAGGAGAGCATCTGCGTGTTTGTCGGGGCTATGGCCAAGGGCACGGATAACTTTGCAGACGAATACGTGGACGAGAAGATCGCCATCAGCAACTACAGCCTTTCCGCCAGTGTGGCATGCAGCAAATTCTGCCACGCCGCAGAAGATGTATGGGGCATCGTCTAGTCAGCCTCGCCATTCCTCGCCTGACTGGGTCGCCCCCCTCGACTCACCAACACAATAGGAATTGGGCGGAGGATTACATGGGAGATTTGGCCGATTTCAAAGGTGAAAGCGGGGCCACTGGCATTAGCTACGATACCAACATCGTCCGCTGTGTCTTTGGTCGCCGGGCTTGGGTGTCTGTGTGCTCTGTCTCTGTTTTTACAACCAAAACTCAGGCGTTCAACATCAGATCCAAGACGCTTTTTTACAAAAAGTCGTCTTCGTAGATACCAACTCAACTTGGTTCTACATCTCTTTTGTTCTTCTTCCGGCTGCTTAGTGGCAGCTGGATTCCTCCCCCTTTGGCTGGAAAATGGCAGGATCCGATCGGACGGAGATCAAAGCTGGTTGAGGGACTGCTCATTGGGCAACGACATCGGGAACAGTGGATTCAACGTTAGCGGCAGCGGCGCGGTGCGGCTCGCGAGTCATGGCGTGGGTGGTAGCCTCATATCCAAATGTATCCAAAGTCATCGCGGAAGGAATGCAAGATGAGCATCTCTTGGGCTTCAAGTTCCAACCAATTTGCCGGCTCAGCCTTGATGCAATTCCAGATCCCAACGGAAGGAATCTCTTGCAGTCTGAAAGGCTGCCAGCTCGGGTCACAAGCTTCTGTACAACACCACAAATGTACCCCTCATCCGCCATTCGCGCCCTCTTCGCCCCAACCTCACATCTCACATAATATCCCAGGGCATGCAAATGCATCTGTGCCTGTCTGGCTGTCTTGCCATGGGCACAAACTCTCCCGACGCCACCACAGGCTACGCTTCCGAAGTCGTGAGCTCGCATATCCCTCTCGCATATCCACATGCATATTCCTTCGCCTCGCGGTCCCCATTGGCTAGGAGCCTACCCCTCCGTCACAGGCTGCACTTCCCCGCCAAATAGGATCCTTTTCCTTCTTATCCACCACAAATCGTCGCATTATCAGCATTGCGCTGCCACGTTTCCCTGTAGCCAGTCGGCTAGCCTTACTTCCCATCACCTTACCGGACAGTGATCACCAACCACTGGCGGGAGATCAACTCATCTGCTCAATGGCACGGCCTGAAGCATCGAGTGGTGGGTGTGTCACGAGCTTCTCGCCTCGTGCGATTTTTGTGTGCTGAGCAAGGTTTTTATAAGACCTGACGATCTGAAGCCCTTCTTGTCAACCCCCTTTGCTTTTTCCAGCGAAAATTTCATTCTTTTACCCCGCGGGCGTTAACCTTAACCCGTTTGTTACTCATTCCTTCCGCATTCTGACGTTTTTTTTTTTGCAAGGCACGCGCCCGACCGGTCCGTAGGCCACGGCTCTTTCACGCGTGCTTGACGGCCTGTCTGATGCGTTCCGTTTTTCGGCTCAATCCAATCTCAGCTCATTATTGACGCTTGCAACCCAACAGCCTCGCCCTACCGCTTTTTTGACGCCCAACTTCCCTATTCAACATTTAATCCCTACCTCAATCCCGGACCCGATTTTTCAGACCTGATGATTTAAAGTTGCAAGAGGACCCGCAGATGTCCCCGCCAGTACCACCCTCCGCTCCGTACAACGACCACACGCGCCCGCCCCTCCTCTTCGTCACGCACCTCCCCTCCGCATCCTCCTTCTACGCAGCCATTATCCAACCCCTGGGCCTGCAATTCTTGCCTCCGAATCCGCCCTCGCCTCATAATCTCCCCATCACTCCGCACACGATCACCAATCCGGTCCTCAATTACGGGTATTTGACACAAGGGCCAGCGGGCTTGAAGAGTGTGGTTGTGTTTAGCATCACTGGAATTGGGGCTCAGCCGCAAGGGATCAGACCGGCGAAGATCACGTTGAGTGCGAGTTCCGAGGAGGCCGTAAGAGAGTTCTGGAAAAAGAGCGGGTTAGTTAATAAAGGGGTTCGCACGCCGGCGAAACTTGATTTCTTGCCCGAAGAGGGAGAGGAAGGCATTGTTGCTCGGACCAGGGACTTTGATGGGAACATGTTGGAGGCTGTGTATAGACCGAGGGATAGGGGATTTAGTTACGGTGGAGGGTATGGGGGAGGGGGGCATGCGAGGCCGGTGATCGAGACGGCTGCTACGGAACGCGAGGCCAGGAGGGTGCTGGAGTGGCAGCAGCAGGTTGCGAAGAGCATTGGGGAGAATGGCGGGAGTGGCGGCGCTGCGTCTGTTTCGAGCTCGGATGTTGAGGGCGGATATCGACCGGGAGCAGTGAGGAGGGCGGAGACCTATCCTGCTCAAGGCAGCGAGCGACCGATGAGGCTTGTGAGGAGAGAGACCGTTACGACGGAGCATTACCGCAGACCTGATGAGAGGGGAGAAGGCGGGAGAGGCATCAGTGGCAAAGCGGTTATTGGTACGTTGTTGGGTGCTGCTGCGGGCGCGGCGTTTGCTTACGCTATGGTGCGGTCAGAATCGCCTGAGCGACGACCTCTTGCTGCTCCCCGGAGAGCGAGCTATGACAATCAGAGCGAGCGGCTGTATACGCAGGTTGCGCAAAGTCCGCGGGAGAGGTTGCCGGCGAGGAGTTATGTCTCTGCGAGCCAAGAGGGGAGGCCGAGATATGTGGATGCGGCTCCAAGGGTGCATCAAATTGAGGAGAAGAGCTATGATTCTCAACGCCCTGGTCGCTCGGTGCAAGGGGGGAGTCGGGCGAGGAGTAGAAGTGAGGCGGGGTCGCGGTACGAGCGGCCGTTGACACTTCTCCCAGCGAGGACGCAGTCGAGAGCGAGAAGTCCGTCGCAGTTGAGCCATAGGAGTAGCTACAAGACTGCGAGGGAACGAAGCCCCAGCCGCAGCAGGAAAACGGGGAGCCATGTGAGCACGCGGAGTTACCATTCTCATTCTACGGCTAAGCAGTCACCGCCTCCGCCGGTGTCGACGAGCACGATCAAGATCCGTGCTATGCCGAGTGAGAGGGAGAGGAGGGTCATGCATTCTGGATTTGAGAGGGACGTTGAGAGGGCGAGGCACGTGCCGTTGCCGACGAGTGTTGCGAGCGGGCCGGGGTATGCGGTGAGCGTTGCGCCAAGTGATAGTGTGAGCAGCGTAGGGATCAAGAGGGAGAGAGAAAGGCTGAGGGAGAGAATGAGCATCAGGGATGGCGTTCCGAGGGGCTGGTAAAGCAAAGGTGTGACATCGGCCGTTTTTGATGGAAAACAGGACATAGACATTGGGATTGGGATTGGGATTAGGATTGGGCTGGGGCTAGGACGGATGGCCTGGAGCTTGGGTTGGCATGTGATGGGATGGGTTGGTGCATTGGGACTGGAGCGGGGATGGAGATATGAATGTGGATATGATTTATGAAAGGGCGGAGTCTCTGGGGGTACATTTGGGTTACGAATTAGATAAACAATCACTTGAGGATCTAATAATACTCTATTTCTGGGGGTTTCAGCCTAGTTCTTGTGCCGCCTTCCAAATTTCCTGCTGTTTGCTGCGGTGGGTCGAAACAGCCTCGTTTAGGCGCCACCACGCGGCTCGCTGCCAAGTTGTCCGCTTTGTTGAACGGGAAGAAACAGGGAATCTGAAAATGCGATGTGCAACGGAAGAGCAGGAAGCAGAGTTCGAGAAAGTCCCCCGCAGCTCTCAAGTCAGAAGATGTCTTGGATTGATTGCCGCTAGGAGGTTTTGGTAAGTAACAAGAGATGTATTGGAGAATTTGGACTCGTGATGCTTCCGCATTCCAGGGTTTGCCGAGGTCTCTTTCCTTACTGTATTCGTTGCAAGGAGGCGACGCGACTCGGCGACTTCTCAGCCTGATTTGGAAAGGGTTGAGTTTCCGGTTCAATCGGTCAGGTCGAAGGCCATCTCCAACTCTTTGAAATGTACTCATATACAGCATTTCACCTCAACGGGTGTCTCACATCTCTACTGCTCAATAGTAAGGTTAAAGGTCTCTCCTGCATCTCGCGGCCGACCATCGTCATAGGGGTCCATCCTCAGCCCTAGCCTCGCCGCCATCCCTGAACGGACACCTTCCACCCACACTTCTCCCACGCAGCCAGAGCCTAGAACATCGATGAACATCCTGCGCGTGCGGGCTTACCGTCACCATGTACATTCGAAATTCCGATCCTAGGGCCCACCTCTACGGGCTGGAGTTGAAGTTGGGGGAACCCCTCAAGAGCCGCTTGGACAGTTCTGCTGGTACGTGGAGTCCCGGCACTTCATTGTCAACAGGACGACACGCGCCCGCAAGAGACTGATGGCGAAGTTGCTCAAGGGTGGGAGGAAGGAGGAACCAGTAAGCGAATAAGGATGATCTAGCAGACAGTGAAGTCTGGGGAGGCAGTTCTAGCAAAGTACGTCATCGGGGGTATGTGGGAAGTTTGAGCGTGCATAACAGCTGACAATGACTCGATCAGCAGCCTCGACCCTCGATGCAGAACAACACGCACGCCCAGAGCGAGCCTTCCAGGCATTCGGCCCTCGATCTCCAATTAGCTGTTCTGCGACATCTGCCAACCCCCGTGTTGGTTCTCTCCCCGAGCCGAAAGGCCGTGTTCTTGAATCGAGCTGCCGAACGGGCCATTGGAAGTTCGGACCCCATACAATCGGGGACGAGTGCACTCGGGCAGGGCCCTGTCGACTTGGGGATCAATCTGCTGTATAATCGGATGTGGAACGTGGTCCTGGATAAACTTGTGACGGCACAGAAGGAAGCCAACTCGGATGGGAACACTTGCCCGGTCCACAAACTCGACGCTGTGGTTTCGAACACAAACCTCACGTACGAAGAGAGGCATTTTCGGATACTGGCCTCTATAGTTACGGCTGATGATGGGATGTACTTTCTGCTTTCGTTTGAACGGGCTGCACATATCGAGAAGCAAATAAAACCCCACCATGACGACCAGATCTCCTCCCCTGATGGAGGCCATCCCGTTACTCCAAATGGAGCGCAGCATGGCACAGCTGTGGACGGTCGGAGAGACATCCATCGGATCAAGAAAGCCGTGTTCGACAGCAGTAATATAGCGTCATTCATCTTAACTGTCGATGAGAAGTTCTATTTGACGAACAAGAAAACGAGAGAGGTTCTTGGAGATTTTATGGGTGGAGCAGAGGGCTGTGATGGGTTGAGCTTGAGAGAGAGGCTGGAAATCTGGGATGAGCACTTTACAAGGCCACTCGAGCATGCTGAGTTCCCCGGAATGAAGCTGGTGAGGGCGAAGAAGCCATTTACAGGCTATCGATGCGGGTTTATGCATACCATAACGGGCGATAAAGTTGTGATGAATGTGAGTGGGGAGTGTTTATATGACGACGACACGGGAGAATTTATGGGAGGGATCTGCTGGTGCAGAGACCTACAGGAGTATGGAGATTTCTTGAGTGAGCAGCAGCAACAAACGTTGGAAAGTCACGAAACGATTTGCAACCTGATGCCCCATCTTGTTTGGACAACCACGACGGAGGGTCTTTGCGACTGGTTTTCTCAACGGGTAAGCGGGTAAAGTTCACTTCGACTTTGCGGGAACTGAATGATCGGCAGTGGTACGAATTTACGGGTATGAATAAAGAAGAATCACTCGGAGCTGGATTCCAAAACGCAATACACCCTGATGATCTCCCGGTATTGATGGACAAATGGGAGCACCATCGAAAATTAGGAAACGAATGCGAGGTTGAAATAAGATACCGACGAAACGATGGGGTCTACAAGTGGATGCTTGCTCGAGCTTGCCCCTTAAAGAACGAATCTGGCAAGATATTGAAATGGTATGGAACGAACACAGATATCCATGATCTGGTCATGGCTCGAATCGAGGCAGCGAGGAACAAACTTCAAGTACTCACCGTGCTTGCACATGCGGAGGTCAACTTGTTTTCTATCAACAAAGACCGAATATGTACGATGGCCGAAGGTGGCATGCTCTGGGACTCTGAAGCGGAATCATATGATATCAATAACAAGTCGACACTGGTTGGAAAAGATGCAATCGAAATTGCACAACAGACTCAGCCCGGAGGTGTTCCTGGTTTGTACCCAAGCCGCACAGATTGAGAATCTATTGACCATATAAATCTAGGCTACGAGAGGAATGTCATGGAGGTTCTGTCCGGGAAGGTTGGAGTTGCGCAGTCCGAAGACAGAATTGGGGACCGAATATTTCGAACTAGAGTTGTGGCAGAATTAGAACATAACTCGAGTGATGGCGGTAAGGAACCAGAAGTGAAAGGGTGTCTTGGATTAAGTATTGATGTTACGGATATGAAGGCTCGAGCTGCGTTAGAGTTGGACAATGCTCGATTGATGATGGAGGAGCAAGCTGCAAAGGATTCGAATCGAGTGAAGAGTCAGTTCTTAGCAAATGTGAGTTTACATATTCGTAGGAGGCCCAATACTGATGGATGGATTCGCAGATGTCTCACGAATTGAGAACACCCACCGCTGTACGTCTCGTTTCCTCCCAACTTTGATCAGGCTAACATGAAACAGGGAGTGATTGGAATGGTCGAGTTGCTCAGCGAAGATCCAAATCTGACCTCGGAGCAGCAAGAATATGTCAATAGCATTCAACTATCTGCCAAAGCGCTTCTTACAATCGTCAACGACATCCTAGACTTCTCAAAGATCGAAAGCGGCCGCCTTGACATCGAAGAGGTACCTTTCAATCTCGCATCGATCATCAGCGAGCTGTGCAAATTACTCGGCATGTTCGCAAACCAAAAGGGATTAAAGTTCGGTTACGAGAATACTATGGACGAGAATCTCGAACTTTTTGGAGACCCTGGACGGACAAGACAAGTGCTGTCCAATCTTCTGACGAATGCTTTGAAGTTTACCAAGGAAGGATCTGTTCACTTAACAGTGTCATCAAGGGCAATGAGTCCACAGTTGGCCGGTGACGAGGTCCTGGAGGTTCAGTTCATCATCGAAGACACGGGAATTGGTATCGAGAAGCATGTGCTTGATAAATTGTTTAGGCCGTTCAGTCAGGGCGATTCCTCGACTGCCCGCCTGTTTGGCGGGACAGGACTCGGGCTTACGATTTCAAGAAATGTGGGCATTTCCTCCCTGCTATCCACAACAATAGGCTGATAGCAACCAGCTGGCAAGCTTAATGAAAGGCTCCATTACCCTCGACTCCACACCCAACGTGGGCAGCAAAGCAATCTTCACCGTTCCGCTAAAAGTCTCCTCTTACTGTCGCAACCCACGCCTCGACGCCTCGACCTCCTCCCCACCACATCCAGGCTTCCGTCTCTCCGCCCGAACAGGCAAGAAGTTGACACCAACGTCAACGCAGAACGTAGCTCACCGCTCTATAAACCAAGACCTCCTGAACCAACAAATCTCCAACAGCGTGACAGATTATTCACCAGTGCCGTCACCTCCAATGGATCGGTCACTTCGCCACGGCTCTGTTGAGGGCCTTTCGCCTGGTACTCCACTTCAATTGTCTGCAGAGCAAAGGAGTATGGTTCATATTCTGGTTGTGGAAGATAAGTATGTTCCCTCTCCAGCTCCTCCAGCTCCCCCCATTCTTCTCATTATTGTGTGAAGGCTGAAAGTAATGGAAATAGCGCAATCAACCAAACCATAGCAATCAAGAATATTCGCAAACTCGGTTTTCCCGTAACAGCCGTCTGGAACGGCCGCGAAGCCCTCTCCTACCTTCTTTCCCCATCCCGGACACAACCAAGACCGTCGATTATCCTCATGGATGTACAGATGCCGGTTATGGACGGGTATGAAGCTACGTGTATCTTGCGTACTGGGAAGGAATATTCTCTGGACCAAATTGAGTCGAAAGAAAGGAATGCCGATGGCGATGCTATTAAAGGGCCAGCTGAGGGGAGTGGGGCAAGGGCGAAAGTGAGGCTGAGTGACATTCCTGTGATTGCGATGACCGCTTCAGCCATTCAGGGCGATAAGGAGAAGTGTCATGAGGCGGGGATGGACGATTATCTGGCTAAGCCGGTGGAGAAGGCGAGGCTGGAGGAGATGCTTCTTAAGTGGGCAGGGAGGAGGAGGGGGGGTTGAGAGGAAAATAGAAATAGACAAATTCGACCTCGTTCAGTGTCAGAGAGTCCAGGATATTGGCCCAATGATCAATTATCTGATGATACCAACCTCGTGGATATCTATGAAAGAATGGACATCTCTCTAAACACTTATCTAAGTGTGCCCACGCTCTAAGTTCCTTTCCTGTAAGAGAGAGAGATATCGAGGAGCATAAAGCAAGCGAGACCCCTTTTTGCTCGGTGAGAAATTACCCCGCCATTTCGCACACCCCGCCCCGCCCCCACTTTTCGGGTGACACAAGAAAGGAACCGCGCCTTTCTTTCAACACGCTTGAATACGCGATTTCACCTTGTGATGGCGAAAGACGACTCCTGCGACTTCACCTGACAAAACTCTCGCCACCTTCCCTTCGTACTCCATTGAGCATCTAAACCCACCAAGCAGTGCCCGCTTCAAGCACAAGTCATGGCGCCAAAGAAGGAGAACCTCCTCCTGCTCGGAGCAACCGGATACATTGGAACCGATATCCTCGAGCAGGTCATAAAAGCTAAAGAGTCGTTTGGTCGAATCGCTATCTTGACTTCCCCGTCCACAGCTCAAAACAAAGCTGATGTATTGGCGAAGCTGAAAAACCAGGGCGTAGAGGTTATCATTGGCGACACCTCGAATTCCTCCGACCTTCTAAACGCATTCAACGACATCGACACCGTGATCAGCGCAGCGGGGCGACCAATTATAGCACAGCAGATAGATTGGATAAACATCGCTATCCAGGCTCCGTCCGTGAAAAGGTTCTTTCCCTCTGAGTACGGGACGGATATTGAGTACGATGCAAGCTCGGCAAACGAGGTTCCTCATCAGCAGAAACTGAAAGTTAGAGCAGCGCTCAGGGAGCAGGAGAAAGAAGGAAAGGGGCTGGAGTACACGTTCGTTGTGACGGGGCCTTTTGCGTATGGGTATCTGGCTGCTGGGAAAGGTTCACTGGGATCTTTTGATGTGAAGGAGAAGAAGGCTGTTGTGCTTGGTGATGGGAAGGGGAAGATTAGCTTGACGACGGATCCTGAGTGAGTTCCACTCCCCCTCTCCCCTCTCCTCCCCTCCCCGCCCTTCATCTGACTAACACGGTTTTAACCAGTGTGGGCAAACTCGTCGTCGCTGCTCTTCTGCATCCTGAAGCAGCTAGAAATCGCGCATTGAGAGTCAACTCGTTCACTACCACTCCACTGGAGATAGTTGAAGAGTTTGAAAAGCAAACAGGGGGCGGAAAATGGGGAGTTGAATTTATAGCATTGGAGAGGGCGAGGGAGCTGGAGAAGAAGGCGTATGAGGAGGGCAATCCATACGCTGTTGTTTTCACGCTAAGAAGGATTTGGGGTGAGGGTGGCACGCTTTATGAGAGGAGGGATAATGGGATCATTGGGGCGGAGGAGGGATTGGATGATTTGACCGACGCTGTTAAGGTGGCAATTGCGGCTCAGACGGGAGCTTGATATGGCGAGGAAGACGTTGAATGAGTACTTTCTGGTACGATATTTCTTGGATGATCATCCTATCTTTTTTTTCCCTGTGTGTAATCTGACATGGAAGCCAGCTTGGTTTGCGAACCGGAAAGTCTTAATCTTCCACTCCTCCCCTGCACTTCCCCCTGTGATGAGAAACCCCCTCAAGAACCTTGGCACCATTTTCCCCATCTCCACGATGGAAATATTCATTCCAATACATGTTCTCGTCCCAGCTCCAAACTAAAGAATTATTCCGTTGGAGAGGCGAGATAAAATGAGTAAGGGACAAATTTTTATGACCAGTTTTGGAACATCTCATGGCTAGACCAGTATGAAGTCTTCAAGCACCGCAGTGTCCACCTTCCAAATCTCGCCGGACATTAACCCTTGAGTGTAGCATTCCCCAACCAATCGGAACTTCTCCTTGCGTGTCCTTTTTACGTATGGCACGTCGATTCCACCAACATTCACATCGCCACACCATTCATATTCGATTCTGGGCGGTTCGTTAAATGCTCTGAAGTCCTCATTTTGTGGCCGCAAAGCATGTGGTACTCTTGATCCAGCAAAGACGCAGATCTGGTCATTGATCTCTAGTTCCTTCGGCCCCAGGCCCATGTACCCTTTTCTCGTTACATAGAATCTCCTTTCTTGAGAACGATCAACCACTCGACTGAAATATGTCATCAATTCGTAGTCAATCATAACCATACCGGGCGATGTTATGATCCTGTTCTGGCCAGTCAGATCCCCAAGCTTCAAGTAAATCCAATTCCGAAAGCCGGTGAACTCATCCGGAAGCTCTGGCTGGGGTTCATTGTCGGGAACCTGTTCCGGGAGCATGTTGCCAATTTGTCTTTTGTAGTCGAATGTCACCTCTTTATCGTCCATGATTAAAGTCCTTGCAAGTGCCGCCCATACAGACCCCCCTCCCACTCGATACGGATATCTGTCCATCCCAACAAAAGCCAAGGTCTCGAAAAGTCTCATCTCCAGAAATTGATACCACAACCCAACGTAGCTAGGATTGACGACTGTCCATTTTGGTTCCCCCTTGGCTAACTCTTCTTGCTCGATTTCTCCAACGCACGGCATCACGGCAAGAACCCTGTCGATCAACTTTCCCCTTGTCACGAGCACCGAGTTCGACTCGTCGAATTCGAGCGTCGCCTCAAATTTACCACCAGCGGCAAATCCACGTAACATATCAGTAGGACCGCGAAATGGAAGCCTCCAATCCGGGACCCAAGATGGAATCTTCAAACTCTCTCCACATAGCAGATGGTTCGAGATTCCTGCCCAGGACAAAACATCCACGCTGCCACTTTCTCGAATGCAATATCTTGCAAACGCTTCGAAGACCTCTGCCTCGGATCTTTTATACTCGATAGTGAAAGGGGTCTTCCTGCGGTGATTGAAGATACCGAGCAGCGCAAAAACCCTGTCCTTGTCATCTCTGCAGTCAAACCCTCTAGCATCTTCCAAACAAGCATATATCTGAATCGCCATCGCCTCTCTCTCACTCGCCCAAATATCTTTCCTAATTCTCGCAACCTTCGTGATATTCTGCAGTCCTCTAGTCACAGCCCCCCTTCCCATCCCTGTCCTCCGGTTAAGATACTGACTCCCATCACCCTCCAACCTCGCCAGAACCTCACCTGCCATAGCCAGGACATCCCATTCGACCTTCTCTGTGCCACAGTAAACAGTCGCCGTCCTCGCAAAAGCGATTTCTTGAATAACCCACCGCCGAGAGAACCATGGTCGCGTCCAGATCACATCTGTCTTCTTCATCATTTCCGAATCGCCATACACTTCTTCCCAAAGCACTTTGTTTGTTGCACCATGCTCTTCGCAATGTTGTTCAACCTTCGGCTCCAGAACAGGACCTCCACGTTCCAAGAACTTGCTTCCAATGTGCGTCAAATAGCGCATCGCCTCTTTGGATCCCTCGGACTCAGTTCCCAGCCAAATTAATACATTTGACGCCTTCCGATAGATATCCTCCATGAGCGGGATCTGGTGGGACTTCTCTTCCGTGTCAGATTGATTAATACATATGGCGTCGATCCAGATTCGTAACTCTTTGTCTGGTTGCTGGAAGTTCAGGAGGGCATCCCGCAGGTTTTGCGTTATTTTGATTTTGTGAGCGTCGCAGAGTAAAGTGCACGGGAAAACATTCTCGCCCCAAGTGTAAGAGGGGGCTTGGAATACCGGGTTGCTCTCTAGAGAGACTTCTTCGAGTTTACAGTGGAGCTGTTTGTCTTGGAGGCTTGCGCGGCAAGGCAGAAGGCAGAGAACTCGTATTGAGGTTAGTGATGCGAGGGGTCTGTATTGATATGGCTGCTGCATGATATTGGTTGTTGAATGGTTCCCTGCTTCTGGGAGACTCTGTTGGGGGTCTTTCAAGTTCTCCATAATTTGATATAGGTCTCTGAGATATTTGGGAATGGTGTTGTTGAAGAGGGAATTGATGTGGGGCTGAGTACCTCGTATCGACTCGTGGAGGTGGAACGAATGAAGGTGGCTTGCACGTGCCGTCCCAAAATAGCCGCTGCATGCCTGCCAAGCAAAATACTTCTATCCGGAACCACTGTGTACCACTCATCGCCTGCAGCTGACAAATCGTTTACTTATGCCATCTTGAGATGTACCCGAGGCATGTTTTGCGGGTTTAGGGTCATGGGAAAAGTTAGTCAGTTTAGGTCTTGAATATCCAATATCCATCTCTCTGGAATTACCCCGCTTTACCCCGCTATTTCAGGAGTCAGGAGACTTCTCGCTTAAAGTCTCCTAATAAACAAAACAATACCAACCACTACTACGCTATTTGACCATTATTTGTGAATCATTTCATGGTATGAATAAACATTCAACTTATAGCTCTTACGCGACATGGACTTAGATTTGCCTCGGACGGTTTATTTTTATTTTTCATGTATTGCTGCATTTGCACTCTAGCAGGCCGGCCGCAGCAGGGTAGAAAGACTATGCTCGCCATGTGCTGTAACAGACCAGCCGCCTCAGTAGAGAGAGACCATGCTCACGTGAAAAAAAGAAGGGAAAAAACCGGCGTCACGCCGAAAGCCGTGCTAAATCCTTCAGCTATTCTGGAAGTCTGAAATCGCGGAAATCGGGAACTACCAGAGCTGATGACAGCAAGAGCCGTCTATCGTTAACTCATGCTGCCTTAATTCTGGATTATTAGTCTTATACTGGCTCAGAAGGCCCCAGACGTCGTCGTCTCGTTCGTCTTTCGTAGTACTAGGGGTTCGAAGCGATCTCTTCCGCATCGTTGGTGGAGCCATAAACATTCCAATTATAGTTTGAGTAAAAATACTTATTCATCATTACTGCTAGAAGTGTTTGAAGTATCCAACTTAACTCGGAACATTGATCAGATCAGTGTTATTTCTATTAATAGCAGACCAGCTTCATCTCTCTTATTCAGGATCTAATAAAGGCATTCGAATACTCTCTCACTAAACTATCACTGTAAGCAAGACCATACCAATCCTAATCACTGGCCCTTAGCGACCACTGCCTCTGCATCATTGATTTATAGATTCAAGGTCATCAAATCGTCAACAATACGACACCGAAATACTCAATAGAATCAATTTGCACTGAACTGAAGACAGAAAAACCAATGAAGACTCCCTCCCCCGATTCGAGAATCAATACTGAAATCACGAAAGTGCCTTTCCCCCCTTCATCGCCATTCTGGGAAGTTCCTCAGAGCTAAGTTTGTTTCCGTTGCCCGTCCTAGACGTACTCCTTCTCGACCTCCTCTACCATTGTCAATGTGGTCTCTTCTTGTGCGTTTGGTCCATGGACAACGATCTGCTGAGCTTCCACATCCCCAAGGGTAGAAGATTTTTCCTGTGAAGGCACAGTGGCAAAAGGAGCAGTCTCGCTATCCTTGACCTTTGCCGGAGATCCCGCATCGCTACTCTTCTTTCCCCAGTCGAACAACTTGCGCATGAAAGAGGCCTTCTTCTCCGTTTGACCAGGCTGCGGCGGAAGTCTACCGATCAGATGCTTCTTCCTCGGATTGTTTCTCCCATGTGCACCCTGAAACGTTTTGGTTGCATCCTTCCCGGCGTTCTGTGCAATTACTGTCTGGGGTTAGCTTTGGCAGCCTGGAAGAATTACGAACTTACCTCTTGGACCACCTGGGTGTCTATGGTGGAATTGCGTGAAGTCGTATACCTTGCCATTGACCAGGACCCAGAGGTCCTCAGGAGTGCTGTGTGTGGCGACTTCCTCCTCGGTATAAATGGGGAGCTCATTGTCCATTCTGGAGTGGGCGTCAAAGGCGTCGCGGAAGCTGGTGTAGAATACTGACATTGCCGAAGTCGGTGAAGAGGAGGGCAGCAGATGAGATGGCTGATTGTAAGAGTCTACGACCTGGGTTGAGTTGATCCTTTGGAATGTTGGAGGTTTGGTGGATGTTGGTTGTGGTTCCGTTGTGGGAAGAAAGTTGGGCATCTGTGGTGGTCAAGAGGGCATTCTTAAATGGACCGAGGGGAGTTGGATGCTCACATTGTGAATTGGTTCCTAAATTCCCTAAAAGGCCATGAATAACTATTTGACGTCATATGAACCAATAAAACGAGTAAGAATTTGTGATAAATTTGAAATGCCATTGATTCACTAAAACCTTCCACAAGAAGCCAAATATCTAAATTACGCAAGTATGATGCAAGAGAGCATGTTGCCGTGTAAGGGTTCACACTTCCCCAAAGGGAAGATGAATACTTGGCACGAGCTGCTTTGTGTTCTTTCTCTGGGATTAAGACGAAAACCACGTAAGATTAAAGATAGTAAAAGATTCGGGAAGAATGCTGTGTCGCCGTGATATTGCCAATCGCGGCATGCTGGCTCGACCGCAAACCGGAAACAAATGGGCACAGAATTTGTGACTCAAGGACAGATGAACGAGCTTCGAAGGGAGATTCAGAACTAGAAGCACTCCCGCGTTAATCAAGTTTAGCTTCTAAGCTTGAAGCAAAGATCAGATGTCGTATTTCTAGTCCAAGAGAGTAAAGCCTGTCCATATGGGATTCTATTCACTTTTCCCGTTGAAGGTGAATCAACCTCATAACCCTTTATATTAGTCTTCGCTAAACCAAAATACACAATGCTTTCCACTCCTTCTCCACTCTCAGCCTTACTCTTCTCAAATCCACAAAAATCTTATTACTACGGGGTAGTAAACGTTATCCTTGCCCCCAGCGAAATGAATTCAGTACTCCGAACCCTCTCTGCCCTCCTGCTCCTCTTTTGCCTTCCCCTCATCTCCGCGAGGCTCGCGTTCTATCCTCTTTTCTTCGAACCCAACGCCATGATCACTAGAGTCTCTCATTCCCTTCAACCATCTACGATCCTTCAACTTCTCAGGTTGACACTGACTCACACCTGCAGTTCGAAAGCACCGTAAGCATCCCTGCCAATTCACCAGACCGCCAATCACCCGACAACGATTTCCAAGGTTTCTGGCCAGGACTGGAAACCGCAGACGCCGACTTCGTCTTCCAGAACGTGATTTGGAATTGGAACCCGACCCTTACACCGGAAGAATGGTCTTTACACCCTATGTATTGCTGTAGGTATGTTCCCGATCCCAATCCCTTCACACCAGAGATCCTTGCCTTCTCCAAATCCTTTCTCTACGTAAATTAAAATAGTCAATATCAGACCAATGGGAGGCACGGATAATGTCTTTCGACGTGAGTAGGGAGATCCAAATTGTGAATCTGCTCAGTGTTTGGGAATCAAACTTACTTGAACTTCCGCAACACAGTTTATCCCGGAGATGAAGTTAAGAGCGTCTTCGCCATCGATAACTCGACCGGAAAATGGCACGATAATTGGTCTGTAGCTCGTTGTCAACAGGGGCATGTTGCAAACCAAGCACCATTTAGTGGCAACATGACATTTGATCCTAGCATTGCCAGTAAGTTCTCCATGCATTTGGAAGGCCGATAAGGGACTATACTGACCATGAGAATAGCTGTACCTGATCGAGTGCCATACACCATGGTGAGTGAAAGTCCTGGTGCAAAATGAAGGTCAATGACAATCACTAACTGGAGCAGGCAGTCCTCACTATTGAGTTGCAGGAAGAGGCAACTTGGGATTTCGGCTCTGTAACATTCACCGACATCACTATAGAGGCCGCCACCAGCGATACGTTATGGTGCACAAAGTACGCCCCCAAATATTCATCGTAGAATTTGCTTGACACTGACCATGATCAGTGGCCCTTACCCAGGCGGTGATTCCCCGTCATGGAAGTGGGCTAAGTCTCGCGGAAACGTGTCTGTTTCTGGTGGAAAGACAACTTGCTATTACTCAAAAATCGTTTTGGTGAGCCCGAATTAGAATACCATCACATCAAATCTGGCACTGGCGACCGTGAGGGCTCGGAAACAAGGAGACCGCGATATATAAGTGATTTTAATTCATATTGGAAAATGGAACGGCGACAGGCATGAGATTTGAATGTGAAACTTGGACACCGTCAGCAGACAAAATAGAAATGATTTTGGAAACGAGAATGAACCACGGCTTTTCAGGAAGCACTCCATCCGTGAAGTAAATCGGCAAATGAGGCAAGTAATGTGACCAAACCACGCCACATTACAACAGCAAACAATGTTGAGTGCCCTTCATTTCTATCAAAAAAGATAGGACGGCTTCTTTCTGTAGTAATTACTGCTATTAATTATGGAGCTGGTCTTTTTAAGGCCTGGTGGTTTGATTGTTGTGAAGTGTTTGGCTTGACTTTTGCGAAAATGTTCACAGAACTAATATCACGTGATCATGAGATCTTCCTGTTAAAGAATCAAAACCTCGTGCCGGCTTTCGGGATCCCTCATTTAACATGTTTCTGTTCATTCTTCCTGCTGACAACATAACAACGACAAAAATACCCTATTTTCCTACCCGTTTAAAATAACATCAACAGCCTTCTCGCTTATCATGAAAATAGGGGCTTGAATGAAGACTCCGTGGATTCGTGGGAAAACGCTCGCATCGACCACATGAAAGTTCTGTACACCGCGAATCCTGAAGTTCGAATCAAGCACCGCATTTGAATCACTATCGGCACTGGTCGCTGCTGTGCATGCCGCGTGAAGACTCCATGCTCTGTCTTTGATGTAGTGGCCAATGTCCTCGCTGGGCTGCACGGATGGTCCAGGTTCCTCTTCAACAAATGTATCGCCGCCAGGGATTCTGTAATTAAGGTATCGCTTCAGTGCTTCCCGGGGTATGTTGACAGCTTAAATGATGGCATCGAGGTCGAGTGTATATGCCCCGCCAGCTGTTGTTCCTATGTCGAATTAGTTGAGGTGATGTTAGGGCGTCAGAGGGTCCGTTGACCGCAGCTTCACAGTTCCAGCGCGGCTGCAAGTGTGTACTTTGAGGTTGTACCAAGACCAGTGTTTGTGATCAGCTACAGCCGTCTCATTCCAATCAGGGAAGTAGCCTGTGAAGTCAACAGGTCCTCCAAAGATGAAGAGGTCAATATCGGTAGTGGAGGCATAGTTTGGACGAGCGACAATTGCCCTTGGAAGGTCGTTCGTTGAATATACTCCTCTCGCTGCCAGAATATAGGGATTGTTCTGCCACCTAGTCAAGCAGGCACCATCTGGCTTCGAATCGAAAGTGCATCCTTCAAGACACTGGATTTAGCACCGTGTTTCACATTGACGGGAATCTCGTATCGAACATGCATGTTAAGTCCAATTCCAGGGAGGTTGTTGATAGCTGGGATGTTGAACTTCTCAGTTCGTCGGCTGGTTCGATGCCACTTAGTTTAAGCAGTTGTGGGGTGTTGAAGGCTCCTCCAGGAATAATCACCTCCTTCGATGCGGTTGCTAAACTTGACGCTCCCTGACCAACACTAAGAGGACTTCCGTAGTAGAGGTTATTGCTGGCTAAGGAGTTAACGCCGGTTGCTTTAGGAGTGCCGCCGGATGTGTCGAACGTATTGTTGGTGATATGACAGTTTTGGGTCACAGTGAGTAGATATGTTTCCTGAACGGTGTCAGCAATGAAGTCCCGGACTGCTGTGCGTGCGCCATTCTTCATATTGAGAGGGATCTGAAAGAAATCTTCACCGGAGTCGCGGGTAGGATTTAACCTGCTGTTAGGTCTTTGAGAAGGGTGTTTGCAAGGCCAGTCACTGCAGCAGTCGGGTCTGGTCCAACTCCCATGGCCGCTGCTCCAGAAACCGGATGCTGCGTGAGCTTCAAGTCCAACAATTGGATGGTTGGGTATGTAGGCTTGACTGGGAACAACTCATAAACTTTGTTGAGATACTGATTCATGTTCGTTGCTGCCCACGAATTGTCTCCGGTGGTCAAATGCCATCAGAGTCGCTTGCGTGTGGTGTAATCAAGATGAGAGCTTTGTGCGTAACGCAGCCTCCCAATATACCAGCGCATGGGTACAGAATTCCGAGGGGCTTCGCACCTGAAGGAGGGTTTAGTCCTACGTGATACTAGGACGGTGCCACCTCCCACGAGTATTTCGGATCTCGCGTTGCTCGACTTTGATCTTGGTAATGATTAATGAACATGTCCCAACGTAGTTTAAGATCGTTCGTTACAACTGCTTAGTAACCTGAGACTGAGATGTTAGCATTCCCATTTTGATCGTTTCTAGCTTCGATGAGAAGGGTTTTGTGGCCCGCGATAGCCAGTCGACAAGCGAGTGGCCCTCCAGCTCCGCTGCCGACGACGATATAGTCATATTCGAGCTGATCTTACCGCCACAGGGTTGCCCAAATTTTTTGACGGTGCGAGTACAAGAAGTGAAGCGGCCAGCGCTGCGAGTTTAAAGAGCTTCATCTTGTGTCTGGGAAGCAAGAAGCTAGGAGGGAGTGAAGTACAGTGTTGGTTGGGAAAAGACTCCATTACCGTTCTAAGAGGGGGTTTACGGGTCTATATATAGGGTCTGGTACCCTGGTCAAACAGGGGGGGAATCAGGTGAATTGGGCAACTGACAGACAGAGAGTACCCGTAACTCGTACGGCTAATAACAAGCGGAAAGTCTGAAACCCAGAATCTGATGTCTCGAGCAGGTGCCTCTTGACACTCATTTCACATCAATGTGCTGTGCCAGTGCTTATGGGTAATCGTGCCGACCTACAAAATCGATTGTCAGAAGCCGTGCTTGACAGCATTACCCTGGTGATAGGTCTTGGGAAGTCTTTGGTTCGCTGGGCAATCGCCTGCAACCCACCTTGGTGCCGTGTGCAGTCGATATGCACACCATTAGAACATTTTAGGTTATTCCATCACGAACAATTTGAGGTTGTACGGCTCGGAGGAAACGTAGGAGGAAGTCAGCGTAGGTTTGAAAAGCGAGGTGGGGTTGCAGGGTACTTTAGCGGGGTCAGCAGTGATCAATGACCCGCTTCCGTTTAAGTTGGGATCTACTACGCTAACTGCCCTTTACGACTCGCGGTCCCAAGTACTCCTAGTTTAGCAGTTATTACGAACACCTGTTCTGACCTGTTCACCTGTCAAGATCAATTTGGCCGATGTCCATACCCACCCCACGGCTGATCCTCAGGAACAAGATCAGTCCAAAAGGTGGATAATTTTCATATGCTTTCTTTCTTACTTTCTGATCCTCGGTCTACAATTGCAATTTGTGCTGACGGCGATTGGAAGAGAGACTTTCACGAATTTGAGATGTGCTCTACCACTTACGAAGTAGAGGGCCCAAACATATGGAACATCTGAAAAGCTCAATTGAAAATTAACTTGTAACTTATCTCCGGAGGTCTTGTTCTCTTTCAGCTCATCTCTATCACTTCCTTTGACGGAATTCGTGATCCCAACTCTCCAATCTGGCCAAAGTGCAAAAGACTCCTCCTAGACAATCGTGTCTCTTGCTTCGGTTCACTCGCCATAGCCTCCGGCAACCTCCAAATCGCAACCAGTATTGCAGTAATAGGCAGGACAATGACCCACATAATCCAAAACCAGTGCGAGAAAATGAAATGTGGCACCCCATCTTGGTCGACTGAGAGATTGAAAAACTGGCTACCGAAAATCGACGCAACCGTGCTTGCGGGAAGGAAGATCAACGTCAAAAAGGCGATCGTTTTCATGGACTTGGAGTCTTGTTGCGTTACCAAGTGGAAGGACAGATTGATTACGTTAGCCATTCGGCTTTCGAGGCTGAGGAGACGGAGCTTCGTGGACTGGAAAAGCGTCTCGCAGTGCACTAGCGAATCACGTGTCCGTTCGTTGATTGTTGCTGAGGTTGACTTGCTGGCGGGGCGCTCAACATGCTCAACAAGTCGTTTTAAGGTATGAAGAGCTGCATCGGATCCCTCGCGAAGATGTGTTATGTGCTTGGAGACATTGTGCAAGCCGGCAAAATCCATCATACCCGCGATATGGCCAAGGGTTGCGTGGCTAAGTACGTTCTGCGAATGAAAATCTCAGTTAAGCAATGCCACTATTGGACTTCATGTCTAGAAAAATAAGTGAACTGGACTCACGGTTTCCATGCTGCCAAAGACATCACCAAGCATCCTCGTGGCAATGTCCAATTGGAGATATAGCTCCTGAAAGATTATTGAGAATAAAGCGGTGGGATCGTTCATTATTTCCTTCCATTGTAGATGCTCGTTCAAGCATCTTTTGATCCATGCGTGAGCTCCAAAACATATCAAGGTCACTTCTTTCATTTGGGAAGCTGGGTTTGATTGCGAACATAACATGAATCCAGAGCGTTGCCAAGAATGGTCCTCTTGGCTCAGCTGGTTGGTATTTTTTCTGATATTCTGGTCGATGGTTAATTATGGCAGGAGTACCCGGCACGGTTTGAAGCAAGAAAACGTGTATTAAAGTCATGTATATTCGGGAGTTATATTTTTGGCTGAATGCAGACACTTACAGGATTCTGAATCTTGAGTTGTCCATTCGCGTTGAGCGTGATGTCTTTGCAAAGAAAATGAAACCAGGAATCTGTGGTATGGGTCAGCGGCTTTTCATCAGATATCGAATCGCACTCTCGTGTGAGTGAATTGGGGATTCCTTGACTTACATTGACGAGTTGGACGGCTACAGCTACCGAATGAGTGCGCCACCGATCGAAGCCGTTCAGTCAGAAACCCCACTGGGAATTGGTAATATCTGAAAAGGCCCAGATGATCGTCCATGTTCTCTTTACTCGGAATATCTAAAGGGGCGGAAATGATCCGAAGGTCACAGGATGGCATGGTTCTCAATGCATTCACACTCGAGAGCGGTTGCCATCCCGTACAGTTTAACTCTTCCTTTGTTCAGTACACTATCTTCTGTTATATCAGGGCCTGGTGATGACGTACCGGCTCCGAACTCCAGAAATTGGAAAGTCTCCTCTCTAGCCTGCCCTTTCAAATCCTCGGCCATGCCGGCCAGGCTTTTGAACGCCTCGTATTGCATGGAAGTTTCTATTGAAGGATCCATTGCTGAATAATAAGATTCTGCGTGATGTGCTCGTATATTCGAGATATGCTCCGAGGTAGAAAGGGAGAATGCGGGCAATAAGACGTTTCCTGTGCGATATCACACCCAGCTGAAATCGGGGCGCCTTGCTTATCTCACACTGAACATCTTACGAAACACTCAAACGCTTCAAAATAAGCCTATCCAAGGGGGATAACGGATACAACTGAAGTTCAATTGTTAGCGAATAGCGCGTCTTCGCATTTGATCACCATACTTCAATCTTAAGATAAGTCGTTGTGATTTGTCAAAGTGTTTTAGTATCTGCAGGCACTCGTCAATTTCGGCGAGAGAGGTTACAGGAGAAAGCCACGAAGGATACCAATTTTCAGCAGGAGTTGAGAGTTTGAAACAGTATGTATTTTGCTTTTGGGAGTTATGGTTTATCGCATGACAGTGCGCCACCCTGGTTCCTGGTTCCTGCTGCCCCTATCGGCAGCGTCTTCACGGCACGTCCCGTTATGTGGAGGTGGTCTGGCCCGCTATTTTAAGATCATCGCACCTCATTCGCTCAATTCGCAGGGCGCATGAGGCTCTTGGCATTCAGACATGGGGTTTACACCCGCTAATGAAACCAAGCCACCAATATTTCAGAGAGGGTGCGAAGCGCTTTCAAGCTCGGTGCACAATTAACATCCACGTCATTGGCTGCCACACGCTTTGGGTTCAGCCTCATCGCCCCTTTTGTCGAGTTATCATTTTTCGAGCCCCGTGCCAATGCATTGAATGTGACCAACATCTCTTCCTCAAAGCTCGCACTATTTTAGTCTCGAGCTCAGAGTACTATTGGCTGCTGCACTCTCCATGTTGAGCCTCACTACCCCTTTTTATCCTATTCTCATTTTTTGACCCCGTGCCAAGGCATATTTGTTACACGCCAGGAGTCTGGAATGCATCCACAATTTGACCTCGACCTTCAGATCCTGCACTCTTCCAGGAGGAGGACCAAACAAGGATTTGACCAATCTTGGTTGCTGGATTACTCGGCGGGAGGAAAAGTATCAACCGTAGAATAAACATTTCAAATATTACTAACTAAGTTTGCTGAAGAAAGCACTGCTTTCAACTCATCTGTTTTGGGATTTCCGAACTCGATCGTCTTCAAAGCTCAAAACCAGTCGGGAGACGATGAGCTGCCTCTCCTGCGGAAACAGTCTGGAACCCAATCAGACCATTTGAGCTGGGAAAGGCAGTTATTGAGCGCCCATCTTCCGAAAGATCACACCACCATCATGCAGCCACAATTGATCCAGGCGGTTCGGAAAGCTCCGTTTGGGAGCCCTCCTGCTGTGGCACTTTTATAATAGCCTTATTGGTACCGGTCAAAAGCCGAACAATGTTGCCCTCTTCATGCACTGAGATTGAAGTGCCCCTATGTAAGAAGTTATTTAAACTCCCGTGCGTTCCTCTTAACATATCCACCTTTTGATTTCTTCAACCATACGGACCTTTGCCAGAAATTTCCAACCTACCTCATAGAGCCGCGCCGTCAACTTCTCAGAAGTTCATCAATGGCAAGACAGAAAATTCTTTTGCTTTCTCGACAATCGCTAACACGAACTCTAGGCTAACCAGATGAGCCAACATGGCGGAGCCTACATCCCAGGGGGAGTGAACCCGTACGTTGTAAGTACTTCGAGTAACCAACTTTTAGATATCCAATCGCTAACGACAATAGGCACCGCAGTCTCACGGTGGAGGTTACGTTCCTGGGCAACAGCAACGTTATCAACCCGCACAACCTTCATCTTCTGAGCAATCCTACACTTATCAGCAACAAGCACAATATCAACCTACACAGTCTCCTCGGCCCCAACCGCAATATCAACCCCCACACCCTCAACCTCAACCAGTGTGTATATCAACAAAGCGGGACACAGAAAAGAAAGGCCGCTGACGTATTTAGGTTTACCAGTCGCAAGGTACCGCGCAGAATACGTATTCCCATGCACCTGCGGACGGATCTTTGGTACGCTTTCTGAAGAGTTGCTGTCTCGGCCAGTAATAACCGAGTGTTCGAGCAGGAATCGAAATCTCAGTCCTACACTTCTGCTGCCGAAGTTGATGAGTATAATGATGCCAACAGTGTGCATGTATGTAACTTGCCATAAACAAATGCGATTTTTTCTCTAACCCCCTTTGTTTGCAAGGCGAAGAGACCGGTCCACTTGAAGGGAACCTTCAATTTCTTCAACCCAGCTACGCGCTGGAGATTCAAGAAGCCCCATCTGTACCAACTACCTGAATTTCAGTACGATGACGGTCAGTCCTACAGGCACCGGGACTCCATGGGCCGGGTCTTCACAGGTCCAATTGACGACCGATATCTCAGCCCTTGGGACGGTCATTTGGCGAAACTTCACGTTCAATGTACAGACCAGCTTTATGATGGGCCGGGCACAACAACATGGCGACGAACTTACATCCGAAAAGTCGCTCCTCTGAACGTGCGAATCGCGACTTGGGTCATCGACTTTTCCGCAGATCCTAAAAATTGGAAAGATTGGGGGTTGATCTTGCTGAGATTTATCCCTTCTTCTTTTGCCTTGACCTTTTTCGTAAGTTAATCTCGAATCTGTATTTTGAGCCAGTTGTTTCATTATACTCCGAACGAAAATTTGTGGTTTTATCTCAACCCCAAGTTTGTGTACGCTCACTCTTTGCTGGCATCGTCTCTGAGATGATTTGATTCAAGGCAGCCCACCATTGCGCCTCCTTTGATATCTGTCGTTTGTATAATTGAACATTACTGACAAGCGTAAACAGGCATTAGGGCGAGATACAGTTGAGGTAAAGTATGGACTGAATTACGCCCCTCTGCCGTACAAATTCCATGGTTACGCTAAGGCAGCTCGTAACCAACTCGAAAATGCCGAAACAAAGGGCTCACCTAAAGCCATTCTCACTGAGCAACGGGTATCTGAGCGTCTTCTCATGCCCAGATATCTATGTTTTCTGAAAAGCCCAGAAGACAGCGGGTTGCGAGGAGCGGTTCCCATGTTAGTCTCAACGTGGCAAGCCAAAAAGCATTCAAACAGTGTCATCAACTATCTTTTCGTTGCTTACTCTGCGGAGCAATTCAACCACGGATCGAACGAGGACATGGAAGCTCTTCATCAAATTGCTGAGAGAGCAACAAGAGATGCGCAGCTTTCAGCATATTGGGTAGCCTGTAGCTGCATGCCCGATCCTAATGAGCTGGAAGATGATGTATTACTTCCATATTCCCCTTTTTTCAAGAACATTCGCTTACACATAACGTCTCAGGTCTATCGCATCAGTGATATCATGCGAGGCGCAAAGGCAATGGCGATTGCTGTCGGAGCCCCACGGAAAGCGACACATGGCAGTGCCAACACTACTACAGAGCTACTCAGGCACTGGGGAGAGAGAATGTGGACCTTTCCAGAAGTCCTGCTCAGCCAAAACGACGATGTCAGAGTATATGCCCGCAAAGGACAGCTTGATGGACCTCTTGTCATTCCAAAGACTCAGTTTGCCGCCCAAGTATGGTCTGATGCCACCGTTAGTAGGCAAATGGTGGATCACTACGCAGGATCTCTGGGACTCAGTCGCCTCGAGTTGGTGGCATTGGCTCTGCAATGCCTTACGAGTCGACAAACAACCCAGTACCTTCCAGGAGATCACTCATATGCACTCATGGGCCTATTGAGGCTGCGTCCAAAGATTGATAGCACCGATACAGCCTTCCAAGCTTTTGCAAGGTAAGTTCTTTGTTTTTGAATAGTTGGAATCTTTTTTCTTCTATTTTCAGAGAACTGACTCTAACTTATTCCATCAGGCTCTCTCTCTTGAACGACAGTGACCAGCTTCTTGAACGAGTCATATGCACGTTGCCAAAGCACCCAGACCAAGAATGGTATGAACTGGGTGATGCCTACGGTTCCAGCCTCTGGGATATTTATCCCAAATGTCAAGTGGCTGGTGTCGGCGAGAATGACACTGTGATCATAGATGGAGCCTACGGTACCAGCATTCGGTGGAAATCTTTCCACCGAATTTGGAATTTTCGAGTCTTTTCATGGAAACGATGGCTTGCGTGGAAGCTACTTCACCTCTCATCAACCTTCGTGCTGATCGGCTTCATCCTCTTTGGCAGCGGCGTTCAGCTATCAATGCCGCAGACAATTTACGACGATTGGTCCGGATCATCATATACAGTTGCTGGTAGCCCTGCCGGTCTTATGAGCATCGGCGTTGGGTTTCTCTTCCTTATCTTCGGCATTGCAGGCTGGCTCATGGCTCCGAGACTTCTGCATCTTATCCTCGGAGGAAAGTTCTGGAACACGCAAGCCGCTGTGTTTGGGTTTGAGGGCTACATTAATCTTGCAACTATCGAGAGGTCCATCTTCGGCGGCAACTTCGGCCGTCTGAGCTGGACTCCCAACGGATCGCCGCTTTCTAGACATCATAAGAATTCTTTCGGAGAATGCATTGGCGATGACCCAACTGACGACATCGAGGTCCGCAATCTCGTAGAGAAGGCAAAATCTGCGAGGCCCGGTGACCAGAGGGTATGTATTAGCTGCTATTTTAACCTTCCCGCGCCCTTCATAGGCTAACTATCTCCAGGTTTTCACACTAGTAGACACCGGGTCCATGCAAGTCACCATGTTTCAAGCGGCAAACCCACCCATCGCACTTGTTATCTGTGGTTCCGAAGGTGGAATGAAGCGTGCGATTGGCTGCTCTTATGATTGGAAAACTGGAACTCTCTATCGCGAGACTGTGTTGAGGGTATCCACAACTGTTCTTGATCGCATGGGTCGGGTCAGCAAGCTTAAACTGGGACTCAAGCGACCACGTGTCGAACCACGTCGCTGTGTGGCGTAGGGATCGTTTTGTTGATCTTTCTTTGTCCATGGCTGGGGTATAAATCGTGTTTTGGAATGAAGCTATGATGTTTTTAATTACTGTCGGAGTTCTTTTCTTTTGAACTTGAAATACCATGTAATAGCTAGATCGGCTGGGCCTATTCGTGTACAATGGAACACTTCTAAACCTTACAATGTCCTTGAATTCCTTAAGTTTCTTAATTTTCTGGCTTATACTCAGAGCCCATTAATGTTTTCGTCTCTTTCTATTTTAATTATTGAGGTTTGCCATTCAGTATTGGATTCTATCTTTAGAGGAGATTCTGTTCACTGGAAAGCCTGAGCTTTTGGAGTGTTGGTAGGAGACTTACCATTGGTCACGTGATATTTGGCATCATCGCAAATGCCCTCGAAGATCGAATGTTTGACTCATGTCGTATTCCACAAAGGAAGCTATAAAATTGGAGATCGTGAGAGGTTGTGCTAGAATATTCTCGAAGAAGCCCGATGCTTCGCGAATCTGCTGGTACCTGAGTCACATTAAAGGCCCCCATGCAGTTGAAACTCGCTTGCAAGGCAACCGCAGAAGGCTTGTTGGAGCGCGGGGTGGGTGCGCATGTTCAAATAGCTATTTATCTACATTCATATCCCAAAAAGCTGTCCTCTTTGTAAAGTCCCCATGATCAAATTTTGACACTCGTTCAAAAGATGGCAACAATCAATTCCCTGAGCCCGGAATTGTTGGAACAAATCTTCGAATGCGTCGCAGCAGATTCGGACAAATTCAAGTACTTACAATTGTCGTCCACATCGGAGATCTTTGATACTGGTCCCACAATACGCCCTTTGCTTCTGGTCAACAAATCCTTCTACGCCTCAGCGCAACGGATACACAACCGACACAAATGCCTCATCATCCGCGAGGAAAGTGGAGACGGCGATACCCAGGAAAGCCTTCAATTCATATCCGAACTTCTGCACGATCCGTTGAAAACAGAGGTTCTAAGGGGCATCCGGGATTTAACAATCACGTGTGAGCTATATTGGAGGCGTCGTGAGGTGGGGTCTGGTGGGCCTGGTGAGCCTGTTAATGGATCGACTTATGATCAGTACATTGAACAAATAGTCACCTTTACTTCCAAAATTCCCAAGTTGAGGAATTTAACCTTCAATGGCGATCGCCCGATCCCTTTGTCGCTTCTCCGCGTCCTTGAGAAACATCAACCTCAATGCCATCTCCATATCCGAGAGTGGCACCGAAAGAGTGCAGATATGGATCACAACGACCGGGCAGAAATTGCCCTAGCACATTCACCCAACCTTCGTACAATCACAGTCGAGCTCTGGGATGATGGGAACACTGAACTTGACCTGCGAAAGTACGCTCTGAAACGCATCGTCTTGCTGTCTCCACATCTTGAGAGTGTGGATATTAAAGAAGGGACACTGGGATGCCTTTTGCGCTCTTATTCTCCACACAAAAGAGCCCAGATGGACGAATTGGGCGCCCAGTTCACCACTGGGAAACCATCGCAGAACAACATCAAGAGCCTGACATCAAGGGGCGGTGACCATGTTAAAATGCTGGAGGGCGTGACCAACATGAGGAAGTTGGAGAACTTGGATATCGGCTGGATTCCAAATTTTGACTTCTTTTCCCCGTTGACAAGGAGACCTCGGTTTGAGAACTTGAGGCATCTAGCCGTGGAAATGGGATATTGGTACGACTCTAGAGCGCTTCTTCCGGAGACATGCTTACGAGATTTCTTGGCTGTTTGCTCACCTCTCGAGAGTCTAAAGATCGCCGATCAGCGAGGCCAAGTTGATCTGTCTGCCATTTTCGATACCCACCGCCACTCACTTCGCAAACTTCATCTCCATGAAAGCGAACCAAAATATTCGGACGAAAGCCCCGACCGCCATTTCCTCTCTCTAGACGGCATTCGGGAGTTGCGGAGGCGATGTCCTCGGTTAGAGGAGTTTACGGTCGATATGGAGCGTGTCCCTAATCAAGGGCAGACCAGAGAAATCCTCGAAGAGCTTGCGAGGTTCGAAAATTTGGAGAAGCCCACGCTTTACTTTCCACTGGACCTCGTGAATTTGGCTTCACCTTCAGACACACCAAAAGCGCCTTCGTTACTTGGGTTCAGGAATGAAGTGCCAGCTGACCACGTTCCTGCGGAGCCTTTCAACCGCAAGTATATATCCTCTTGGCTGGAGAACATCTATTCCTTATTGCTCCATCAGAGAAAAGTCAATCACTTGCCGCCCTTCAAAGAAGTCCGTATCAAGCTAGGGGAATGGGAAAGACAGCCGCCCATGGGCTTACCATGTGACTGGGAATGTTTGGAAGGTCGACACAAGCGGTGTTTTGTTTTGAAGCAGTGTGAAGGAAGAACGCGAGATCAGGCAAATTGTGAACTGGGAACTGTAAAGTACGTCAGATGATAGGAGATGTTGACAATTTGGTAATTACTTATTCATTGCAACGTTATGTCTGAAAGCTTTTTACCCTTTTTCATAAATCAAGATTGTTCTCGAAGCGCCTGAAAGGGGAAAGGCAAATCCGAAGAGAACTGAAAGGGGAGTTCCTAATGACAGTTCCGTACCTGCTGCGAACCACATCATCTTTATCTTATTCCACCTCAGATCCCCAAGGCAAACTACAATTATCCACCAGATGGCAGCACCGTACCCTCATTATTTGCAGCACAGAATAAGGATCGAAGTAAAGTCGACTATCGGAGCAAAGCTGAACTGTAATAACTGGTGAACCAACAGGACCCTGAATATGACGGGCCAAGTTGCAAATAGGTTCCACTGATACGATATTCGTGAGCGCTCCCTCATTTGTTAGGAAGATTAGTACGAGGCTTAGAAGAAGACGAACTAATCCCTTGAACCGTGTTTTTTGAGCTTGCATTAGTAGAAGTTGGTTGCTCAATTGCTGTCTTCTAAACCTAATAACTATTAGTAGCTATTCTTATACTTCCAATTTCAAAATAAATTATTAACTTCTTACCAGTGTGCGAAAAAATTAATCAGATTAATTGATTAATTCATGAAGATTCATGAATAGCGTGAATAGAATTTGATTAACGTGATACTTATGTAATTTGATTAGATTAGAATAATTAATCATGATTAATATACACGTGACCACAGCACGTGATAGTCTAGCCTAATTAAGTAAGGTTCTTGCTCTAGCACTGCCTTAGCGAGCTTTTCTCTCTAGAAGCAAGGTAGCACTAGAGCCTGATCCTTACCTAATTAGACTAGCATGTCACGTTCTGCGGTCACGTGTACATTAATCAAGTTATTCATGAAAATTCATGATTAGCTTAATTAATTCGTGAATAGAATATGATTAATGAGAAAATTTCATGAATAGATTAGATTAATAGTCATTAATCTAATCTATTCATTTCTCACACTGCTTCTTACTTTATTTCTTAGGTATAATTACTATTATATTCTTGTAGCCTTTACTTTTAGTATTACTTCCTAATTTAATCTTGAAGTATTTCCTAATTATAATAGCTATTATTAAGTGTGCCTTAATTAGAAATAAAAAAAACAATTATTTTAAAGAAATATTAAAACTTTATTTTGTATTTATTATTATAATTCAGCTTTTAATCTAGTTATTTGACTAGAATTACCTATATTTATTGCCTCTAATTGCCTTTAGTTACTCTAACTCCCAATACCGACCACAACACCATCTTCAAAAACGATGGGCTCGCTATGATTGCCGGGCTGCTTCGTCTACTCCTTCGAAAAAACCACCCACCTCGGAGCCTACCCATGAAGCTGCAAACCCATCTGACACGACCACGATTTCTTTCGGAGGACTATGCTTCAACTCCACTAGCCGCAATACGAGGCGGAGTCGATCTGCTTCCGATAGAGGACATCACGAAGTCCCCATCTGGCCCCGCTTCTCCATCAACCAGAGTTGTTCGTTGTAAGGGTCTGTTGGTCTGTTAGGATGCATTGCAATGACAATAATGGAAGAATTGATGGCTTAGTACTGAATTGAAAGGTGACATCAAAAAAAAATTAATACTCGAGGGCGTCGGAGACAAGTCTTAGAATGTAGATATGAGATTAACCAAATTTCGTTGCTCCTGAAATTAAAACAGATAATAAATGTAGGTAGTGAATGATCCAATGAAATCACAATCCTCCACAAATGTCCAACGCCTTCGGTGGTAGAATACTGGTAGCAACACGTTCTACGGCTTTCAGCTTTTCTTCTCTCGAATCTCCAAACTTCTCCCCGAATATGAAGTATGGTTGAACAAAGGAATTCCCCTTGCCCTCGGGATAGGGCTCTTTCTGACTGAGAATGTTGAAAATTATCTTCATGCCATCAATGGTCTTCGCTATCTTCAGTCGCTTGGCTCTATCGTCCTCAGGATCCGGGTTCCCGTCCATTACGTGTGGCTCTTCAAGGTTCATGTGTGCCCTTAAACAGTAGAGGACTAGAGCCGCAAGGCCCGAGGCATACGCGGTGGAGAAAGAGCATCCGCTGACGACTTCGCCTGCCGTGGTCATCAGTCTCTCGCCTGGGAAAAGGAAATCCGGATTTCCACATCCGTTTTGCGCTTTTGCCTGACCTTGAAAGGTGGCTGAACCGATCTTGATAACCCCACTGCACCCGACAGGCGCGTACTGAGACGTCTTGGCAAAGGGGTCCATGTCGGGGAGGGACCCGAAGAGAATGACCTTCTTGGATTTCACGGCCTTCTCGATCAGCGTGAAAAACTCTTTCTTGTCCTTGTCGTTCTCAGCCCCTGTCTTGCTGAACGCCCAGCTCATGGAGATAATGTCCGCATCCATGTCCATTGCCCATTTCAGAGCCTGGAGAGAGACTTAGCTTTCTGGTGGTTTGGGAGGGTGGTTCTTACGTTCAATCTTACCTTGTGAGCAGAAGCGATTGTGAATTTCTGGTTTTCGGCTGTTCGTGAATCGTCCAAGCGAGCAATGAATAGCTCAGCCATCGGGCATACCTGCCGGATGCACCACGCCATGAGAGTGCCAGAGCTGCAGGGCCCGACAAAATAATCCTCATTGTCCGGACGGAAGGACAACCCCTCTTGCTTGCCAGGTAACCTAGCTAACTTGGCGCCGTCGTCTATCAGGGAAACTTTGACCGATGGCTTCTCCTTAAGACCGGGGATGTTGCTGATGAATTGCTTAAATCCGGAGAGCTTTTTGATCCATATATCAGGGGTTCTTAAACTCGCCGTCAATTTTCAAAAATTTGAAAATGCGGCAGGAGAAGGGGACTCACATAGGACCGTCGAACGACGTTGCATGATCCATATCCTTCGGCTTGATGTCGTCTCCCTGCTCGATGTCGGACCCATGCTCAAACAGCACCTTGACGACAGCCTCATGCCCGTTCTGGACGGCATACAATAACGGCCACAGACCCTCTTGATTGGCCTCGATTTTGGCGCCCTTCTCGAGCATTAACTTGACAACAGCCTCATGCCCGTTTTGGGCAGCACGTGATAATGGTGTTAGGCCGTGCTCTTGGGCCTCGACGTTAGCCCCCCTCGCGAGCAGTATCTTGACGGTGGCCACATGCCCATTTTGAGAAGCATACGATAATGGCCCCCGACGGGCTGTGCCTCCCACCTCGATGTTGGCACCTTTCTCGAGCAGTAACATTGCGATATTTGCGCGCCCAGTTTCGGCAGCATGTGACAATGGTGTTAGACCGTCACCTTGGGCCTCGATGTTAGCCCCTCTCTCGAGCAGTATCTTGACGGTGGCCCCATGCCCATTTTGAGCAGCATGCGATAGTGGTGTCCGATTGCATATATCCTCCGCCTCGATGTTGGCGCCCTTCTCGAGCAGCAGCATGGTGACATTCGCGTGCCCAGTTTGGGCTGCCCACAACAGTGGAGTTCTTCGATCCCTGTCTGGCAGATCCAAGAACGCCCCGCGATCTATGAAAGGCTTTAAGTATGGCCAATAGCCATACTCTGCGCAGTACGAGATTGCGGTCCTGCCGTTCTCGTCTTTGCCATTTGGATTTGCTTTCATCTCCAGGATGGCGTCTACTACTTCGTTCCAGTTGTTCCGGACTGCCAGAGGAAGTGCTGCTTGTGAGTAATCCGAACCAAAGCCACCAATGGTGATAAAACATAGCTGGTATAACGCCTCCACCCTTTTACGTTCTCGAATTGCTTGCAAAAGCAGGTCTTGGGTACGAGTAACTCCCTGGATTCCGTCGGCATCGTGACGCGGGTTTCTAACTTGAGGGGATTCCACTATTCTTTCTGCTATATCTTTGTAGCAATCTAGAATTTCCGTAACCTCTGGATTGGAATGGTTCGCGCTGCGATAGGTTTTATCCATCCACTCGACGCCGCCTGTCCCGAATCCCTTTCTCTCGCCATTGGAATTCTGTGCCAGGGACCAGCGGTAGAGCTCTCCCGTCGCACGGAGGGCTCTCACAATGAAGTCGCCGCTGTTAGATGTCGATTGCGCTTCCTCGCTGTGCGGTAGACAATAACACTTACATGCCCATCGTAATAAGACCTCTGCTCGCTCCCATTCTGACTCTTGACGATATGTTTCTGCTCCCTTGATGAGTGCTGAAAGCATGGCTTCGGGCGTAAACCCGTGTAGTTGGTTCCCAAACGCTGGTACAATGCAAAATATTGCATCGGAGTAAGATCCCAAGCCTGTCTCTACGAATGCCTTAGCAAGGACTCTAACTTTATTGTCCAGCCAGAACTCGTCGGCACTGTCCACGGTATTTGCCTCACCAATAACCAGCTGACTCACCAGTGAGCCTGTTAGTGCGGCGAAGAGTTCCTGGGTACAGATACCGAGTAGCGAGTTGTTCACCGAAACATACTGAACTCGAAGCTTGACTTCCTGATCCAACTGCTGACCTGATATGTTTGCAGTGGCAAGATTTGCTAAGTCTAAAGCTTCGGATCTCAGTGATTCGTAAACAGGATTCCACCCACAAAATCGCTGCAAGTTTGGCGGTGATCGATCTGATTGTGATTTATCTGATTGAACCTCTTTCGGCAGAGCTTTCCAATCGCCTCCAGCCCCAGGTGTAGGTTTGGTCCACAGACTAATGAGACCGTAATTATCGTGCTTATCCAGGGTGAGGTGGGCCTCAGAGAGTTTCACCTCGTTGGGGCCAAGCCAGACGTCCATCTCGCTCTGTCTGTTGATCTTACGATCCCAGCTATAGTTATCAAGGCCGGCTGAAACAATCCTTGCCATCGTGATTTTCTCAGCTCGAGAAATTTTGTGGCGAGATTCATCTTTACTTTCGAGGCGTCTATCGGAAACCAAAGACCACATCCAAAGCCCTAAGATAGCCTCCATTCGTGCAGAGTCGATTTCCCAGCCAGCTTGTGATGAATCGGAGGGTGGCCTGAGAATGACGCTGATCAGCTGCTCATGGCAAGTTGCCCAGTCACCATTGGGTGAATTGAACGCTTCGATCCGAAGAGTAATATCCCTTTTCGGTCTGCTCTTTCGGAAGAGACTCCCCGCAGCCAGACAAACAGCGGCAGAGAGTTTCCTCGCCTCGGTCCGAACTTTCACACGATCATCCTTCCACATCTGGTATTCTCGATCTTCAATATTGATAAAGGAGTGATGACCCGTTAAATGAGCAAGCCGTACTCGGATTGGAAGTAGTTCCCTACAGACGACTAGGCCGTCCTGAGCTACCCGAGGCGTGGCCAGGGAACCGGACCTGCTTGTTGTAGCCCCTTGGTCTTTAGTATCGCATTGAATGCATTGAAGGTCGCTGTCATCCTGAGAGGAGGTCTCGTAAGACTCAGACCCACTTGTTGACACTTTTTTTTGTCGGTGACTGGTAACATGCCAAAAAGATCCTTGCTGGGATTCTTGCTGAGCAAGCTCAAACGCGAGCCAGTCAAGTTCATGCCCCACAATCATGTCAGGCATTCTCTCTAGCTTGTTGTCATTCCTATTGAGACGTTGTATGCGAAGTAATCCACGCAGGATGCTCACGATGACGGTGATTCCCAGCTGCGTGAGAGACACCCAAGCCTTCATTCCGCGGAGGCCGATGAATTGCATAATGTATCCAGTCAGTGTAAACAAGACAGCAAAGAAGGTGTAAAACTCGAATCTATCATTAAAATCCTTCTTGGACGATGTCCAGACTCCGAGAGGTTTTCCTCTCTTCTCGAAATATGCAAATGGGTCAAAGCTTTGGTCGCCGATGGTTTGCGGGCCGGGTTGTAGCCAGAGGAGGCGTGATGAAGACGGAGATTGACTGCGCTCATAGCTCACTTCGTACGTCGATTGTCCAATTAGGGCGGCGCAACTCCACATGCCAGTACACATAAGGAAAGTGCCTACGATGAACATCACTGGTGCGTAGCTAGAGGACGACGTATCACCTTGGTTGACATTCCATTGAAGAACCCAAACGCCAATCCCCGCCAGAACGAGAACACCGGCTTGAAGAAAAGCTGCTATAGCAGCAACCCCGAGGAACACCCAATTCGGCTGCTTGACAATGCCAACATTGAGCGAGAGATTCGGTTTTGGGGCAAACGGGCTAGATTCAGTCGTCTTGTAGCTGGCTCTCCAGAATGCAGAACTTTCGACCTTCTTCCAGTCGGATGTGTCAGGATCTTTGTGAGTCTCGAGGTAATTTCGGAATAAGAATAATCCTGTCTTATCTGCGCGATGATCGTGTGAAGCCAGATTGCCATAACGTGGAACATATAGAAGCTCAAGGATATTCGGCCGGCCCAGAACGCGGGTAATACCGCCTCGATTAAACAGCTCACACACGTCGCGGCTTGTAGATGTACATAACTCGGCTTCTACAACAGCATCCCCCTCCTGAGATCTGCCAATAAAGGCGCGTAGAGATGAGTGTCCACAGACTCGAATCGCGGAGACAATTGCCGTGAGAATGCCTATTGGAGCCATAGCAAAAATAAAATAATCCAAAAAGGATGTGCTCTCACTTAAATACTGCGTGGTCATGGATTCGCCGAATAGGACGAGGAGAGGGCCTATGTCTGTGGCTAGATTATTGGTGAAATCGGACAGGTTATCGCCATTGACGCCTACAAATCCGACGGCGCAGATGATGATAAGGAGCCGGTACTTAGCCATCGCACAGTGTGTTATGAGGAGTGGCCGCCTGATATTGTAGATTAATGAGGTTTCTGTGCAGAACAAGTTGGCTTTACAGTACTGCAGAAGAAGTGATAGCGAGTGATGACCAAAAACGTAGGTGATAAGCTCGGAGCGAGGTGGTACTGTGTCCATCGGAATGTTACCCCTGCACTACGCTTTACTAAAAGCGGCAAAGCTGCACGCAGGAACCAATGAGAAAAGTGGGGCCCACTTTTCGCGAAGAGAGTGTTTGCGGAGAACAGTGTGTCAAATAATTTAATTAATTATAATTATTGGCCGGTAATCAAATTAAATTAAGTCAGAATCGCAGTAATCAAATTATAATTAATTATTTGCTTAATTTAATTAAATATAATTAATTACTGGGGCACGTGTTATTACACGTGACTACAAAGATAATATAAGCATTATGGCGCAAAAGTAAAGCGTATTTTACCCTAATGTAGATATCGCCTTACTATTATAGGCTTAATAGCTAGTATCCCGCCTTTACTCGCTTTACTTATCTTTGTAAATAAGTACTATAGTAGGGGTTTTGACTTCTCTAGTCACGTGGGTGCGGTCATGTGATATACAGAGCAAATAATTCATATATATATTACCTTGCTCTCCTTCTCTCTTCTTTGGAAATCAATTAATCTTTACTCTCTTTATGCTTTAATCGTATATTATTTAAAGAAAAAGAAGAGAAATTATTACTTATATAACTTTTATATGGGTTTCACGTGATAATTAGAAATAATTAATTATATTTAATTATAATTTTTCTAATAATTAATTTTTTTTAAAAAGTCGATAATCAAATTATAATTAATTATTTACTTGATTTAATTAAATATAATTAATTACCTTAATTATTTTTTTGACACACTGGCGGAGAAGCGGTTTCGAAGTTTACTGTACTGATGTCTGGAGGTAGAAGTGAGATGAGTTAGTACTGGAATAACTTTAGTGGAGGAGTCGATGCTGTAACAAGACACTTAGCGAGGGCGATAGTGATGACGATAGGGCTATATTGAGTGTATGGAGCCCATTTGAGCCCTCTCTAGTACTGGCTTCCAATAGGCTGGATGTGAGCTAATACGGAATCCCGATATGAAAGCTAAAAAAAGATCCTAACTAGGTAAACGGTTTCTCTTTCGGGCTTAGGAACCTTACTACTAGTACTAAAGCATCCGGGAATTCGGCTTTCCATATTAAGTAAGTCGGGTAAGAGGTTATAAAAGAGTTATAAGAAACTTTTATAATAAGGCTTAGTAATACCTTATAATAAGTATAGTAATTAATTACTAAAGGCTATTAATAAACCTCTTATTAGCGCGAAATTTAAATCCTTTTACTTTATTTTAAGGCATTTTACTAAAAAGTATTAAATATTTCTTTATACTTGGACTTTTATTAATATTTGCAATTTTTTTATATATTATAATTATAATATTTATTAAAGATTTACTTCTGCTTTAAATCAAGTATAATGAGACTTTAAAGCTAACTCGCAAAAATTTCTTAGTGCATGTCTGTGACGGCTGGTATCACATGGTTAATACGGACGTGGTTTCAGCCAAAGGGGTTGGTTTCAGCTAAGGTTCCAAGCTATGGTTCAAACCAAGCTCGCTTCCAAAGCTCGGCGTTTCAGTGGTCTTGGCCATACCTACTTATCCACTGCCACACCTCACTCCTTCCTCCTTAGCTTTAAATTCTCAAGACATAGGAAATCATTGATCTTTGAGCCTCGTTCCATTGCTCTGTTCCTGCCGTTACAATGTCTCAAGGTCTCTACAATCTCCAGGTTGCAGCGCGCTCATGTCCCCGCCAGGAACGCCTCGAGCTCGGCATCTCGCAAGGCGGAACAGAAGGAAATAATATAGTTGCGGCCGATTAGCGAGACGGCAGCGACTTCCAGGATGCGGACTTCAAGCATGGTCCCGATGTGAGAGAACATGATAGTCGTAGCTGAGGTAATAATCAAAGCCGGATAGTGTTTCACGTTGATTGCAATAGTTCAGTCATTGGACTTGTGAATCAGCACGTTCTTAAACCGATCTATGGATAGGCAGTGGCGCATTCTATATTACATTTTCTTACCCTTATTTTGATCTATACAAAGTGTTTCAATCCCATTATCTTTATTTTCGAGCAAGTACTAATACATGTAGCCACCGAGAGAGAAGGGGACTTATTATTACTAATATCGTATAAAGATAAATTAGCAGAGTGTTATAAAAAAATCAATTTCCCAAGGGGAAGTGATGAAGGACAAGCCGAGAGAACACCTTCTTCTGGCACTAATCTCAAGAGTAAAGTAGGGACAGTGGGATGCCACAAAGTATTCGCACAGGGTCTATGCGAAACGCCACCAAGTTGCATGCTGCTTCAGTATTCCTTCCTTCTTCTTTATCTCTCATCCTTATTATATCCTTATTATGGCACGTCGTGATCCTGAATTAAGCCCGCAAATGCGGTCTAGAATCTGCTAATTACGCTCCCTTGGTTAGTCTTATAATCGAATTTATGCAAAGCACCTAGAAATCCCTAGAACAATGATAGCTAACACTTATTATTGAGAATCGATACGTCTCAATAACCTCTTATAACCAAGACCTGGTCCACCACGTATAATTATAGAAGAGAAGCGCGATATGTTCTATAATATAGCTACTTTAGCTCCCGCAATCTTATACGAAGCTTTATAAGCTTAAGTAGTTCCAAACGTGTCCGTTTGCTCTATTAAATAACTCCTTTAAGAGATAAACCTCCGCAAATAGCAATGACTAAAACGACTAGCTTTCACTTAAGACTATATATACGCACGTTTGAATTGGGCATAAAGATATTGGTTATTTATATATTTGAATTGGCGGAGGGTACGGTGAAGTGACGAGTGCTCTATTTAACTTGGAAAAGGGCAAAAGCTTGAGTGAGTATTTATTCCAAGTGGCAAAGGTCAATATATACAATAATTAGCACGCGATTTGGCCCAATAATAACGTTATGGGAAGCAAAAGAGCAAGATATTTTGGGTAGCTTTTAGATATGGAGTTTGTATAAGTCTTATATTTATAAATGGGGATCCTGCAGCTTCAAAAGGGGGGGGGGGTATCGGCACGAGTTTATTAAGCAATTTTGGGCCAACACTTGCGTTCAATTCTCGGATTTGGGAATATCTTTATGCAAGATAACGCTCCTATTTATAAGGCACATATTATACGAGATTAGTTTTTGCAACGAGGGATTAATATAATGGACTGGCCTTTGTACAATCCTGATCTTAATCCAATTAAGAACTTGTGGGCTTTATTAAAGGCGGAGATATACGTCTTATATCCAGAATTAGTCGGTATACCTAATAATGCCGAGGCTTTAGACCTCTGGATTAGATATGCTATGGATACGTGGGATAGGCTTGGAGAAGACCTTTTAAACAGGTTGATTAATGCTATGGAATGTAGAGTAAAGGCAGTTATTAATGCTAAAGGTTAGTATACAAAATACTAAAGCAGCATGCAATTTGGTGGCGTTTCGCACAGACCCTGTGCGAATACATGTGGCATCCCACTGTACGTTCCCACGAGATCGAGGCTGTATCCTCGCTATTACGTCACCAAACAAGAGCACCCCCCAAAACGCGTAACCAATGGGGAACGAAGGTCATTAAAGTCGATGAGCCATGTGGGTCATGCAGAACGCCTCGAGGTGGAGCTCACATGATATCTTTGAGAACTCAGCTATTCCCAATCTCTTCCCATTTCACACATTCGAGTCTAAAACCTCTCCAATAGTCACATATTCCACCCAGCTATCACTTGGTTTTGACGCCCAAAGTTTTCCGTGAGGCTTGAAGCTGAAAACGCTAATCCAGGTTAGGCACATATATCACATGTTGTGTAACCAATAAACGCCTCCACCAGACCGTCCCGCCTGCGAATGCCATAGGGCCTTCTTTCTTCAGATAGGAGTAGACGTGGGTGGTATGCTGAGGCCAAATAGGCCATCAATTCCTCCCCTGGTCTCGTTGCTTGAAGATTCCTTTCCGCGCTCTCGTACCACGAAACTCACACAGGAGCTCACTACGCCTTTCTTGAAATTCTGACTTTCAAGGAAAATTATACCTAAAATTATCAAGAGAAACTCACTTTGCTCCAAATTGCCTATTATGAAAGTCAAAATCATTGTTCTGCTTCTTATATGCAGTACCTTGGGCGAAATCTTTGGACGCGCAAGCACCTTAGGCTGCGCCGCCGACAATTGTGCAAGGGCGGTCACTGGTACCGACGATGGCACAGCTACCGTGGCTCATCATAAAGTTGACTGCACCAGTTTCATGCAGGTGACTACCAATACCATAGAGTAGGCCCTGTCTCTACCTCTTTTTCTATTGTGCATCAAGCTGCCCCCCTATGATTTTGTTATCATTCCTTACTAAACCCTCACTTGCTCCAGGCACACGACGATTAGGCCTACTGCAGTTCCCAAGTATGCAAGCGCTTGCTCAGGTACCTCGCGATACAGCAGTGCCTGCTCATGTTGGGGCGTTACAGTGCTCACCGTAACGTCCTCCGCCTCGGCAACAAGCTCAACTATATCCTCAACACCAATTCCGTCTTTTACCAGTGTTACTGTCCAGACCCTCACGAACCCTTCATCCTGCTACCAGTTGCCTACTCCAACATCTTCACTTACCATCGTCTCTGATAATAGTACTATCAATACACCTCTCGATAGTCCAATCGCGCTGTACTTGAGTCAGAACGGGACCGTACTTCTATACTTTGGCCTCACTGTCAATGGCTCACCTTTTCTTTACGACATTTCCAATCCCGATCAACTAGTCGTCATATCTGAAAGTGGTAACTCCATGCTCATCAACCAGACGGGCATCTATGTCTTCAGTGCTGACTGCAGCATTGGCATCGCTGTGTCGGTGCCGAACTTCCTGACCCAAGTCGCGGGTCTCACAGATAGCACAACCACTAAACGCTCAGGATCTCTGGACGGGAGAGCCGTGACCCCTTTCTACGTTGATGTAATCATACAAAACCAGTGCGGACAAGCACGTGAAGACATCAGTCCCAAACTCAACTTTGGATTGTCGTCATGTACTCTTACCAGTGCCGTATTGGGCGTCTTCGACTTCATCTGTTCATACCCAGGCCTCAAAAGCAACGAACAAAGCTGCGAGAACAATCTTAATAGCTTTCTCTCCTTTCCTTGGACTTCTGTAGCTGTTCTTGTCGCAAAAGTCTGGCCTGAAACGCTCATCGGAAGAATCGGAGCTGGTATCGTAGCTGCACTCAGCGTTGAGGAAACCGTGATCGCAGCGGCTTTTCTGACAATCTTACAGTTTTACCTTCCGCCCCTTCTTCCCGGGATTGCAAGCAATGTATGCACCAATCTCTTCCTGGACGAGCCAACAGATCTAGCCGTCACGGCTGATGGGGCCATCTCAGACATAGCAATCATCACAGCCGCCCCCGCAACTACCACTACAATTCGGTACACTGATATATTATCCGATCCGGCCGTGACATCGTGCGCTGTCGCGTCACCTACATCTCCGCCTCCGACTCTGACAACGTCCCCATGCGTGAGTGGAGCGGAGCTCGTTACAGGACCATGGGAGACCGTCTATTCGGGAAGCCTTTTGTTCACCACTTTCGATAACCCAAACTGCGAAGCAATCTATAATAGCGGGGTCCCCGGCCCAACTTCTTCCTTCGCGGATCTCGAAGCTCAGTGCTTTGTCCTTGCAGACGAAACAAGTATCCAGCCCCTTTTAAAAAATTTGTTCCACAGCAAAGCGTTCAATAGGCTAACTAATTTGACTACAGCTGGAAGTGTCATGATAGCTACAGAACTTGACATCTACGATACAGGTACTAATCACTATGATGGATCTCAGTACTTCTGCCTCACTGCGAATTGCCCTATCTCGGCAGGTGACTTCACGCAAGATTCCAATGCGGGACATGTAAACCCTGTCAGCTACGACGTAAGCACGGTTCTTGGGCTTCAGTAAGTTGCGTCTCATCTGCTAGGATTGTATTGCGAAAGATAACTGAGACGAATTTCAATAGACGTATCCGTTATTATCAAAATTGCTAGCTCTAAAGCTAGCAACATTATGAGACAGATTATTGGGAAACTGGGCACATTTTATATCTCTCTCAGCCCACTGGGTTACAGCTTTTGAAGTTCTAGTCGTCCTTATTACTATGTCTATTCCTCTGAGCCTCTATTAAACAAATATGTCTTGCATAACGCACTATTATTCTTTATTAATCTCTCCTGTATCTAATAAGAGGGATTTTTGAAGTAATATTACATAATTATCTTTATTATAGTAAGATTACCTGTTTAGGCCTAGTATAATTATCTTGCTTAGTCAGGATCCGTATACTCATATTCTAGAGTTTTATACTTTATCTGAGTTCTTTTCTGGCTAGCTGTCACGAGTCGCTTAGACGAATGGACGCGCACGCAGGGAAATAGCTTTACCGCGTGGGTGATCAGACCAAAAGGTACAATAATAAGGTTGGAAGCCTTATTAGCTATTCTACTATATGAGAGCACAGTGCGCATCACGTGACTAGCCGCGCACGTGATACACACTGTGACACTAGCTTTAATTAATTCTTTTATTATTTAATGCAATTCTCTATTATAATAGGAATATAAAACAAGTAGTAATATAAAGAGAGTTAATGGGCTTCTATAGTATCGGATTACAGTATACGAGTGAGGCGTGAAATTAGAAAGTAAAGGTTAGTTGATTTCTAAGAACTAAGAAAGAGAGAGGAGTAATATAAGCGGATTATAAACTTTACGAATATTTAGAAGTTATATAATAAAGTTATATAACTAGAGAATAAAATCCCTAATATAATATCTTATAATAATTATAATTATTAATTATTAAAAGCTATTAATAAATCTTTTATTAATACCAAATGTAAATATTTTATTAAAAAGTATTAAAAAAATTATATTTAGATTTTTATTAATATTTGTAATTTTTTATAATTAGCTTTATTTTAAAAAAGATTAAAAAGATTTAGTTACTTTTAATTTATAACTATTAATATTAGCTATAATATAATATATTAGAAAAAGGTAATATATATAAAATATAAAAATATTTTTTATTAATTAATTAAAAAATACTATTAGAATTTTAAAGCTATAAAGCATTATATTAATTTAATTATATTAATATATACTTGCTTGCCTTTATCGGATGCCCTAATTAATAGTATGAAAGATGTAATAAATGTTGGACAAGACACGGGAGTGTATCTGGCGGGAATAGGAAAGGCGCTAGAAAATAAGCTTCTTGGAACGAAGTGTAGAGAAGTAATCCTGCTGCTGCACGTAGAGGGAGCATACGCCGAAAAAAACACTGTGGGAAATTTAGAAGCATTTCCATAGTTGACAATCTCTTATAATTATTGACATGATAAAGATAGTAACATATTTGAGATCCTTAGCTGAAGGAGAGGGGTCTTTTCGGGCCCCTCCCTTTGTTAGAAGTTAGTGATTTCCAGTAGGGTTATTCTTGGCTGCGCCGCATCGTGTAATAGGGACTTGAACAGACCTGAGCCGAAGGTGTGTCGGGCTTGAGTCGAGCCTAAGCAAAGGCGGCGCTGCTTATATGAGATATAAAGTTGGGAAGAGCAAGTATTTCGGTTAGGGAACAGCCCACACAAAGTTGCGAGACATAAAATCGTCCATGATTTATTGTAACACTGTCCAGAGCTTGCATAGTAACCATTGTATTGCCCGAAAGATAAACTCAATCGCTACATACACCAATATCGGATAAATTACCTTAGAAGAAAGAATCACTATGCTTGAGCTGTGCACCTAGTGCAGCACTTTTTCGCGAACCCGAGGTGGATATTCCCAAAGGGCCAACATAGTACGACACACGTAAAGTGGGCGCGAGGAAAGACACTGGTGACCAGATGGAGAGAGGCACACGTCAAAGGTTCCATCAAACAAGCCATCGAGAGTGCAAGCTCATAACTGCTGGAGCCATACCCTTCTTTACCCAGCAGTCTCGCAGTACTGTGCGCCCATTGCGACTGGACAGTCGGCTCCGACTCGTGCGGTTTCTGGTACCGCAGGTACAGAAACAACTCTGAAAGATCCCATGTTATTTTCCTTCCAATTTCAACTGACAAGAGCTGAAACCGGTCTCCAAAAAAGCCAAACCTCATCCCCTCAGCTTCGCAAAATCGAAAATACAAAGTTGCAACGCCACCGCGGATGCCACCGGTCTCGAGAGAGCACTACTTGCTACCCGAACGACCGGTCTGGTATATACCATCGGGGCACCGCGCCCGTCCGCTAATAGCAACGATATGCATGCAGCTTTGAAGAGATGGAAATTGGATGCTTTGGGGAGCAGCAGCGGCGGGTGTTAGTGACGGCTTTAAGCCCCTCTTCGATCGACAACGAGGCCTCGTCTCCCTCCCTATTTCGATCGATATCCACATACTCGCGCTCCAAGCCGAGATCAGCGATCACCGCATGCTCTCTTATTCATCTCCCACGACATAGAGCAGCATCTGGCAATACTGCCACCTACCTATACCTGCCGCTGATCTCCAGTTTTGTATCCAAGTCGCTCGTTTTGGGATTCACGTGTGGAAGAACCCGGTCACCCGTGGACTTATTTGTAAACCGTTGAAGACGCTTTGAAGCAGCCGCTTGAGTGAAAGACAACTCACAAAGCAGTGAGGAGTCGGTGATTTCACGAAGCAGACCAGGAAGATGTATTGACACCAGCGGTCGTAGAATTTATATGCATCTATGCCATCCATGTACATGTGTACCATAGCCAGCCAGTGACCCCTTCTCTTCTCATCCCTATATTATATCCCATGGTATCTATCTTCCTACCTACCCCGCAAGGAATGCAATGCAATGCAATGCACCGTCCATCCCCACTGTAAATGCACATCCCCCTAAAATTAATTACATCTAAAAGAAAGAAAGCGCGCGTCTATTTATCTAGACAGCCGTCTCTCCCGCCGTCTCCTTCCCATCACTCTCCACCTCCTCGCTGCCAGCGCGATACCCCCGACCCGCGTGGAGCGTAGGATCATAGTTCGGTGTTCCAGGGACCTCGCCGGCCAACTCCTCGAGCGTCTTGCGCTTCGTCTCCGGGATCAGGAAGGAGATGAAGAGACCGCAGAGCATGAACAGGGCGAAGATCTGCATGACGTGGTTGAGCCAGGGGGAGGCAGCCTTGCCAGTTGCGCCGGCCTTGGCACCGCGGGTGCGGAGAGGACCGAAGACGCACTGCGCGATGATGGCGCCGACTTTGCCGGAGGCGGCGGAGAAGCCGTGCGAGGTGGAGCGGTAGCGGGTGGGGAAGCACTCGCCGGGCACGATGAAGGTGGTGCTGTTGGGGCCGAAGTTGAAGAAGAATTGCGCGAGGACGTACAGAGCCAGAAGGGCGTGGCCGGACAGCTGGTTGTACGCGAAGCCGATGACGATGAAGAGGATGGTGAGCATGGTGAAACCGCCGATCTGGATGGGCTTGCGGCCAAGGGTGTCAATGGTTGCGACGGAGACCCAGTAGCCGGGGATGGCGCCAGCGCAGACCAGGATCAAGTTGCCGACTGCGTTGCGGTAGAAGATCTCGTACATGGTGGAACCGCCGGACCAACCGATGGCAGACAGAATGATGGAGTTGTTAAGACCGAGACCGTAGTAGGCAACGTCGAGGAAGAACCATGAGCCTGCCGTGCCCAAGAGAACCTTGCCGAACTTCCATTGGCTGTAGTGACCCCAGAAGTCGCGGAACGAGGCCTTGGGGATCTCGAGAGCGGGGGCATCTTGAGCCATGGCGGTGACACGACGGATCTCATCTGGGTTTCCCTCGGCCTTTCCGTGCATGTAGGCATTGACGTCCTCTCCGGCCTTCTCGACATCACGAGCGACATCGAAAGTGTAGCGAGGAGTCTCGGGGATGGTCAGACGGTAGTAGAGCGCGATACAGCCTGGGACGGCACCGAATCCGCTGTTTCTGTTAGAAGACGAAAAGAATCTGAGCGAAGTGACTTACACAATCACACGCCACATCTTGTCAACGGCAAGCTGGCAGTCACCCTTGCACGTGGAAGCCTTGGTGCCGAGGAGAAGCGACTCCTTGAAGCCGGCAGTAACGATCAAGGCGATGATGGCCGCAACGAACTGGCCGATGCCCTGCATGGCAAAGACAGCGTTCATCATGGCACCTCTCCATTTGGTGGTCGCGAACTCAGATGTGATAATGGAAGACAACGGGTAGTCACCACCGATTCCAATACCCTGGTCGGATTAGCCTTGTTTTTACCCCTGAATCGTAGCCTTACCATGAGAACACGCCAGAAGATGATGATACCAGTGATAGAGATGGCGCGGGAGGAAGAAGAGAGAGCCTGAGCGAGGGTTGCGAAGATGATAATGATCAACTCGAGTCCGTACATGCGCTTTCGTCCGACGACGTCTGCAAGATAACCGAAGCCCAGCTGGCCGAGCACCGTTCCTCCGGATGTAGCGACCTTGATGGCAGTATCGGAGTTGGTGGGGATCGTGCCCTTGGATTTGCTGTCGTTGAAGAAAACAACGCCCAGCATGGCAGTCACCAGGTTAATGGCGAAGATCTAGGACTTGTTAGACGCATCTGAGTGTGGATGTGCGGAGAGCTTACATCGTAGGAATCCGTGAAGAATCCGATACCAGCAACGACACAGGCGCGGACGTGGTACCATCCGAAAGGGGCCTTGTCGATCTCAGCGAGGGCGAGTCGTCGTCGCTCGTTGGGGTCGGAAATGTGTGCAAAGTCATTATTGAAGTTGTGGAAGGCGGCATTGCCTCCGGAGGTCTTGTTGGTAACTTGAGGAGCAGCCATTGTGTCGGCGTGCCGATAGACAGGATTGAGATAATGGCACAAGAGATCCTGTTGGCGGTCGGTTGTTGATGAGTGCGTGACTGGAGCGAGAAGGGTGACCAGCAGGTCGAGGGGGAGGTTTATATCAGGAAAGGCGATGTCGCTGATTTGTGTAGAGGGGGGGGGGGGTCACGATTTCCATTCTTTGGGATGCGCCTCCGGCCGGGGCTCCCTCGCTTGCAGGGCAGAAGGGACGAATAGCAGGCCATTCCGCACGCCAAGATTTAAGCTGCGAACGGTGGCGCACAGAGCTGCCCGAAGGGCTTCGCTCGGTGCGCCGCTCACTGGTCTGCCTCCTGTAGATCCTACTTCTGGACCCTGTCGCCCGTTTCCGTCACCTCAACCCACCCAATGCAGCCAGTTTCGACGCTGCCGTCCCTCACCAACGCCTTTTTGCACTTCACTCAGCGCGACTTAGGGCAACTAAATATGCTTGATTAATAGCGGTTTCCGTGGTGGTACGTTGTAGTTTGCTGTAGCAGGGTCACTGGCGTCTTGGAAGCCGAACTGAAGCTTCCCAAGATCACACAAACCCGCGGGCTTGGGGCCAATGACAGCTTGGCATCAGAGCACGCTCCAGCTCAGCTTCGAATTCAAGGAAATCTCGACAGGTCGTGCCAGTCCTGCTCGTGCCCGGCGGAGCCTCCGACCTCTGTGGCAGGAGATGATGCCGGAGGCGTGCACGGGAGTTGGGCAGCAAATCAAAGGCCATCATGCACGCAATCCAAGGGGCGGCCTCCCTTACTGCGCAACCTTCCAGAACAGAACAGCCATCGGAGTTCACCTATGGATGCCGCTGTTTCGACAGCCTATCGGACGGCTCAGTTTCGACTCCAGCGATGTGTTCTCCAACGAGCTGTAACGGTGAGGCTGATCAGTGATGGTTTCTGCCCCGGCCGACAAACTCTTTTTTGCAGCTTTTCGATCATCGAGACACGGGCACGCGACTCGTGTCCAGTGTGCGCGGGGTTGTGAATCAATTGAGCCAGCCTGGACGCCTCCAGATGCTTATCTCGTCCCTCTTGGTGGCCTTGTGGCGCCTCCATGGGAACACAGCGGCGACGCAGAAAGGATTTTAGGAAGTTTTGCAGTCGCACTCAAAGTGAGAATGAAACGTCGTTGGGAGCGACCAATCACATCGCCAGAACCGCAAACGTGCCCAAACCGCTCGTCAGGAACGCTCCGCCGCGGGGTTAATTTTAGCGCGGGGAAGAGAGGATCTGGTAGCGCCATGACCTAGAAAGGAATAGTGCTTCGGCTCTAGCTGCGTCGCTGATTTTTGCACTCTCCTGGACCGCATCTCGCAGTATGGATTCAATTGATAAAGGCTGTCGAAAATCCACCGCTAAGGAGCCTTCCTCCGCTACCTTACCTTATCTGATATATCCTTTTCCTTTTCTTTTTTGACCTTCCTTTGTCTCGGCTCCAACAACGACATGTGGGGTCATCCAATCCCGAGAAAATCTCGAGAAGACTTGACATCTTCTCGCCGCCGCGCAGCGGCGCAGATGGGTCCCGCCAAGTCGCTACTAAGAATTAGAAGGAAAACCAAGCCGGACTATCACCTTGGCAGATCCGCTCGACACATGTACATTATTACCGCAAATCTCCCAGGCAAGAGAGGGCAGCCAGCCAACGACGGCTTTCCCTTCGCGCACGAGGCGGTGTGGCTTTGCTAAGCTTTGGTTCTTGCGGATTTCCAAGAGTCTCAGCGATGGAAGTCGCATCGCCGAGCACAAAAATTCTACGGTCTTAGGAGGATCAATGTTGGCTTGGTATGTCTTGTTTCAACGTAATGTACTGTTTATGAGGAGGTTTTGTTTTTGTTTTTTTGTTTGTTTTTTGGAGGGGAAACAGAATGATGGAATTGCTCGTGTGCAAAAAGTCCGCTTTGGGTCAGCTACAGAGCCACGGAGCGCCCCTCTCATGCGCGGGTGTGGGGGGATGTTTGTGAGCTGTTCACCACACCCCCTCTCCCAAAAGGACGAATTCTCGAAGGAGGGTTGACACACAGTGGTTGCCTCGGGGGTGGCGTTGCGTGGGTTGCGATTGGTGGGCATGAGGTAAGGTATGGATTAAACAACGAACAACTAATCGGCGATTACGGATGAGGTGAGTTTACCGCGCTGCCACCTCCGGAAATGGCAAGTATTCCTGTCAAATCATATCGTGGCGTCAATGCACCTCTTGAGCCGCAAAGGGAGATGATGCCGGTCAACGCTCACGGATGCGGAACGCTTTGAGATCTGAAAGAAAAATACGTCGAGGTGGCGTTGCCACTCCCCAAAACCCGAACATTTTAATTCATTTCATTCTTATTGCTCCTTTCAGCCATTCATAGAGTTCATCGAATTCTCCACGTACCCCTTTCCCGAGCTCCTCTCCGCGAACCCTCTTCGTCGAAACCTTGCACGTTTTCGCTCTCAATTATTCGACTCGTCTCGCAATCACGAAACCCAACCATTCCCTCGCTCCAGAATTCCCACATCTACGGTACAGTACATCTCTAGTTAGCAGTTCCGGATTTCCAAGCTCCAGGTCGAATCTGCAGTTGTTCTCAGAAGCACGACTCCCTGATCTCTCCTCGCTGCCGAGCAAGCACCGCGTCACCATCTAGCTTCCATAGCCTGCAGAAATTCTCCGGTTGAATGATGATTCGGGGATAAGCGCCTCGGTGACAACCCGTGATGCCGCATCGGCACGGCGAGGGGACTCGGATGCGGCGGGTAACCCGGCTTCTTGCTCCCGGATAGATGGCGAGATCCTGGAATCTCTGAGCAGGATCGCTATATATGATTTAGGAAATTGTCTCGAGGAATAAACCTGGTAGATGGATTATGAAGAGTTCTTAAGGCATGTGCAGCAAATGCTCGGGTTTGGTGGATAATGAGGGAGAAGAAGATAAAGCAGGTTTTGCGTGTTGAGGTCCGGGCAGTGTGTTAAATGAGTAGAGTAGAGTAGTGGGTCCTACTCGTACTAAACTCAGCCAAAATATGTCCTATATATATTCTACTCAATTCTCATTAAGTACATACTTAAGTAACTTAAGTAGTGAGTCACGTGCAAGCACCCTTAATTATAGGGGCCCCCTCAACTTAATTATTAGTTTTAAACTTATTTTAAAAGATTATATTATATTTAAGAATAAGTAAACGGTAAAGTAAGTCTTATATATTTCTTTTATTTTTAACTTATTATTTAGAAGCTATATATCTTAAAGAATACGAGATTATTATATTAATTTTTATTAGTATAATAACTAATATTAAAAGAGTTTTAAGTAAGGAAAAATAAGGGACAGTAATAAAGAGAAGAGTTAAATAGTATTTATAATATAAAAAGAGATATTTAATAGAATAAACACGTAAATAATTTACTCAAATTACTTAAGTATTTTACTTTACTCAACTCAAGCATAGTCAGGGAAGGCCTGCTTATACTCTACTCACTACTCAATAATTATTTACCTAAGTAACTTAAGTAATTTGAGTATTCCTTTGATACACTAGGTCCGGGGGAAAGCCTTCACTCGAACTTTCCAATTCAGGAGATGCAACACTGTTTCCTCACTCTTCGAGTTCATTTAACGGGAGGCCATAAATGAGATGAATCCGAGACATTAAAACTTCTCCAAGTTCTAAGCCTTTCAGAACAGAATATAGCTCCGTCTTCTCCCAATCCTTTGTACAGAGTTGTATTGCTTGGTCCTGGTCTTGAAGCTTGCAATTGATTGCAAAGGCAAGACTTGGTTACAACCAAGCGGCTGATGATCTAGTTAGGAGCTATATGGATGTCCTTCTCGTCACTTGGCATTCTCACGGGCACGGCCATTTGAAACCCATTCAAAATTTAGCAAGGGAGTTTGGTAGATGTCGAAATCTTTGAGTGTTATTCATGTTAGAAATCAACTCATACTCGTCCGCTTTAGCTATACTCAGACTCAAAGCCACAATGTTCCATCCTGAAATGCGGGCACTAGGTAAGCTGTTTTGGAAACGAGTGCCTAAAGCTGGCAGTGGCAATTCAGCTATAAAGGCAGAGCTGAGGTTCACCTATACGGGGGTTTTCAGGGGTTTCGAAAGTAAATAGGGGCTATTTGGATATCTATAAGTATAGTCTTTAGATCGCTGTAGAATGGACAGTCGTCTGAGAACCACTGCACATGACCTTTGGCTCTGCATTCTCAACATAAACGAGCGTCTTGGGGTATCCGATGAGGTCACCCTTGCCCTGTACGCCCTAGTCACACTACAATATTCACAACCTCCCCACTCTCCAGTAAGTACGGGATCTCGTATCCGAGCGAAACCAAAGACTTGCTCGTGGTTTTAAGGGCGTGAGGTGAGCGGTGCGTGAATTGAGCGGTTGCCTGGTGATCCTTCTGCCACGTGAATTTACGCTAGCCCAAAGGAGCCTAGCCTCCTTTACAACATCCCGGAGCATTCCCCTTGCCTTGCCGTGTACGGAGGTACAATAACAACAATCCCATTCTCCTCGTTTTACCAGGGCCTAACAAGTGAAATCATTCTCAAGACAAGATGAACGACTTCGTATATAAACCTTTAATCACCGGAGACATCAGACTCATCAAGTTATTGCCAGGATCAGGAAACGACACGCTCAAGCTCTTGATTTCTCATCATCCCTTTCCAGCCACGTTGAGACCGGAGTATGAAGCGTTGTCATATGTTTGGGGAACCTTCGAAAATGTTGGTAGCGTGGGAATACGACAAGAGTCCAGGGATGAGAGCAAGATCGACCATCATCAATCGCACGAAATGACTGTCACACAAAACCTCGAAGTTGCTCTACGGAATCTTCGTCTTCCAAGGGAAACACGCCAGCTATGGGTTGACGCACTTTGCATCAATCAGAAAGACAAAGGCGAGAAAGGCGTCGAAGTCGCTCGAATGGGCCTCATATACCGCCATGCAAAATCTGTGATAATTTGGTTAGGTCCCGAAGCGGATGAAAGCGACCTTGCAATTCAAAGACTGGGGTTGATTGCGCGAGATATAAAGGAGCAAGAGGATGCTCTAGACGCACCTCAGAATCTGAGGCTCCAGTGGAGTTCTGGTCTACCTGGTCCGGACACCTACTTGATTCAGGAGAGCGCGAATCTGCAGCAGCAATTGGCGGCAGATTGGACGGCTATAACCCGCCTTACTGAGAGGACCTGGTTCACGAGGCTATGGGTCTATCAAGAGACGCATCTGGCGACCCGAGCCGAGGTTGTTGTTGGTAGTGCCCGACTCTCTTGGAAAGCCTTCTACCGCGCGATAGCTTGGATTCGTTCTGTTGTTGACAACCAGCCGCAGAGTATCATCACAAACACCTTCAATCATATGGCTCTAGCGAATTTGGTTGACACGTGGAGAAAACCGGGCAGACATTGGTCGTTATTGGGAATCCTTATGAGTACAAGGAGTCTGAATTGTTTTGAACCGAGAGATCGATTTTTTGCCATCTTGAGCTTTCTAGATAAGTCGAGTTTGAATCTTGATTTGAGGCCGGACTATTTGTCTCCAGTTGAGGATGTGTGTCGAGCATGGACGCTGTTGAGTATCAGCACAGGGAATTTAGATATCCTGCAACTTTGCTCTGCGGAATCTACGGATGCTCCTTCTTGGGTTGTCAATCCTATTTCTATCAAGGGTCTGCCGGAATTCATGCATGTGTATTATGATGCTGCTAGCCTTTCCCGCCACGAGACAGTTCCACGAGGCGAAGACCACTGGAAAGATACTGAAGAGACTGCAGTTCTTCACATCCAAGGCATCTTTATTGGAAACATCGCTCACGCTACATCTCGGTGTCCTTTGAATGCCAGCAAAGAGGCGATACGCCTCGTCTGTTTGAGGTGGCAGGATCAAATGTCTGCTTGGAGGGACTCCCCCTCTGAAATTAAGATGGAAGACTTCGCAGTCACTCTAGTAGCCGAGCTATTTCATGGCAGATCTCCACGTTGTCTTCCAGCTGGAATGGACCCTACAGAATTCTGTCGAATATCCCTCGAGAAATTCCTAGCTAGCACGCAAAATCTCGATACTTTATCCGCTGATTACTTCAATAAACTGAGAGCAACTATAGAAGGACGTTCCTTCTTCATCGACAAGAACGGTCGCATGGGAATATGTCCAGCATCGGTACTTCCCGGCGACAAGATCGTTGTGGCGCTGGGAAAAAGCAAGCCCCTAATCCTTCGAGAAGTGTTACCCGAAAAGCGATACCATCGACTGGTTGGCGGCCAGTGTTTTGTACGAGGATATATGAATGGTGAAGCACTACTGGGGCAATTACCCAATGGGTGGAGCTTTCAATGGGATGATAAAACTGGTGTGAAAACATACTTTCGACAAGATTCACGTGCTCAACAGGAAGATCCGCGACCAGGCCCGTTGCCGGAGGGTTATGAGTTTGTGTATAGCAGTGGAGGAAAAATGGATTCGTTGGAATATAATGAGTATGGGAATATGAAGAGGAGATATTTTCTGAATCAGAAAACTTCCGAGGAGAGTGTGTTTGATCCGAGGATGACGGCTGAAGCATTGAGAAGCAGGGGAACTGTAATTGAAGACATTTATCTTACTTGAATTTAACTCTCGAATAAGATTCTCATCGCACAACTTGAATACTTGTGGAGGCAATAATTATTGGGACTTATAGTCTCAGACTGTGATTGCACAACTCATAAGCTTTAGAGTAGGGTAAGTTTTTTCTTGTGAGCTTATAATAGCCAGTACTTAGCTTTATTAAAGACGAGGTTTGGGTCTCATATAACTTCAGAGTGGGTTTTTAAGAGCTAAACCTAAAAGAGCTAGATCATATACTAGGGACTTTGAGTTATAATAATATATAAAGAATATTTTATTAAAATTATTTATAAAGGTAAATTAAAAGCAAATTAGGGGTAATCTCATTAATATTATATAATTAATTTTATTAAATCAAAGATTATAGCCCTAATTAAAGCTATATTTTAGACTATAATTATAACTTTACTAAGACTAGGCCGAAGCGAAGGGTTGCAAGCAATCTGATATCCATGGTCTCAGCGAAAGCTCGGGAATATCTAAGAGACGGCAGTCAGGTATAATACGGGGAAAGGCGAGAAAGTATAGCAATTAGATAGTAACTCAATTTATTATTTTAACCAAGTGACATATAGTACTATAGTGGTTTGGTTTATCACATTTCTCAGTATAGCCCAATAACGATCAATGAAACTTCCTATGGAGCAGTAAGGAATTTATTGAGGGAAGAACAGTACTCCCCTCAGGGGTAGCTATGCTAAGCCAAATTACACCACAAGGAAAACACTAAATATATTTTTGGAAAGTGTCCACTTTGGGTTCCTTGAGGACTTTGTTTGGGCTCCTTAAGCATCGTCATCAAAACTTGACAAAATTGATGTGAGAGAATAGAGGTTAGATCAAGTGTAATTGGCTGGCTAAAAGGGAGGGGTAAAAACTCATGACAATATGGTAGATCTTGCTCGGGGTGCTCAGAGTTCTCGGGTGGGTTACACAGGTTACTCAGGCGAGTTTGACTGAGGTGAGCCGAGGGTCGCCTGAGCAAGAGCGGCAACCTTACTAACCTCGTGCGACGCAAAAGAAGGAGAAATTTGATTTATGATACCTAAGGATGCCTTATTTCTTGAAGACGGGCATGGCGATGGGTAAGTACTGCTCCACGATGAACGCGATGAACGCCTCCTGGGTGTGTTGTTGCCTATGGTGGTGGGCGGCGTATTTCATCGGTCGCTGCACGGGGACTTCAGCCATCTTGATGATTCAACCCGTGGTGGATGCCGTGAATAAGGTCTACGAAGAAATAAGATTTTGTGCGTTGATGAGAAGGTAGAGATTCCATTTCTACTTGGACTTGGCGCGATTTTTATTGCCTCATGGACACTGATAGTATACACACGAATGCAAATAATAATTATCGCCGTAGCAGGTGAAGGGTCTCTTTGTGGCTTACCAGAGGTTGCAGGAACTTTTCGCAAAGCACAAAGCCCGCGTTGAGTTGGAGACCAAAGCATAGCTTTGATTTACCCTAAGGCGAATCTCTATTCGGGAATAAAAAGCGGACAGGAGAGGCTGGGCCTACCACAGTGGATCTTAAGCAGACGTCGGATTATCTTTACAGACGATCAAGTATCCTGGGAGTAGAGTAACACCCATTGTGCGGAAGTGATGCAAGTCCATCTCGAGCAGCGGCATTCAAGTGAGGACAGTCTAGGTGCTAGTGTATTCTCGCACAAGACGCCGGGAACGGATCCCCGAGGTTTCTGTACTACTTTTCGGAATTTCGAAAACGAGATCTCATATATGAAAGCGATTCTATCAATGCGATGTCTGAGGTATTTCGAGTCTATGAAAAGGGAGAATGGCAGCTATACCAGTTGATGGGAGTTCCAATACTTCCTGCAGTCCTTCTCCCATATGCCTCACAACCTGAAACGTATTTTGTCCATATGTGCCAATCAAGGATTCCTCATCGGGATTACATGGCAAAATGATAGTCCTATTTAAGAACGTGTACCAATGCCCCTGTCATGGTCGTTGGCCGTCTGGAATGGATCTGCGATGCCGTTCCTCACAATGCTTCATCCGTCTGCCGACGAGTCCCAAGTCTGGATAGAGACTGAATGAGGAAAGCTTCTCAATTCTCCAGTTCATGAGTCCCTTCTCCTAGAATTTCTGTCTCAAATACCTCGCAATCTCAGCTTCATCCACATTGAGGCCAAAACGTTCACCTTCTACCCTGGATGCGGCCTGGCGAGTGAAGAAGACCCGAAAACAGAACTCGACCTATGGTGGCAAATCTGCGAGAGGCCGCTTCTCCTTATCCGACATAAAATTGAGGGCCGCCAGGGCTAGGTGCCTTCAAAACATTGACTCCAAAGTCGAAAACTCTAACTGGTGTTCTCGTGGATGACACAAGCGGAAATTCGTTTCAAGTCGCTGCACAAATCGTCAAGGAATTTGATGGGTTGGATGGTCGGATAGAAGAGACGATACGGGACTCAAGCAATTTGGAAGGGGAAATGGATATGTTCTCGAAGTGGATGAGAGAAAAGATGGTGCGGAGAACAATTCGGCTTGGATGAACAAAGCATGCTGGATAGATGGGTTTGGGAAGTAGGAACCATTCCCCAGCTTTACTAGAATCTCCCCGGAAGCTATTGTTCCACTTCAAAATGGTACATCGAAGAGGCAGCTTCGAGCCATAAATTCAAAGAGACGCTGCGCTCCATGTTATGGAGGGTCGGTCTCTCATTTCTTGACATATGTCGAATAATTCCTCCCCACTTGGCCTCTAACCATGTCCTGACAGACCACACAACCTCCGTCCTTGAACATGTTTTAATGATATCCGATAATCCGCCGCTTCCCGGGCAACCGTATAAACCAAGCTCTGTGGGTTCCCCTGAGGTATAACCGGGAACACACTTGTATTCACGACTCTTAGACCCTGAGCCCTATAAACCCTCTATAAACCCTCAGCTCCACCACGCCTCCTTCATTGCGTGGCAACATTGCACACGCGCCAGAAGCTGGTATGTTGATTTGGCCCAGCATGCGAGATAGTATTTTGAAGCATCATGCTAGTCGCCATCGCCGACACCATCTTCCTTTCCTAGTAAACATCCTCTCGCGTGCAGGCACGCGAGAGGAAAGCGGTGGTGTGCGTAGCGCATCTTCGGTGCATTCCAGGATGTGTACGAGGATTTCGCGATCGAGGGGACGCGACAAGTAGGCCGGATCAATGAGTGGTGGGCGGAGCTAGTCGGGTAGGCAACGATTGTACCAACCATGCTCAACCTCGTGTGAAGTTTGCCAACTTACATCTATCGGAAACCTGTAAAGCGGAACTGGAATGTTCTTTACGATCCTTTTCGTCACCAAAGGGCGGGTGTGCGAAGTATCGAGAAGATTCCCCCAAGGCAGGTTGAAGTTGGTGAGAGTAGTGAGGTGGGTTGAAGCCATAGGCATGGGATACTTTCTTTTCAGGTCTATTTTCTAATGAATCTCAAATTCCTGCTCTAGGAATTCTCCCTCTTGGCATGCTTTCGCAGATTCACCATTCATAAGGGCATACATTAATGCCGGACCGATCAACTGGAAATTATCGTCGCCTTTATTACGCAAGACCATCGGATATACCGCGCCGGAGAGAATAGCGCAGATATCTCCTGTTCTCATAATTCGAGGACCTAAACCGAAACGTCCTTTAGTTGTCCGGAAAACTTTCCGGCACATAGAAGTCCAAGTCATATCCTGGACGAACTGATGTGCCGAGCCTGTTTCGGCCGTCTTTCGAACGGCCGCTTTGTTTTCAGACGATAGACTGGCAAAAAATCCGTTCCGGTGTCCCGGTGGTCGTATTCGTTCATACTCAAAAATCAGAGCTGCAAGGTCCGCCACCTGTTTCTTCTGCTCCTCTCCCGAGGTAGAGTTCAAGTAGTCCCGATAGCCACCAGTGAGAATGAGACTAAGTGCCCCAAGAAACTCTTCGGTAGAGCTCAGTGAAATTTCAGGTTCCAAAGCAACTTTGTGCCAGATGTGGTCAACGAGGAAAGGAATTTTCTTCTGCTCTTCCTTCTCCAGCGTCGTGACGGTGAGTCCGCTAGGCTCGATCATATCTGACATCGCGCGTATGGTGCCAATGGTAAAGCCACGACATTTCAACGCCATTCCCTTCTCCAACTTGATAATCGAGAAATTATTATCTGTTTCTGACGCAGACTTCGTCGGACACCGGAGCGGAGCAACCAAATTCAACGCATGCCAATCCGGTACCCAGCTTGGCAAAACTAAAACCCCAGCTTCCTCATGATGGTCGACGAAGGCCAGGATATGCAGACTACTCGTCCGCTGTATCACGTTCACTGTAAGATCTGTATACGCCTCCTCCGTCGAAATCCTATAATTCGGCTGCACGATCAACTTCCCATCCACACTGGCACTTGCATGGCTCAGCAGCGCGTAGATATAATCCCTCGGATCCGTACTCCTGTGGACCCTCGCCCAATGCAACACCTCGACAAAATTATGCACCGGCTTCCCATTTTTGTCGTTTGCCCAAACGAGGTTGATGTGATTTGCAACCCATGATTTCAGTCCAAGGTGGTTGATGATGGAAGCGCCTTTTGAGTCCATGAAACTGCAGAATGTGGCGATCTCGGACCAATCGAGGTACGTTGATTGGGAGCCCCAGTAAAAGCGAGCGTGCTGTGCAAGCCCAACTTCTTGTATGATCCATGCGCGGTGGAAATACTCTATGTCAAACAACTGCTTGATCCCAAGCCATGAGTCAAGTAATGCGACATCGCCAGCTGTCTCTGTAACCTCTTCTCCGAAATGGAGGTGTTGATGAGCTGCCTTCAAAAACTCTTGAGGCTTCTCGTTGAATCTCCGTAGAAAAGAAATCGTATGTTTAGCTTTTGCGTCGGAGCCAGGGTCAGGAGGGAAAGGCCCCAGCCAGCATAAAACGTGCTCTGCTTTTCCGTACACGGCGCCCATGAGACGAACCTGTGACTGTCGCTCTGAAACGTCTTTTTGGTTGATGCAGAGGGCGTCGACCCATATTCTACGGGTCTCTGAAGGGAGACGGAAGGCGTTGAGGGCTTCCGAAAGGAACGCGCCCACGCCGAGGAAGCCTGCGTTTCTCTGGTGATCGGTGCATTTGACGAATGCGACGGGAGTCTTTCTCTAGTTAGAATTGTGGGATTGAGGGAGGGACTAGGGAGAAGAGAGACCCGGAGCAGTCTTGAGGAGAAGGCTTACCGGATCGCCCCACACGTAAGATAATGCCTCGTAGTGCGTGCCATCGACTTTTTGCGTCACGAACTCACACTCCAGAGGCGCGTCGGAGGGTCCGGGATGCAGGTGTAGGACGCGGATGCACTGCGGGGGCAGAGGTGTATATGGATAGGAGGCCAAAGTAGGCATGTCCCATTGGTGGCAGGCCCTTTTAGCGATATGAGTGGCTAGGTTTGGGCATGGGAAGGCAGATGCAAGCTACATTGGGGGGCATTTGTCGTCAATTTTAAGAGGTGAAATGAAGCTGCTTATCAATCTGCAGGTACCGGATTGAGATTAGGCTGACATCAACTGCAATATTCTGCCACGTGATCAGTGCTTTAAAGTAGACTTTTGAAGTGGCGCAGAAATCACAAGAAAATTCTGTTCCCCCATTACTTGGTTGATTAACTGCAATTGTTTAGAAGGGGTTACCTCAACCACATGTCTAGAGAGATTCTTGTCTCAATTTCCTCTTGATTCTGTTTTTACTGACTGGCCCCTCCCTATAAAGTCCAGGCGAGATCGCTTAATTCTGATCGAGCCCTGAAAAAGTGCCTGGAGAGACTTGAGCTTTGCCGGAACGTTCTAAAACGCCCCGGCTGTATTTGGTTCGACAGATGCAGCAATGGAACTCGTTGTAGCCTACAGCCCAGTTGGGAAATACTTCCTTAACTCATCTGTAACCCACTCCTTTCCAGACAACTCTGCGACCTTTTTGTCAACTTTATTCACCTCACCCTCGCTATCCTCTAACATCCACAATTCAACGGGCCTGTCGTCCTTCGTAGCTTGATACCCGCTTCTCTTCTTCATCCTCGCGCTAACAGCATCATTGTGCTTCTTTGTCAGCCCTCCTTTTCTTTGAACGAGTCTCTTCCAAGCATGTCTGGCTAATTGATCATCGTCTCTCTCGAACAATTTCTCAATAATACCCTCTAAGTTGGCCAGCAATCTCGAATCAGGTTTGAGATCAAGGGGGTCAGATGGTGGGAATGCTACCAAGTTCTGGATCTCCTCATCATAACGAAGGATTGCTGCCCACAAGGCAGTCCAGGACCCCTCCGTCCGGAGAAGAGAGTGCACGGAAAGAGTAAGGTCAGGTCCAGCTAAACTGCTCACATCTGCTCCTTTGGACAAAAGGAGGGAAGCAACTGCCAGGTTCCCGACCGAAGCAGCGTAGTAGAGTGGTGAGCCAAGTATAGGATGAACATAGTTGATGCAAGAAGGCTCAGAGTATGCTTGCCCACACAGGTTGAGAATCTGCGGCGTTATTTGAGCAGTTTCTGTATACTGCTGGCTCTCTGCCAGAATGTGGAATGCGGAGAGATTCCTCGTTTTGTCGACGATAAAATCGGGTCCGTGGAGTGAGCCTCCTGGTTTCTTGTCAAATAGGAATCGGAGTGATTCAAGAGAGCCAGCGGTGTGCTGAACCAATAATTCTGCAAGTATTGTCACCGTTCGCACATCCGACTCCCGAAAGTGCTCATCTGACCCTAGCGATTCTATCTGGTATGGGGCGTTGACGTCTGCTCGATTCTCTAAAAGAGCGGTGGCGACGTCGAAGTTTTGATTGAGAATTGCTAGCACGAGAGGGGACCTCTTGCCATCTTTTGTGTCCAGTGGTAATCCGGCCGAAATCAAGTGGTCGACTATCATTCTTCCAGGCCTTGATTGTTTTGGCCGAGAGGCACAGAGGTGCAGCAACGAAAGCTGAGACCCATCAGGTGTGGTACGAATCGAAGTCAAGTCCACCTTATGTTTCAGCAAGAGCTGGAAAATGTTTTCATGATTGAGAGATATGGCTTGCTCAATCGGCTTGAATCCTCTGCACCCATCGACTGGATAGTTCAGATCGAGTAAGCATTGAACAATGTCGACGTTTCCGAGGGAGATTTCTTTGCAAAGAACCTCGCTCCTCTCTTTGTTTATTTCTTCGTTATCACGAGCTTCATGCCACTTTTGTGCCCGGCGCGATAATGTAAATAACGTCGTACGCAGATCGGTCACGTAGGTAACACCACATCTTACAAGACGGCTCTGAAGGGTGAGAGTGTTAAATTTGGTGACCCTCTTGTTGTGTGCCAGATCAAGCATGGCCACTTCATCGATAACTCTCATTTGCTTCTCCCGATTCGAGCGGTCGATATGGGCAAGCATTTTCTCCAATATGCGGGGTAATGTCAACACAGCTGCAAGTTCGAGGGGACACGAGACCGAGAGTTCTTTTTGCATGTGCAGGCCAGTCATTTGTCCCTGATGTCTATTGCCTGTCTTTGCAAGCGGATCTGCGCCAAGTTCTAGAAGGACCTCGACCACATCAGCGCTTCTCATGAGAACCGCTCTGCCAAGTGGCGTCACGGTTATGTCAAAATTGTGCTCCCAGTCTGCTCGAATCCCGCGAACATCGTGACGCATGCCGCCTCCGTAGAGCTCGATATCGGCCCCTTCAGCGATGAGCGTCGGTACAAGGACTTCTATTTCGGGGAGGGGAAAACTGCACATCCAGTGTAAAGGGCCTTCATGGCTGAATCGCGACCCATTTGGATTCGCTCCTTTTTCTAAGAGATATATTGCGCAATCAAGATTTCCGCCTTGACAAGCACATATAAGTGGCGTTTCGTCAACGTGCTGATTTGGCAGATCAATGTTACACTTATACTTTTCGACAAGATGTCGTAGTGCTTTGATGTTGCCGTTGGCTGCTGCGAAGTGAAGAAGGCCATGACCTCTCTCATTGAGATATATATTGTCAAAGTCATTGACGTCTTCGCTGGTATCGGTAGAAGCCTGTGGAGTGTTTCCTGAACGGTTTTCTGAGATTGTCCCAGCTTTCAATGATTTCTCGTAGTTCTCCCCAAGATGCAGACGGAGCTGTGCATCGAGTTCTACCAGATTGTGTAGGTTGAATTTGATTGTCATTCGATGAGGCAGGAAGTACGCCATTCCAACTGCTCCGGTAAACTTGAGAAATAATCTCTGTGCATCCCAGTAAAGGGCTTCCCAACTTGCATTATCATAGCTGCGGATGTGAAAGGCAAGCTGCGAAAGATCCTCTAGTCCAGTCCTGTGACCCCTGAAGACCGATATCCTCAGAAGATCTTCGAGTCGTTTCTTCGGAATGTTCAATTTAACGCCAAAAACTCGAGATAACCTCCATAACCAGGCTTGAGCTTGATAATCAGCATCTTCATGACTCTCATCATCAGCTGCTGCTTGGCGCAGCCATTCTATTGCTTCTGCAGAATCCAAAACAACCCCGAATTCTTCCAGGTGGCACTGAAAGAGATAAAAGGCGGCCACAGTCCTTTTAAGGTCGAGAACTTGGCCCGTTACGCGCACAGTAGCGGCTTTGAACTCTGCCACAATCTGTTGTTGCTGTTCCCAAGATAGGATCAACTTCAATTTATAGGGCTCGAATACGAACTCTCCAGCACTGGGTTCAATCAACCGTGGGCGATATCCGGGCCTGATACCTTGTTAGTATCTGAATATGACGTCTGAGATGGCAGAGATGTACAGATTGTCCTGCAAGTCAACGCTTTTGCCGCCTCTGCCAAGAAAGAATCTGAGGCTATCTCTCGTAAGGCCATGTTTTCCCTGGAGTCGTGTTTAGCTCGACACAATCGGAATTGGTCATTCCCTTTGGTAGGCTTACTGGAGGACCCGAGGAATGTGTCGCTTCCCATTCATTACTCTCAATTCGTATCAAATCTAGCAGTGCTTCTATCTTTACCAATCTAAGCATATGTTATCTGCATGTGCATGGTCTTTCTGGAATTCTAAAAACCTTCTTACTTGGTTCCCCTCAATGCTTCCTGAGCTTTCGCCAGGCTTCTATCCCCAGGGTCCAATCTAAGAGTGGCGAGTACAGCGTATATAGTGATATCAAGCGACTCCCGAGGCACCTTATGGTCAGTTGCGTACTTCCATAGATCTGCAACAGCAAAGTTCGTGAACCCATCTCTTTGCTTTTGGGTGGCCAAGCTTTCCTTGTCTTCAATAGAGGAGTCTTGGGCAGCTCCTGGTAAAGACACATAACCTTTACCATCTGTGAACGCTCTCCAAATGAGCAGCCCAAAGGAGTAGACATCTGTCAGTTTCATGCCATCACGGGAAAGGGGGTTTAACCACTCGGGTGCTTGAAAAGGCCAAGTCGACGTTTCTAGACGTCGGAAGTCCTCGCTACCCATATCCATGACAGAGCCTCCGAAATCGGCAAGCTTAGCTGTGTAGACCACGCCCAGAAGCTCCAGCTGCGGATTATGGTTTCTATAGATCAGAACATTTTCATGTTTCATGTCTCCATGGACAATTCCGCAAGCGTGCAGTGCAGACAAGCCCCTCGCAACGTCATGACATAATTTTTGTTTTGTGGCAAACGGTAACGGATCCATGGACTCTTGGAGGTGTTTCAAGGAGCCTAGAACTGAACACTCCATCAAAAGTGTTGGATATGTTGATTCTGACAACGAAGAAAGACCCCATTGAAGCCCAAGGAGGCGGACTAGATTTGGGTGATACCTTATAGGTTCGTGAAGAAGTGCCCGAATCTCGAACAGGATATCTTTCCAATCACTTTGGACCACTTTAGCTTGGTATATGGGAGATGTAAAGCTTGACTTGCCTGGTGGGACGACTGTCCGTTACTCCATCTGGTATGATTTCCTTCAGCGCCACATCTAGGGGCGGCTCGTTTGAGTCTTTGACCCACGAAGCCTGACGCACGAGGAAGGTGTTGCCCCTGCCGAGAATATGTTTGTTCTTGCGGATCTTAGAGTAGCCGTCGAGTACAAGAGGAGAGTCGGCTCGTAATTTTGCCTCTAGATGGCTGAGATGGCAGACGAATGATGCGAACGAGCCTTGCCTTGGCGTTGGAAGACCTTCCAGAGCAGGCTCCACCTCTCCAGTGGCCGTATTGGAGCGGGGTACAAGCCCACGGCTTGGTAAATCGAACGTTGTGACAAATTCAAACTCAGCCATATTGAACATAGCATGTCTGATTCTACTGGATTGCCTGCAGGTTGAAGTTGAATAATGTATTGAAACTTGGAGAGGGTCAATGAGACAGGTCTAGCCTTTCAGGGGCTTCGTGGCTTGGCACACAGGCTGTGTTAGGTCAGCTTAGCGGTGGTGTTCGAATCTGACAGGGGGAGGATGAAGTGATAGGGATAGTTTTCCTTGGCATTTTTCAGCTCGCACAACTCCACTCTCCCCCCCCCCCCTCGTCTCACTCTTTGCACTATCATACCTCTTGAAGACACCATAACTCATCCAATCCTGGTTTTCCCACAAAGCAAGTAACGCATCTATCGGCTCTAAATATGGGTGATGGGACTGTGTCCATGGTTGGCCTCGCGCGCCTTGCGTACAGCACAGCTGCCAAGGCCTGGACGACCGTGGGAGATGCCATCTCCTTCCCGGAGGACTCCGAGGATCTCTTGATTCGCATTGAAACCAGCCGAGCTCGTTTTGATATCTGGGGCTCGCTTTCTGGTCTTGAACATGGGCCGCTTCATCACAACCTCGTACCATTTGAGGGTCTCATCGAAAGGGCTTTGAGAAGGATCGACCAGCTGTTCTCGAATGCAGATCAATTGAGGGAGCGATACGGCCTTGTGATTGAAGATGCATCTAAACAAGATGTGGAAAAGCAGAAGAGTAGAATTGCGAGAATGCAGCGAAGCCTACGAGCTGCCAATGCACATCTGAAGCATCTTGGAGAGAAACAGTCGCCTGCGGATCAGCGGGCCCATCCATCAGTTAATCCTGGATCCGCCAAACGTCTCCAGTGGGCCATTAAGGATAGAGCGATGTTTGGAGGGCTCATCGGCTTTGTCGAGGCACATGTCGACGGACTTCAGAAACTTCTGTCGGAGAGCCAGCTGAGAACTTCCCAACAGGAAGTCACACGCTTTGCGATCCAGGTTGTCGGCAGCTCTTCAGATACTCAATCCCTCTCCGCTTTGACAACAACCGACACCACAGTAGATATGAGATTTGATGAGCTGCCTGCACGAAACTTGCTTTTTTTCCAGGCAGAGTTGGCCGAGGTCGAGGATCTGCTTAGGCGGTATGATGAAGCAAGCCCTCGACAACAACAATCTGAAATCGACATGCGGTTCTTAGCTCAACTAAAGATCATTTCATGCCAACCTGGGGGTGCAATAACGGGATTGGTCAAGACAGAGCATTTAAACCTTCGAGATGTGCCTCTTATTGATCGCAAGAAGGGTCGCTTCTTGCACAGGGGGGGACTCAGCAAAGACATGTGCTATCTGCTCGAAAAGAAACAATACGATAGCAACATAACGGAGCAAGACAAGGTCATCTTAGAGAAGCGGCTTCAAAGACTGGTGTCTCTCCTGGGTGCTCCCCATGCAGCCCGCGAACTTCACACCCTCCAAGCTGTGGGATATGTCGACGATCCAGAACTTCACAGCTGGTGGCTAGCCTTTCGATTTCCCCTTCCTGCTATTGTTCCAGTAAGCTTGAATTTGATCCAAAAGCAACCCCTCTCTTTACGAAAAATATATAGCCTTCCCTTCAAGCCTCCGCTGGAGAAGCGTTACCAACTGGCGAAAAAAGTGGCACATACATTAGCAAAACTTTACGGCAGCGACTGGATGCACAAATCCATCACCAGCGACAATATAATATTTCCTCAACTCTACGATGAGAACCAGAGTGTTCCATTCCATGCAATCAGCTCTGCACTCATCCAAGGTTTCGGCTATTCTCGACAACACACTGAAGCTCAAACCATCGACCAAGGAAAGGTTCTTGGGGACCTCGAATCTGCCATTTATCGCCACCCAAACTACCAAGGTGTCGCAGCAAGCGGATACAGGGTACAGTACGATATATATTCTTTCGGCTTGGTCTTGTTCGAGATTGCCCTTTGGACCCCTCTTATCAGCATCTTGGCGGCTGTCCCCCGACAGAGCGGCAACGCGGCGGTGCAACTCTCGCCAGACATGAAGCATTTCCATCAGGTCGAGGCGTTGGAACTAAGAAGAAGAGTAATGTTCCGTGTAGATTCGGAGCTTGCGTTTCGCGTTGGTACCAGATATTGCGAGGTTGTGAAGTGGTGTTTAGGCTTCTCTAAGTCTGATTTTGACGGCGACCAGCCCTGGCGGGCCGGAGTTGAGTTTTACAACAATGTGGTGATCCCTCTGGGGGAAATATCAAATGAATGAGAAATGAATGTGGCTCCGTACTGGTTCATAGCTGGACGACGGCAGATCCAAAGATTATTGACCATGTGTCAAGTTCAGATACACCGCAACAAGCTACTTTAGAGGGTTAGAAGATGCAGAAACATGATTTGGGAAGTTGGCTAGTCGTGGTGCAGTTCAGTGTCACAGTACAATAAGGGATGGTGCTCTGATGATGTTAGCGTCATGGATTAAGGGGTATTGCGGGACTGTTGCCTAGGTACTCTAAAGTATCAACGGCCCTATTGTACTCCCGCACTTCTAAAAATCTTGTGCTTCTTATTTACGAGGATCCCGCCGCCTTAGTCTGAAGTGAGGACGTCCTCAACAAACCCCAGCTCCATGTCCAACACGCGCAAGACTGCTCAAGCAATCATAGACGCCCACGAAGCTGGAATATAGACATTAACATGAGTTTTCGAACTGATGATTGCATTCATCTCATTATTCCCCGTATTTCTGCACCTCTCTGTTACCTCTTCCCTCACTCATCTCTTATAGCAGAAATCTTGGGTCACAAGCCTTACAACAATGAAGCATACCATAAAATGTTCGTCACGCCATGGCCTCAAAGTGACCGTCCCTGATGTCATTGAAGATCCCGTTGCCAACAAAGTGATGATTTTTGCGAGCAATAAAGCAGATTTGAACGCTGGAGAAGGACCTTATGGGCAGACTGATGTGCTCAGTCTTGAGTTTTATGAGACTGGCACGGGGATCACGAAGATGGTTGACTTTGTGGATAGTGCGAAGGCTAAGGAACAGGCAGCTATCTTGCAGGGGAATTCGTAGATTGAATAAGCATAAATGTCAAGTAGAATTAGGCGAGGGAGAGATTCGAAATCCTAACAAGAGGCAAGTGGTGTGGAATTAGAGGATGAAAGCATCCTTAAGATCTAACCTGGCGCGTTCTAGAAACCTGCTCAGCTGTACTTGGAGGAAGCTAACATCTCAAAGACAGTAGTGTTGGCCTTTTCCAGGTCCTGCACAGCTTGAATCTCATTGTCTATGCTTTTAGAAATCTTTCCTTGCCCCACTTCGGTTGACATCCAAGCTGATATACATTCACAGCGGCACCTTGCCCACTCTGCCACACCTTAAATGCTCATTTTTGTGCTGTGGCAAAGAAGGGTTTACCTAGAGGCCATTATGGCCCGTACATACATACAGTAGTTGGGATTTGAAGGTGAGAGAAGTGAGTTGGACAGAGTGATCAAATTTTCAGGGGAGTCTTCGTCGACCAGCGGGCGGGTAAGTTTACCTCTATTTTAAGCGAGTTTTATAGGGGGTAGTCGCTAAAATATAGGCTTATCACCCCCTATCAGCCAGCCCCGCTAAAAACCACGATCCGCTCGGAGCCCCTAAACACTGGCTTATTAATATTATCTGGCACCGCGCGTCTTGTCTGACATGCTGACATCGCGCTTGTTTGACACTTCATGCCGAGAAATCCGTGCGTCATTTTAAACCACATCATCCTCTTTGTACATAACCAACATTTCTCCTTTTGGCTATCAGTCGCCACGATGGATTACAAGAAATACCTCCCTGTCCCGCAAATGACGGCCAAGCCGCCGTTCACCCTCCCTACCGTCAGCGCCTCAGCAGTTGACGGTGAAACCATTCCCCGTCGACACCCCAAAGCAGTCAATGGCTTTGTCTCAATCCCCGAAGAAGGATGTCACACTCTCTACGATGTGCTCGTTCGCGCTGGTCAGAAATTCGGTAACGAGAATGCACTCGGGACGCGTCCATTGCTCAAGAAGCACATCGAGACGAAGAAAATCAAGAAGATGGTAGACGGAAAGGAGAGAGAAGAGGAGAAAGAATGGACTTATTTTGAGATGGGCCCGTATTCTTGGACCACGTTCAGCGAGTATGTCGAGCTTGCTTTGCAAGTTGGTGCTGGATTCCGGAAATCTGGACTCACGAAGGGTGATAAAGTGCACGTGTATGCAGCTACTAGGTAAGTGGTTGATGTCAGATCGATGGTTGAGTTTGGGCTGATTTCGCCCAGCATGCATTGGCTTGCAATGGCTCATGGAGCAGCATCTCAGTCAATGCCAATTGTTACTGCATATGATACGTTAGGAGAAGAGGGCTTGACGTCTTCGTTGGAAGCAACGCGTGCCAAATTGATGTTTCTCGACGCGTATCTTCTGAAGACACTGATCAAACCACTCCAGAAGGCGGACTATCTCGAGGTTATCGTTTACGACAAGGATGAGGACCTCGTTAAAGAAGACTTGGATGTACTTCTTGAGACACATCCTAGGCTCAAAATTATCAGTTTTGAGGAGTTGAGGAAGTCCGGTGCAGAAAACCCAATAGATCCAGTTCCCCCCAGGCCAGAAGACACTTGCTGTATCATGTATACATCTGGATCTATTGGTGCGCCAAAGGGAGTAACAATTAAACATAGAGCCGTCGTTGGATCGAGTAAGAAGAGTCCATTCCATGATAAGCTGCGGTGTTCTAACATTCCTTAGTCGCTGGTGGCAGCCTTGCAATTCACAATATGTGCGGCCCAGATGACGTGTAAGCTCATCCTCCATGTTCCATAGGCAATCTACCGTATATCTGATGTGTCATCAGTTACCTGGCCTACCTCCCCCTTGCTCACGTCATCGAGTACGCTCTAGAAAACTGCTGTCTATTCTGGGGCGCACCAATGGGCTATGGCAGCCCCAAGTCACTAACCGACCTCTCAGTTCGCAACTGCAAAGGCGACCTGCGCGAGCTACAACCGACAATCATGGCCGGCGTGCCAGCAGTCTGTAAGTCTTAACTTCTCAGAGTATTGATTCCTCCGGCGGGTGGAGCAATTCGCCGCGGCGCTTCGGACATTCTACTACCAATGTCCAAGAGGAACTAGAACATTCTGCGCGCAGAAATGCCCGAAGAAGTATGCTGACTAGGTTCTGGGAATAGGGGAAAACGTTCGGAAAGGCGTTTCGAACAGGGTCAACGGCAGCAACGCCATTATCAAGAACATGTTTTGGGGCGCTCTTTCACTCAAGAGTTTCCTCCTCTCGCATCACATCCCCGGAGCCAGCATCTTGGATAGCCTCATCTTTCATAAGGTTCGCGAGGCAACGGGTGGTAGACTAAAATTGTGCGTCACAGGCGGTGGTCCGATTTCAAAAGAGACGCAACATTTCATCTCCATGGTCGTCTGCCTCCAAATCAACGGCTACGGCCTCACCGAAACCACATCCATGACCGCGCTCTGCGACCCGCTGCAATGGACAGTCGATGCAATCGGAGGCTTGCCCCCAACGGTGGAAGTGAAGCTCGTTGACTACGCCGAGGCCGGCTACCTTGCAAAGAATAATCAAGGCGAAGTATGGGTTCGTGGTCCGACTGTATTTGAGGAATACTACAACGACCCTGAGGAGACGAGGGCTGCGATTACGGAGGATGGATGGTTTAAGACGGGGGACGTGGGGGAGTGGGATGAGAACTTCCACTTGCGGATTATTGATCGGACGAAGAATTTGGTGAAGACGCTGAATGGAGAGTATATTGCTCTTGAGAAGGTGAGTTCTCATGAATGAGACGGAGAGCTTTCATTGCTAATGTTGATCAGCTCGAATCGATCTATCGAACTGCTGCTGTTGTAGCAAATATCTGTGTCTACGCCTCACCCAACCAAGTCAAGCCTATTGCAATTATTGTCCCGGCAGAGCCTGCTCTGCTTCAGTTAGCAAAGGATAACGGTATTGCTGAAGAACGATCAGCGCTGTATGAGAGTAAGAAGATGCAAAACGTCCTGCTCAAGGAGCTGCAGTCGAAAGGTAGAGCTGGTGGACTGGCATCGATGGAGACAATAGATCATGTAATACTTGCGGAAGAGGAGTGGACTCCACAGAATGTGAGCACATAGATAACTTCAGCTCTGGGGACAGGCGCGCTAATAATTTTCAGAATCTTGTCACGCCAGCGCAAAAGTTGCAGAGGAAGAATATATTGCAGAAGTATCAGAAGGAGATTGATGCAGCATTTGCGAGGGTTTGAGCGATGGTAGGCATGAAAGTTTCCGCTGTGAGATATGGAATTAAAGTTATGCTTGCGGCTTACTGGCGGAACGATTCACCGAGGCCGGCTTCCAGCAGGAGAGGAGGAAGAGAAGCAAGGAGAAAGGACTCATTATGGGGCCCAGTAAAGATAAAAGTGTGCTCATAATATTCCCCTTTTACCCTATATACGCCTACGCCTGTACATGCAATTATATGAAAATCACCACACTCCGTGGTCCAACCACACTTAATTCCCATACCGCCCATCATACTCTTCCGAAGCCCTAATCTGCCTCATCCTCCTCAGATCCTCCGTATATGGCGGCACAGCCGCAGTTGTCGGCCGTGCAATCGTACTGCTCCTACTCAACGGCTCTTCCACATACGGCCTGGAGTCCCTATACCCACTGCCATCCACATACGTATTCCTCCCAATCTCCTCCTCAAGTCCAAATTCCTCCTCCTGCCTCCGATAACCCTGCACATGTCCCCCAGCATCCGAGAAAACGTCAATCTTCTCCTCGCTGATATACTCGCCGACCACAAATTGGTCATCAGGCATGCTCCCCTCACTAGAATGATAACTGCCGTACCTGCTGCCATATCCACCCTCATACCTAGGTATTGGTTTGTGCAGCTTATGCCTGGGCCGAGGATGGGCGTGAGGTGGAGGACTTCCAATCGGACTCTGCCACACGATGACACCTAGCACTACGACGGCCATCAAACCTGTCAACGCCAACGAAAGCCAGCCTGCAGTACCAACAAGGCCCGCTACCACAAGACCCAGGAATATGAATGCAGTGACCGTCAGCCCAACGAGCACAGTGCTCACCAGCGTCGCCCACCACGCCACGATCCGCCGATGATGGCTGTCCTCTGTGCCGAAATATCGAATCGCTTGAGGACGCCAATAGCTAAGTGCGGACGCAGCAAGCGTGGTGAGGAAGAGGCTGAGTGCGAAGCACACGAATGCGTCGGCTATATAGTATTGGATGTCGTCGCCGGAGATGCCGTGGTAGACCCATGGTTCCGTCGGGTTGGAAACAACTTTCGTGAAGGTTATTGAGGCGCCGAGGGTGCTGATTGCGGTTATGGTTTTGAACATGGCGTCGAAGAAGTCCGCGAGGCGTAGGCCCGGGTGTTTGGGGGGTGGTGCGGGTGTGCATATCGCTGGCGTGGATGGTTTCGAGGGGGAGGAGAGGTGAGGTGTTGCCATGATGGCGTTGAGAGAGGACTGTAGAAATTCGTGAGGGGGCGAAATAGAGTATTTGTGGGGAGATAGGTTCGCTAGAAATCGTTCGTGAGATTTCTTTGGGATGTTCGTTGTTGACAATGTTGGTGGGGCAACGGATGAGGGGTGCATTGGGCGCGTGCGCACATGCGCAATGGTGGGCCGAGGATTTGTCTACGGGATGAACTGCTGAAATCATTTTCCAACCCGGAGCAGACATTGTCTTGGGAGAAAGGGCTGGCAATTGCAAGTAGCACTCGGACAAGTGCCTTGTGGCGATGCCTTGGCTGTTGAGGTACCCTCGCTTATTTATAGGGGTCTTCAGTGCACATGTTCTGCGATCGGCCTGACCAACCAGATGAATTCTCCCAGTATGAATTCTGCGTCACAAGAAGAATGGAATTTGTTGTAGAATCCGCCATGGACCCTTTGCCTGATATGGTGTCAAGTACGATCTTTCTGGTATGTGTTATTGACTCGGCCGTAGATGTTTGTGAGATGATTTCATGCGGATATTCGTAGCTCAGCCGTACACCACGGCATGAAATCGGAGCATAGGCAATATCGACACCAATAACTGCCAGGAGTATGCAGTCAGGAAAGGCTCGCAGAGCAACGTCTTCACCTCCCTAAAGCACCCACCACGCTTCCAACCATAACCGCCACCTCTCTCTCCCAGGTCTTCTCAGTGTTGTCTCCCTTTGATTTGACACCTCCAATTCCGGCAGGCGGTTGACTTCCTCTGACTACACACTCCTTGATAGCATCCCTCACGCTGTTCTTATTACTCCTCAAAGTTCTTGCGCTAACGCCTCCCTTATTGACGATTTCCATGACCTTCGTACTGAGATGCCCTGCCAGGGTTCGCCAGAAGTATGATGCAAGTGATCCAGTTTCGAGGCTCGAAAGAAGTGGGAGCAGGAAATTGGCTGGTGGCTTAATCGATTCAGGGATGGTAGGATGCGGAGGTGGCGCGGTGGATGATAGGAGGGACTCTAGTGCGAGTATATTCTGACATCGAGCGGAGACTTCGAGTAGTGTTCGATCGAGTGTGGGTAGCGTGGCGAGAGCACGAGAGAGCGATGCGAGGGAGGAGGTAAGTGCTGTTTGGAGGTAATCTTGGAGCGCATTTATTAAGAGCTCTGGCTCCCATTTCTCGGTCTTCTTCTTTGTTGGATCCGGCATGGGCGAGAGCAAATACAATGACAGCAGGGCGGAAGTCGTCCTCGATTTCGTGTCTGCCGTTTGCGCGAAGGTCGTGGTATTTGTCCCCGTGGACAAACTACTCATCGAGAACTCTCGAACAATCTGCTGAGATTTTGTGAGAACTGTCCTATCAGCAGGGGCGAGAACCGAAGTCTGCAGCGTCCGCACGACATCCACGCGATCGAGACCATACCCCTCTTCGCCCTCTCCTCTCTTCGAGAATAATTCTCGTAAACTTAGCAATGTATTTGAGCATCGCACCAATGCCCTGTGATCTTCCTTCTGCCCCTGTGTCTTCACCACATTCCCCGTCGCCGCAACCTCAGCCAGCTGTATCTCAAGCTGCCGTCCCAATTGCAGACATCTTCCCACTGACCGCCCTAACCTCACCGTCTCCCATAATCGACTTGCAACAGCTTGTACCTCTTTTGCTGTCTCGTACCGGACCAACACTTCCTTCTCCAGTCGCTTATACCCCTCGTTCAAGCTCGCAACCTGCGAGTCTATTTCTTGGACTATTCGCGCGCTGGCAGCGGTTTGTTCTTGTGTGTGGGAGAGAAGAGGGAGCGCGCTCTTCGTGGTCAGTGTGTCTATGTGGGTGTTGATTTCTTGGGAGTCAAAAAGGACACGGCTTAAGGGAGTCGAGAGGTCAAGCGGAGTGTCGGTGTCGTTGTTCGTCGTTCGGACGAGGCTGTTGGCGAAAGCTGAGGGGGAGAATGAGGGAGAGAGGAAGGTTTCGTAGTCGATGTAGGATGTGTCCTCTTCTTCTGCGGTCATCGTGGCGGATCGGGGATGTCTCCAGCTCTGGCCATTGAGTGCTGTTCTACTTGTTGTGGTCAACTCCTCAATTGTGCTCCCTAACATGGTGAGGCGAAGCTGTGGAACTTTCGCATGTTGTTCTGTTTCGAAGCCCGGATCGCTTCGCGGCACCTTCTTATCGATAGCAGCCAGTCGTCATCGTTTGGAGTGGCCTCAATCACCAATTTTCTTTGCAATGGGATGTCACAAAAATTATGTTTTTCTCTTTTCTTTCTCTTCTTCTCTACCACATTTACTTCACCAACTTTCTCCTCCCCACATCTGAGAGGTATAATAGATGGTCATGATGTTGCAGTCCGGAGCCTGCGGGTGGCTTGCCAGCCTATCAAAATTTAGCGCATCCGCTTGGTGGCTTTGCATATCCTCCTCCCCAGCTTCCAAAACCACTGCACCTATCTGTTTCTCTCAGCATATTTCAAGCTTCACCTGTATCCTTTTTGAAGTGGCGAAGCGGCGCATCATTTCGAAATGCAGGCCTGCAGCTGAATCCACACTCGATCGCGAATTTTCCGATCCCACTGGCGCCGTCAACATGGGTCTCGTCAACATCAGAGAGGTCTTCCCCCTAGGAGACAATTCTAGCGATACCCTCATTGCAGGCGTGCATTTCAATCTTACGACATTGAAGCACTGGAACTTCACGTATTACTCTAATGGCACTTTCTCAAATGGCTCGTACTGCTTCCTCGCCTTCGAACCATATACCCCGCATCTCCTCCAGAACGGAACCTTCCTCAACGAAACATCATGCTACTCCCCGATCAACCCGATGCACACTCGGTCGAAGATTGGACTCTTCTTCGCGTGCTTCTTCGGTTTGAGCATCATGTTCACGTTTATCAATCTGCGAAAACACGGGAGGCTATTCCTACCCAGAGAGAAACGATTCCACGCGATTGGAAGGAGGTGGCAGTGGTATTGGATGTTGGTAGTTGCTGCGTTTGGGATCATAAGTGCTATTAGCGGGGTGGACGTCGATCGATATTATCTGCCGGAGTTACCGATAGTGCTGAACAACTTCTTCTGGTTCCTTATGCTGTCGACCACGATGTGTATTGTATGGGAAAGTGTTCGGCACTGGGGAAGTTGGCAGGAAAGACAATTGGTGGACCCGGACCCCTTTTCGCTCAGGCAGGATGATCGCCGAAGCAAGGTTGAATTCTGGATACCGTTGGTGTTTTATTTCTTTGCTTGGATGGTATGTGCCTTCTCTGCCCTCTCCGCAATGCTAACATACGCAGAATTTCTTTATGGTTATTCCACGCCCTTGGGGAGCTATTGAACTGCAACGAGACCCCGAACAAACAAAACAACACGCTGAACCAGCAGCAACAGATCTCCGATTCAAAGTAGCAGCCTTCTTCCTATTCGGCAGCTGGCTTACAACCGTCTTTTCACTCTGGCATTCGATTAAGCACTACAAGGCTCGAAATCGGGGAATTTTCAACCGGGCCTTTGGTCTCATCAAATACATGCCACCAAGATTCCTTCTGACCATGCCTCTCGCCTTAGTCATGATTGGATACGAGGCTGCCTGCGCTTTTGAATTTTCGATATCGCCCCTGAAAATCGACACCAACTTAGGCTTCATGTACGGTCTTGGATGGGGTCCGATCGCAATGATTATTGTCGTCCAAGAGACATATGGCTACATTGCTCCAAATGATGACAGGGAACTGATACGCCAACGTCGTGTCCGGGGTGCCGAGATTGACCAAGAGATGGGAATTACAAAGAAGCCGCATTGGTGGTCAAGACTAAACGTTGATAACAGACCGATGAATGTACAAGACTCTATTGCAAGGAACGTATCAGAAATTGGAGGGGGACGAGCAACGACGAGGAATTTAGAGAGGAGTATCGAAATGGGAAATATGCCGGCGTCTAAGGGGAGAGATAGCAACAAACCTGCGCCGGATATTACGAGCCTTCGGGCGGCTGCAAACTTGCTATTTCCAGCACACACTGGCATGGAGGAAACCCAAGAGAGGTTTACGGATCACCCAGAACCAGGAAGGGGGAGGACTGCCGCGAATACTTCAACGAGAGCCGGTCCGACTACGGGAAATGGAGTGAATGATAGGAGTGGCAGTAATGATAGCGCGGCGAGCGGGCTAACTTTAGGAGCGAGGCCGCAGCAGATACGGAGTATGTTAGATGTGTAGGATATTGGCATTTGGCTAGGTCGGCGTTCGGATGACCCTGCAGCAGACAGGTAGATGACTGCCGCAAATTATACGACCATTACGATTTATGAGCCAAGGGACGCGAGCATCTGGATATTGTGTAGTCCTGATCTCCTTGTGGTAGTCATCCATACAAACATAATACATGCTCGATCCAATCCCCACAACTGTGCCTAGAATGAGAAAGTTGAAACCATTTGGCTCCGGTGCATCACAGCCACAGCCACTACTACCACCGCTGAACAATTCCGCTCGTCACCCTCACACTCCAATGCCGTCAGATCGTACAAGATCCACGCTCTTCCCTCCCATTCCCACTCCCCCGCTCACAACAACCCAATCATAACATCACCCTTGACTCTCGCATAAAGATCAACCTATTCATCAGTCAGCTCGAAATCCTATCAATTTTCTGTCCTCCACCTCAAATTGTAAAAGCACAACATACCTCAACTTCCAAATCTAACTCAATTTTGATGCTCAAACTATCATTCATCGGTTTATAAGGGCGATCCTTGATCCTGCTCTCCCTTATCGCAGCCGGTCTGTACCCCTCAGCGCGCGGTGGCACCTGGCCTGGTCCGGTGCCATAATGTCCTTGTGCCACTTGTTGTTCCTGCGTTGGGAGCGGGATGGTTTGCTGCGTTGCTACCTGTTGTTGGGTTTGGGTTTCGGCCGCCATTTTTGAGATGGGGTTTTGCTCTGAATTTGGGTCAGCCATGGTTAATTGGCGGGACGGGGATGGGGAAAGAGAGAATTGAGGGGGGAAGAGGGCACGAACCGTCTTCTGAAGCGCTGTGGTAGAGTTCGAGTTTCCTTCTACTCGCCTATGTGTTGAGTGAAGTGAAATATGTAATTCAAAATCCAAAATCTCCAGAAACGCCGTTGGTGTGTGAAGTCTCAAGCAAGTACGGGACTCTTAGCATATTAAAGGAGCCGCCCAGGAGCTCGTCACTAACACAATGCCCTGTTTCCTCCATAGTGCATGCCTGTCAATTCCTGCTTTTCACGCATTCTGGGATTACCTGGCTCAGCGGGCCAATGGTTGCGTGGGCACAGCCACATGGGAAAGACGTCATAGAAGGGGCTTGTTGGGGGAGGGATGATGATAGGTACGTTTCAGGAGAGGGATGCGATGAATCGTAATCTGTGAGGAGGGTGCAAGGAAACAGGTTTTGAAGGCTGTGGTTGCCGATCGCTTGCACGTGAGCGAGGGGGTTTCGTCCGGTTCTTACGATAGAAGAGAGTAAAATCCGCGGAAGATGACTAAAGAAAGGTAATGGGTCTGGTGGGTTTCATACTCCACTCTACAGAATATTGCTGGTTTTAGTAAAGCGATTTGGTGCTGTCGACAAGAAGCCTGGGGTCGTTGCTTGAGGGTGCCGGCATCGATGGCGTCAGGTGGCGTACGCCACACCCGAGATGTGGGGTGCTCGAGTTGGAACGGGACCGAGAGGAACATCATTGTGTTTTCCTAAAAGTCAGAGGGATATGGACGTTCCTTCCTTCTCTTATCCTACGGCTCTTCAACTTATAGCACTGAAGGAAAGCTAAGTTGTAACGCAGACCTTGTGAAAAATTAAATGAGCTCTATCAGGATTGAATATGCCTGTGAGGTACCCGTTTATTAATTCTCGGGATCCTACATTAACTCTTTTTACTAATCTTATTATAAGGAAATATATTTTACTATTATAAAAAGAATAATTTTAATAACAAATAATTTAATATAAAGAGAACTAATATATAATATAATAAACTGGAAATAATAAGAATTTGAAAGTTATTATTATAATAAAACGTTGTTATTATATTATAATAATAATATATATAGATCGATCTGCTAGAAAGGAGGTGTGGTACGGGTGGCCAAAGCTGAAATACATGAGTATAGTCACGTGAGCCAGCACGTGACTACTAGCATATAGTTGCCATGCAACAGCTATTTAGTTAGAAAAATAAAATCCGAGCTTAAATTCTAATTATAAAATCTAATTAAAATTCAATTATAATTAATTTTTTAATTAAACCAAATTTAATTAATTTTAATTAGAATTTCTTAATAAAAGCTAATTCGAATTCGAACTTAATTAAATTTAATTAGAATCTAGCTGTCACGGGTACGGCATTCAGGGCTTGGAAAGCAAGGTAGAAGGTCCCTTACAAAGACGATTCAAAGCTAAGGAAGGGAAAACTAGAATACAGAAGGCTGCGAGGGAGTATATGCACCCTACAGTGCGCTAGTCCCGAAGGGGCTTAGCCTTCTAAATATCTCCAGTACATTCCAAGCATACTTCCTTAGCGAGGCGGCCACGTCACGTACGTCTAGGAGGCTGGTATCTGGCCAGCCAGGCATCTCAGATACTGGGCATCTGGGAATCGTGACATTACCCCCCCTTTAGAATAAGCTCGTCCCCAAGCTTTGTAAAAGCCGTTAATCCATCCAATTTCATACCATTCTCCTTCCCAAAGTGAACTAGCATCTCGGATGTGGACGTCACGTGCGAAAGGCCGGCGTCTTTGACACGTGACTTAGAAGGGTTTATTGTCATTTCCGTATGGTTCTGGACGAGTATCATTTTTTGCATAGTCTAGCCAGTATTACAGGTTTTATAGAGGTCCTGGTATATTATTATTATTATTATAGAAACTCTATAAAACCAGGGGGCTATTGCTTAGTACTAAAGCTAGATACCACTCTTGATTCTTATTCTGACTAACTCACTGGATTCTATACTTTAGCTTATTCCTTACTAGCTTGATTGCAATAACCCGTTTAATGCCGTACTCTTATTTGCTATCTTCTAGTACTAATGGGAGCGGTTCCGGATTTGCTTGAGCTAGTAAAGGATTCTAAAAATTCTTTTATAGCTTTTCTATATAGAAAACTAGATATACTTTTATGATTTCCGGCAGTTTCAGGAGAAACAAATAGCTATACTATTCTAGAATCTCAAATAGGCCCTCTATTTAGTTCCCTAGCTTCCGGTTCGGATAATTAGATTTCTAGTACTTTATCCCTTCGTCCGCCATGAACTGTCCACGCTAGCAGGGGGCGTGTGGCTGCACGCAAGCCTCTTGAATTGGAACGAAGCGAGGTGAGGCTTGCGTGCAGCCACACCCCCCCTGCTAGCGTGGACAGTTCATGGCGGACGAAGGGATAGAAACCGCGCGACAGCCTCATAAATTCTAAGTGAGGCTGCGCTAGGCTACGCTGGCAGCAGATTTCCTCCGCCTAACACATTATCGAACACGAATTTCTGAACCACTTTGCAGCAGTTGTAGGACGGTGCAGCATGGTATCCAGAAGGCCGAGATCGTCTCGCCAGCCAGACGCAACCAAACATGACACCGTTCAGGCGAGCAGTCCAGCTTCCATGTCCTTGACACCTACTGACGGCCTCTCAGAGACCAGCGAAGAAACGACGCACTGGAACAAGGAACGACGCTCCGCTAGAGTCCTTGGAGCCGACCGCTGATTCCAACAAGTCACAATGGACTACATATCGAGTGAGCCCAATACCGAATACCTACAACGCAACCTCCTTCCACGACGCTCTTCGTATCAGTCTTCGGCTCGAATCACATACAACATTGACCATCCACTCCTTCGGTTCGGACTGGTCGCAGCAGAGAACCGCAACGATCACATTCAGCGACACTCCTTCCGGGCTATACTCAGTTGGGGTTGATGATGTCTGCGGCAAGACAACAGAATGGAAGGTGAACATTGTTCATCCATTGTCTACACAAACCGACACTGTGTGCATTGATACACACTTTAAGGGTTTTACACCTGTTTCCCCGCTTGCTAATGACGAGGAACATTTGATTGAGTACGTTGCTCGGTGTAAATTGAGAACGTTTGCTGATCTATAGTCACAGCTGTATTGCTATACATGGCTGGGGAAGTCATGCGCTTGGAGGATTCAAAGCCCATAATGATACTTACATGTGGCTTCGAGATTCCCTGGCCAAGGACCTTCCTCGATTACGGGTATTCATATACGGATACGCATGTGATTTGACCACGGCCGAATCGATCAGTGGGGTTGATGATTACGCAGATACCCTTAGGCGGCTGCTTAGGAACAGGCGGGGTCAAAACAAGGTAGGAGCACTCGATTCGCCTGCATGCCGTCGCTGACCACGAAGACCGGTCCTCCAGTACCCCTGGTGTTCATTGCTCACAGCCTTGGTGGCATAGTCCTCAAACATGTAGGTTTATCATGAACAAATATTGTTTCTTGCTAACTGTCGAAGGCACTTATACGGATGAAGGAGAGTTCTGATGATGACGACAATTACAATCTGATTTCAGTCTATGGAGCCTTGTTTTTCGGCGTGCCCAGCCAAGGCATGGATACCGAAGCATTGGCGGCGATGGTCGGAGACAAACCTCAACGATACGATTTGTCCCTGCTCGACCAAGAGGTGGGCCATCGACTACGGCACCGCCAACACGAAGATTTCTGTAGAGCTTTGGACTTCAAAGACTCAAAAATCATCCAGTTCTTTGAAACGAGGAAGACGTCTACCGTCATTGAGGTAGGTCGGATATTGGTGTCGTCTGTAATCGATATACTAATAAAACCAGGACCCAGTTACAAAGAAGTGGACACGTGCTGGTCCGAAGAAGTTGCTCGTCAATCCTGCGTCAGCAACCTTCGGTCGCCCATGGGAAACTTCGGATGATTTCAAAGTGTCTATTGACGCGGATCATAGCGATATGGTGAAATTTTCCCAGTTTGATCAAGACGGCTATATCAAGGCACGAGATGAACTACGAAGGTTTGCAGAGCAGGCTATGACTGTAATAGAAAAGAGACTTCAGCATAGATCTATAAATAGTACCATCCCGCTTCCTTAAGGTGTAGTGGAGTGACATCTTCTAATCGTTAGCAGAACCGAGTCTGCGTCATCACGGACGCAAAGATGCTCTCGTACTTGACAGGACAGCGGGACCCGAAGATTTTGGTAAGCCCAGCTGGACAAGCTCCTTCAACTGGATTTATCTCTAATGTATTGCGAAGCTTGCCTAAGATCTCTGGCTTTTCCGGAAATGAATTATCGACGACAAGATACACAACGGGCCCATGTAAAGACGTGTGGGTGGATCACTCGCCATCCATCGTATACTACCTGGCTTGAAGATGGCTCTGGAATCCTCTGGATCAAGGGCAAGCCAGGCTCAGGGAAATCAACATTGATGGAATTCCTCCTTCGGGACTTCGAGAAGCAAGCCTTCTACCAGGAATCTATTCAACTTTCTTTCTTCTTACACGGTCGTGGTACAATTTTACAGAAAAGTCGGCTTGGAATGTACCGATCCCTCCTGCATCAATTATTGCTGAGCGCGCCCACTGCTCGGGCCGAATTTCGCCACGCTTTTCAAGAGAGGTCTAGGAGTCAAGGAGATCCTGGAAAGGACTGGAATTGGCACGTTAACGAGCTCCGTGCCTTTTTCATGACTGCTGTTGAGCACGTCGCGACAATACAACCAGTCAATATCGTTGTTGACGCATTAGACGAGGCTAGCGATGGGACCGACGATCAAAATACAAGTCACCAGATCGTGTCGGATTTCCATGAATTGAACAACCTCTTGCTTCATAAAAAGCTTCGATCTACGATTTGCTTCTCATGCCGCCACTTTCCAGTCGTAACTGATAATCAAGGAAGGGACATCTGCGTTGAGGAGGAAAACCAAGCAGATATCTCGGTTTACGTTTGCGACGAGCTTCACAGGAGGCTCCGTGTGAGTGAATCTGAGCAACAATATCTGGCGAAACTGCAAGATGCCATTGTTAGCGGGGCACATGGAGTATTTCAATGGGCCGCACTTGTTCTTGCTATGGCGATTCGATATCACAATGATGGGCTGTCGCTAAGGGAGATCAGAGAAATGTTAGAAGAAGTTCCTGAAGAGCTGGGTGATGTCTATAAACATATCCTAAGGAAAGTCATCTACAAAAAATATTACCCGGAAGCCATACGCCTCATGAGATGGGTATGTCTCGCCGAGCGGCCCTTGACCGTGACAGAGATGTGCTTCGCCATGAGTCTACGAGGAACAGAGATACTTGGCCCGGGATCCTCTCTTGCAGAACCGGAATTGCGACCATACGATGTGATGGTGAGACGAATCGTTAGCTTGTCTGGAGGCCTCATAGAATCCAAGCGGCATGGGGAGGATCAGATCGTACAGTTCATTCACCAATCTGTCAATGACTTCTTCCTACGAGATGGGCTTCGATTCTTCGACAAGACTTCTGGAGATCCAATTGGACAAGGCCATCATCAGTTGTCGCTTATTTGTGCAAATTACATGAGAATTGCCGACTCGAACGAATTTGATGCTAAATCTCTCAAGACCAAGCTCCCGTTCGTGGATTATGTTGCAAGATCTTGGTTCTTACACGCCGAAAAGGCTGAGACACGAGGGGTTCCACAGGATTATCTTCTACGTTACAGTCAGTACTATCCAAGTATGCTGGATCATTGGGTCAGATTTTATGAATTCCTTGATGATAACCACTACTCTGAACGGCAACCTGAGAAATCTTCAACCATGCTCCACATTGCCTCCGGTGCGGGTCTTTTGAGCGTTATAGAGGGTTTGCTATTGACACCCCCTGATCTTGAACAAATGGATGGTGATGGAAACCGAGCACTCCACCATGCATCTCGTTGGGGCCATGCAAAAGTCGTCAAAGCACTGCTTGATGCAGGGGCTGTTTTTGAAGCAGAAAATAACAGCAAATGCACAGCACTAGAGCGAGCAGCAGCCAACGGGCATGAAGGAATAGTTGGATTGCTACTTATTAAGGGTGCAGACGTCAACAAACAGACCGGAAAAACTGGAAACGCTTTACATGGCGCTGCTGCAAAAGGGAGTAGAGCAATAGTGCAGCTGCTTCTTGACAACAAAGCTGACGTTAATGCTCAAGGCGGAGGATACGGCAATGCTCTTCAAGCCGCCGCATATGGGGGCAATCAAGCAACCGTACAGCTCCTCCTCGATAATAAAGCCGAAGTCAATGCTCAAGGCGGAGGATACGGCAACGCTCTTCAAGCTGCCGCATTTGGGGGCAATAAAGCAACCGTACAGCTCCTCCTCGATAATAAAGCTGACGTTAATGCTCAAGGCGGAGGATACGGCAATGCTCTTCAAGCCGCCGCATATGGGGCTATCAAGTAATTGTACAGGCTGCTCCTCGATAATAAAGCCGAAGTCAATGCTCAAGGCGGAGGATACGGCAACGCTCTTCAAGCTGGCCGCATTTGGGGGCCAATCAAGCAACCGTACAGCTCCTCCTCGATAATAAAGCCGAAGTCAATGCTCAAGGCCGGAGGATACGGCAACGCTCTTCAAGCTGCCGCATTTGGGGGCAATAAAGCAACCGTACAGCTCCTCCTCCTCGATAATAAAGCCGAAGTCAATGCTCAAGGCGGGGATACTACGGCAATGCTCTTCAAGCTGCCGTATGTAGGGGCAATAAAGCAACCGTACAGCTCCTCTCCGATAATAAAGCCGAAGTCATGCTCAAGGCGGAGTCTATGGTAATGCTCTTCAAGCTGCTAGATCTCGGGGCCATCAAGCAATCGTGCAACTCCTCCTCGATAGTAACAAGGCCAGTGCTCAAGCCGGGTAATATAGCAATGATCTCCAAGCCCACAGCATGTCAGCGCCGCACATATCGCCGACAGAACCTCTCTGGTAACTGTCGCAGGTGCAGAATGCGCTCTCTCCTGAAGCATAAATTGGTGCCTCCGGAGGAGCTTATATAGTGGTGAAACATGCCCAGGAGCTAAGCCACTGAACACGTGTGATCGGCACGCAGAGGGCAGTAGGGGGGGCCCATATGCCATGCAACAGTAACCTCCTTACTATACTATACAGTTGTGTAGACTCAAATCAATTGAGTGTTGCATTAGCTGTGCCTCGTGCAATTCTCAGCCACGAACGTGATTCAACGGACGGAGGGAGATTTGTTGAAACTGGCCAAAGAAATAGTTACAGGGCATTGCTAAGTGGTTCCATTATAAGCAGATGACTATCAAACAGGACCCTGGAAACTGTCGCACACTTACGAAGTAGTATGAAGTTTGAGACCCACGGAGCTCTCGAGCAAAGCCTCTTGGGTCAGTCGTAAGTGCGGAGTCCAGTTGGCTTGGTTGAAACGGGTTCGGGAATCAGTACAGGCAGTACCAGCAATCTCGTTTTCTGGACAGAAGAAAGAGAGACGAAGGATTTATTGATGAGTGGTGGGATGAAGAGGTGCAAAATCGGGCGATAGCTAGAACTGACCATGGCAAAACGCTGAAATCAAGCACAGAACCTGAAAAATGCGAGCCAGACACAATCCGACCCCAGCAATCCAAGAGATGACCGTCGGCACGTGTTCCCCCCGAAACAAATTTCTGTGGGTTGTGAAAATTCCATAACAAGTTGCGGGACAAACGCTTTCCCCGGATAAGAGGGAAAGGCCCCTTTAGCGCGACGTACGTCGACCATCAGTTCCACGTTTTCGAATCAAAAGACGAAAGGGATCGCAATCGCTTAATGTGGGGTAATTGCGGGACCAGCCAAGTGCGCCAAAATTCCTGTTCGTCTGACAAATCCTCTGGTCCCTGCGCTGTAAATCCGCTAAATATGGTGGTATTCCACCAGGTAAACTAACTCCATGTCATTTTTAGGGAAGTGGAATGGAAAACCAGCATCCCTTTCCACAAGACTTTCGCGAACTTCAGATCTACGCTTTCTTGCAGTCGCCCCAAGTAGGGTCAATCGCTTTCTCAAAAAAAAAAAAAAAAAAAAAAAAATCGATAGCTTTAGCTTCATTTCCTTATAGCGTTGATTGCAAAAACCCGTTTAATGCCCGTACTCTTATATGCCTATCTCTAGACTCAATGGGACCGGTTCCGGATTTGCTTGAGCTAGTAGAAGGATTCTAAAAATTCTTTATAAGCTCTTTTCTATATAGAAAACTAGAGTATACTCTTTTATGATTTCCGCAGTTTCAGAGAAACAAATAAAGCTAGTACTGTTTCAGAATTTCTCAAATTAGGCCCTCTATTGAGTTCCCTAGCTTCGGCTTCGGCATAATTAGATTCTCTACTACTTTATGCCCTTCGTCCTGTCCGCATGAACTGGTCCACGCTAGCAGGGGGCGTGTGGGCTGCACGCCAAGCCTCTTGAATTGGAAACGAAGCGAGGTGAGGCGTGCGTGCAAGCTCCACATGCAGCCCCCCCTGCTAGCGTGGACAGTTCATGGCGGACGAAGGGATAGTAATTCATACTTTATTCCCGACTTTGAAATTAATTAGATAGTAGTATTTATTAGCTTATATTATATATTATTCCTATATTTGCTCTATATAACCTTGGGCAAGTTATTATAATTCATATAATTAATTTATTAATACTTTAGCTTTATTTCTATTTAGTTTCTTTTTAGATAAGCTAGCTTTAATAAAAAAGTTCTAGTCTAAAGAGATATAAGACTTATAGCCCTTTTTAATTATAAATAGAAACTAGCTAATAATTTCGTACTAAAAAGAGGCTTATTAATAATTAATTATAGTAATCTATTTATTTCAATTATTCTAGTAATAGTTAATATATAGATATAATCTCTAATTAAAGTACTAATTAATAATCTCTATCTATTCGTTTATTTAAAGGTAATTAGTTATTAAGAGTTTAAGCTTTATACTAATTCTTATATAGAATTTACTTTAAAAATCAAATATAAATTAGGGTTTCTAATTTAATATAATTATTTCTAGAATACCTATTTAGTATATTATATAAAGTAAAAACAGAAATACTAGCTATTTAGTTATAATTATATCTTATATAAAAATTATAATTAGATATTTAAATAAGTAATCTATAAATATAGTAATTATATTATAGCCCGATTTGCTTTCTAGATAGTTCTTGAAATTTATAATAATATATTACTAAAAGTAATTAGAAACTAGAAGAAAATAAAATAACTCAGATTTCTTATTTTTAGATATATATAATTTCCTATAAATATAATAATTACTATAATATTAATTAATATTCTTACTTATAAATAACTAGTAATATTACTTCTTTAATAGCTAATAGAACTTTATATATCTAGAATATCTAAAAAAGAATTTATTATATATTTTATAAATTAAAATAATTTATAAAAGTAATTTAGAAATTATTTTATTCTCTATAATATAGAGTTTTTTATAATATAAAAAAAAGGCTATTTTATAGTATCTAGATATTACTTTTAGCTTAAGCTATTATATATAGCTTTTCTAAATCCAGTAATATATAATTATTCTATAAAATTTTATTTATAAATTATAAGCTATTATATTTAATAAGAGCTTTTAATAGTATTTCTATAAGAGTAATTATAATAGAGTCTATTAGTAAAGCTTCTAAAAGAATACCTTTTTCTAAGAGAATTATATCTCTAATAAAAATATTCTTTTCCGGAAAGTCTTTAATATATACTTGGTTTTTAGAACCGAATTTCGAATTAAATAAGCCGATTTTATAAAGTATTATTATAAGCTATAAATTATAGATAATCTCTGAATTAATCTTATTTTTAGAAAGAAATACTTGAATTTATAGCTTTTCCTTAATTTAGTTCTAAGTATTTATTTTATTTTATTTTTATAATAAAGTATTTATTTATTTATTTAATTTTCTAGAATAATATATAAACTTGAAATAATAATAAAATAAGAGCTTAATCTATCTAGCTTATTAAAAAAAAAAGCTTTTTAATAGTTATAAAATACTTTAAAATATAATAATCCGAATAGATCTTAAAAGAAATATTTTAAAAGCCTTCTAGTTTAGCTTTCTATATCTCTAATATTTATATTATAGTAAATATTTCCTTATTATATATATTATAATTAAGTTTTACTAGAAATATAGTTTTAAAAAAACAAGCTATAAAATACTAAAGGCCTGTTTTTAGGTTTTATAAAAAAAACTAAATTAGTAATTACTTTTTTAAATATATTTATTTCTATTATTATAAATAGATCTAGATTATAGTATTATAGAACTAGAATAGAAATTATAACTTTTTTTTAAATAATTAAAAGCCTTTTAATATTATTTGAATTATTTAAAAGAAATACCCTTTTTTATAAATAAAATAAAAAATCTAATAATTCGTTTATATTCTCTAATAAAGTATTTATAAAAGTTATAAAAACCAAGAAAGAACTATATATCCTTAACTATTTTTAGGAATTACTAGTTATATATTACTTTAATTTTATTAGAATCTATTTTAATATTAGATATAGAAATAATAAAACCCAAATACTTTATATATATATTATTTATATTTTACTAAATTCTCTAAATAAATAAGAATATTATTAAAATATATTATATAAAAGTTATCTAAATATTTAAAAAGTATATTATTTATATAATATTAATATATAACTAGGCTATTTATAAGGTCTTTCTAGAAAATATTATATTTATATATTTTATAATAAATATGAAATATTATTAGCTCCTAAGAATCCGGATTTATAGCTATATAATAGTAAGCTTAATAAATATCTAATTTAATATAAATCTTGACTTTAAATAATTAATTTAAAGTCTTATTAATAAATAAATAAAAATATTAATTTTTCTAAATAATATTATTTAAATAATAGAAATTAATATAAAAATATAAACTTCTATTTGCTTTTTTTTATAAAAAGAACTAGTAAAGTAAAAAGAGCTTAACTAGTTTTAATAAAGCTTTTAGCTAAATTATTTTCTAAGAAATACTTGATTTCTAGAAGCTTTTAAATAAACTATTATTAGAGAGATTAATATCTAATACTTTTAAAATTCTTTTGGGCCTTTAATTTAAATCTTATAATTATATAATTTATAAAAAAAAAGAATATTAGATTTCTTTTTAGAAAAAATAAAAGTATATTTTTTAAGTTCTAGAAATAATATCTTCTAAAGCTACTAAAGTTCTATTTCGTCTAGTTATTAATTTTCCGGGCTAGAAATAGCTTTTTTCCTCCGAGCTTTAAGCTTTTTATTAATCTTATAAATAGAGATTTAATTAATAATATTATCTTTTCTTTTAGCTATATAATTAAATACTATAAAAATAAAAATAGCTAGATCTAATATTTACTTTTTATTAAAAACCTCTTTCTATTTCTTTAGCTTTTATTTAAGTATTATATTTTAATTAGACTATAAAAGCTTCTTTTCTATAATCTTATATAATTTCTTCTAATTAGTTTAAAAAAATAAAAATTATCTAAAAATAAAAGATTTTTAGAAATAGCTTATAATAGAATTTTATTAATTAATATTTTTTAATACTTTATTAATTAATTAGAAATAAGACTTTTATATATTTTTTAGTAAACTTAGCTAGCTTTCTTTTAAAACTATATATAATATAAAATAAGAAAAAGAATTATAATTCTATTTCTAAGAATTACTTTATAAGCTAAATAAGCTTTATATTAATAAAAGTATAATTATTAGTTCTAGTATTAATAAAAGAAAAAAACTTAATTTCTAATTTATTTATATTAATAATATAAAATATTATAAGAATATTTCCTTTTATTAGATAAGTTAAGTTAATCTCTATTAAATTTATACTATAAGCCTCTAAAATAGAAACTTTCTTTAGAAGTATTCGTTTTCTGGTTTTATATTAGAATTAGTATTCGAATTCTCTAAATATTTTACTAGAATAGAAACTAGATATTTTAGTAAAATAGAAATTAAGCCTAACTTAATTCTAGAAAGAATTACCTTGATTTCCTTATTATATCTAACTAGATAATATCTAATATAATAACCGAACTCGTTATAGTTATAGTATTTAATAGTTAAAAGATCTTTAGTTTTTATAGAATATTATTTATATTTATAAGAAAATATATATTTAATAAAAGTAATTAATATAAGCTTCTTGAATTTCTTTTTAGAAGTATATTTCTTAGAAAT